TTTCCTGCAAGTTTTGGTTTCCAGTATTCTCGAGAATCGCATGTGCAGTGCATGAATTAAAGAAAGTACCTGTTCTCGTATAAAACAAAATGGGTTTAATCCTAGTATACGGTACCATGGAGGTTAGAATCAAAGAATATGTATTGTAAAGAAGGAAAACCTCTCTGCAACAGACGTGGCTGTGGCTCCGTTCCATCATAGAGGGAAACAGCTGTGCATGTCTGATATATCTGTTGCCAAAGCTTGAAACCGGTGTCGAAGTTCGAAGGTCACGTTATCAAGAGTTCATAAAATGAATATCGTTTAAAATTTCTTTAACCACTTGCGCAAAAAAGACGTGCCACGCACGTTGAGATGCTTTTGTCTCAAACCGCGAGCGACGTGAACACTACGTCGATAAGCATTTATCGCGAAAATGAAAGTAACGTGGTGCACACGTCGCTTAACAACGAGATTGTTTATTTCTCGAGTTACAGCTCTGGATTGCACTCGCAGATGCGGAGCGGCGTAAATGAGACACTTTACCGCTTGTTATATTGTAGCGCATGGCACCGCAACCGTGAAGTTTAGTCTTAGCGCAAGTGGTTAAACTGTAAAGGAAAAGAAAATATTTTTTGGTGCAAGTAAATTAATTCATGGATTAGTTATTTTCAGGAAAAAAAAAAACTACGAAAATCCGTTTTTAAAATTATTGCGAAAAATCCAAGAAGAAACGCCCTTTGATAAAACGTTTCTTCTTGGATTTTTCGCAATAATTTAAAAACGGATTTTCGTAGTTTTCTTTTTGTCAAAGAGCGTTTCTTCTTAACACGTGTTTCTCAATTTCCTGTACACATCGTGGAGAGGGAAATTCTGGCCGCCAGGTTCCGTCGCAAATCCCTTGGCAAATTTTCCCTCCGCATTCTAGCGGCGTAATAGCATTTTACTTGTATGGAACCTTTTCTTCTTTACATAGACGTTCTTTGGTTAGAATAATAATAAGATTTGGCGACATCATGATGCGCATTAAACGGGTCATTTTGGTCTTGGCGACAATTTTCAAAATCGTGCCAAAGCCTTACCGTATACTAGAATTTTACCGCAAAATCTTTTTAAAACCTTTTTTTTTTTCTTTTTAATAAATACCTTGCCATTTTGCAGTAAAATAAAAAAATAGTAATCAGTCATCTAGGCTAGCCATGTAATATAACTATATTCGCTAAAATATCGTTGATTATTATAATTCAATTTTTAAGTAATTATTTTTATGTTATTCATATAATTTAATGTTGCTTCTTCCTCTAAATTTATTTATTATTAGTAAATAATATTTCCAAATTTCAGGATATTTTCTCTGGCATAATCCTGAAATTAATTATAGCAGTATGATGACATACCATCACGAAATTTAATGCACATATTTTTTCCTTATGTATGCTGCGAAATTAATATAAAATACCTCAATTTATTAAATAGATTTCTTTCGTTTAGCTGCAGAATGTCTGCAAAAAAAGCCTTATTTTATTCCAGATTGGGAAGATTCTAATCTCAATCTTCAGTGGAGAAAACAAAAACTATTATATTTGTGTTTTCAAGTGTTAAGGTGCCTTTTAAGAACATACCTCACACAAATTAAATTTACCTAAAATCTAACCTAACTATTTAGCATTGCGTTGTGATTTATAAGGACCGGATTAGCCTCGTGTTGAACTGGTGATGATCATGAGTATTAATTAAATAAAACATACATTTGTTATCCAATGTATATATCTTAAATTTTATTAAGTTTCTTAAGTGGAAAACTAGACAAAATTATCAAAGTATACCAAGAATAATTAAGAATAAATGTCCTGGGATTTATTGAATAATTAAGTGAATTTGCTACACAATACAAGTAATACCATAATTAATTTACCTCTTAGCACAGCCAACGTACATTATGCGGATAGACTGGAATTTTCTTGAAACACACCTGGAAAACCTGGAAAAGTCAGGGAATTTCATTCTCCTGTTTGAGTGGCAACCCTGGTGTGTGTGCTAAATGTGAGCTGAATAGATTATTAGACAATAGTTTGAAAGTCAATGGCAAAGTTTGTACCATAGTGATGAATATCATGAACAAATACCACCACCACCACCAACTACAACAACAAAAAGTTATGTTTATTTATTGCAGAGGGATAGAAAAATTAAGTTGCAGCCCATCAGAATACAGCAAATGTTTTAGGAGAAGAGCAAAGAGGAGAAGAAAATGCATGAAATAGCAGCAGTAATAGCAGATGATATAATAGTATTAAGCATTCTTTTTATCTACAACAATATGTAATTTAACTGTACTATATTATATGAGTATTTAAATATTGTTAAATCATCCACTAAAATTAAATTCCTAGTTCACAGGAAAATAAAAATAGTATACAACCATTAATCATATATTTTTCAGTGACTCCTATCAAAATACAACAATAATATTTAAAAAAAAAACATTATTTTTTTCAATTTTGAAATGTGTTGTAGTTTTAAAGACTGATTTAATTTGCATAATCAAGGGAACTTATTCTCCAAATTAAACTGCATAAAGATGCAGGTAAATTGTTACTAGTATTTTCTGTTAATTAATATTATAGGTTATTCATTATTCCTGAACTTTTTTGCTTTTTTATTTTAACTGTCAGATTAACTATGCATTAACCTGTAAATGCCATCTCTAGTATTAACCCCGGTCAATTGGAAATTTACTATATATCATTTTTTCATGGCCACTGGACTATGCTCATGTAGTGTTTCAAGTTCTGTGGCTATTGTTCATCATGATTTGTTTTTGTGGAGTTATAAAATGATCTGGTTTATCTTCCATGACTACTTGGGAGCACATCTGACTTTTTGGCATGGATGTCTAGGGATACTGATCAAACTAGAACCTGGTTACTATTTGGATGTATGCTGTTGTAACAAAAGGTGCCCATGTACTTGTAATGTACATAGTAGATGGTGTATATTTTTATTCTGCTAATAAGAGGAATTGCATAAATTTAAAACTATTTTTTATACACCTTGCCTTTAATCTAGCATTATGGCTTTTTTTTTATGCCGAAAATTTGGGTAAACCTGGAACTACTAAAAATGTGGCCCAAAATTGCAACACTGATTTGCAAATCATTACAAAATCAAAATAGAGCAATAAGAGACTGAGAAAAGAATGCCCAAATTTGTAGATTTTATTACCATTGGGGCCCAATCAGGAACTGAGTAATTAAGACCATTGAAGGCTAAGAGTAACTTGGGTTTGATCTCAGACAAACCAACTGGCTATATGGTTGGCTTTTGTGGTCTCTCTCATGTGTCACATGGATACTTCCCTCATTTCCTTAGAAAATCCTCTACAAAAGCATCTTTTCTTTTAGGCAGATAGCCCTCATGTGCTTTGTCATGTTTGAATAACCAATTAAATATTCCTATTGGTGATTTGATATGATGTTTTAAAGGCATTAGAGATAAAGTTTCAAAACCTTTCAAAAAATATAGAGTAAGTGGTAAGGGGATTGGCATTTTCAGAAGCCATATGAATGAAAAAAATGTTAATATGATTTTCGAAAGGTATTTTAATTACAAACTCATTCCAGGAGAGCGAATTAAATTAAAAATCACTTGTTGAGTGTTATTGTTGTAAAAAGAGTTCTTAGAATAAGGCTTCAATTCATCAATCTGAAAATTTCGTATGTTACATAAGATTTCTTTGCCTCAAAAATCTATTGCAGTGTGTGAATTTTAAGCAAAGAAACCAGCTTCTGTTATTTAACATTTATTCTATTCACCATACTTGCCACTAGGATATTTTTTTTTTAATTCCTGAACTAAAAACAGTGATGAAAATAATTATGTACAATAATATTAAAACCATAAAAATTGTCACGAGGAAATTTTGGATCATTCAGAAGATGAGCATAGAGAAGTCTGTCCATATAATAAATTAGCATTTATAGATTCATACAGATATAAAGGAACACTTTTTTTTTTTTTTTTTTTTTTTTTTTTTTTTTTTTTTAAGGTATTCTGCATATGTCTGCTGTAAAGATTGAACTTCCAAAAATCTGAATCATTTCTCTAATTTCAGCACATTTTCAAAATTTACAAAAATTCTTGTGTTTTGCTTTCAGGACATAAAGTATATTTTCCTTAAAATTCCTTCCAGGGGGAGAAATGAAAAAAATTTAGATTTCCATGACATAATGCATTAACTAGTGGCATTTGTACGAGTGTCATTCATTGTCTATTGCAGTGTGTGAATTTTAAGCAAAGAAACAAGCTTCTGTTATTTAACATTTATTCTATTCACCATACTTGCCACTAGGATATTTTTTTTTTAATTCCTGAACTAAAAACAGTGATGAAAATAATTATGTACAATAATATTAAAACCATAAAAATTGTCACGAGGAATTTTGGATCATTCAGAAGATGAGCATAGAGAAGTCTGTCCATATAATAAATTAGCATTTATAGATTCATACAGATATAAAAGGAACACTTTTTTTTTTTTTTTTTTTTTTTTTTTTTAAGGTATTCTGCATATGTCTGCTGTAAAGATTGAACTTCCAAAAATCTGAATCATTTCTCTAATTTCAGCACATTTTCAAAATTTACAAAAATTCTTGTGTTTTGCTTTCAGGACATAAAGTATATTTTCCTTAAAATTCCTTCCAGGGGGAGAAATGAAAAAAATTTAGATTTCCATGACATAATGCATTAACTAGTGGCATTTGTACGAGTGTCATTCTTAAATTGCCATTCCTGCAGGCTTTCTGTTAATTATTGTTTGATATAAACACATATCAGAATTTTTTGTATGGCATAGAATTTAAGCAGTTGTTTCAGTGTCAATGCTGCACAAATATTGCTTGATAAATTGACATGCATTTTGAAAATTCACATAATTTATAAGGTATTTATAATTTCTTAAATTTAATGCTTCTGTGTTGTTTTTTTAATTTATTATGAACGATATTGTAATTCTTTTTCAGTGAGACTCATTCAATATTAGGTCAGACGTTTGGAATGACAATTTTGCAAGACTTTGAAGCTTTGACACCTAATTTACTTGCTCGCACTGTAGAGACTGTAGAAGGCGGTGGAATGATTCTTATTCTTCTGCAGACATTAACATCTTTAAAACAGCTCTACACAATGACTATGGTATTATTTTTTTTTTTTATCAGAAATTACCATACTTTTCCTTTTTTCTGTCCATTACTGGTATATTAATTTCAGAGAAGGAGATAACATTCAAAAATACATTTTGCAGTAATATGGTATGCTTTATTTAAAAAATTATGTGAATTTGTTTTTATGAATATGTTAACAGCGTATAAATCTTTTGTGTATAATTACTAACCCTCCAAGCAGCCAAGCCGTAGCCATATGCATTAAAAAATATTTGTCATGGTAAATTTAAGTACACAGACACACATCTTGAAATGTGTTCAGATAGTTAAGCTAGCATAAGTATTAGAAGGAAAAAAGGCATGGTACAAAATTGGAGGGTCAAATTTGAATTATAATTAGGGAAACACCATCTTAATCTTGCCTTTTTGGGAAGTTGAGAGTTTTGGGGCCAAAACCTTGGCAGCGTTGAGGATGAAATAAAAGATAGTGTGAAATGTTAGTAGTGTAGGTTTTAGAATATGTTATTTTTTTTAAAACATCAGATAAGAGGAATGTATGCATTATAATTTTAAAAACTTTTTAAATTTTATTAAATAATTTGGAATTGAATAATTATACAAGTATAAATAATGCATTTGAATAATTATGTATGAATGTATTTTTAACAAAAAGTAGTTGCATGAAAATCAATTACAGAAAGCATTATATTCATTGAAGCTTTAACAGTCTTTCCCTTATTTATTTGGTATATTCTATGGAAAGGGAGGGGAGAGATCATCTGAAAAAAGATATCTAAAAAAAAGTGTGTTTCAGATAGATTCAAATGTACAGGCCATAATCTTGCTGTTAACTAATTAGCTGCATATTAAAAATCCTGTTGTTTACTCCTGCTGAGAACAAAAAAGGGAAACGGTGCATTTTAAAAATAGCACTGGGATGTCTGCTCTAAATTGCATCTAATATAAAATGTTGTAATTTTTTACAAATTTGATGTTTTGAAAGTGTGCTTAGAACCAAATAACTATAAATTATTATTTTTAATTTTTGCAAAAACTGTGATGGGATAGGAGATTAAAAAAAGCATGAAAAAGTACACATTATTTTTCATATTGTACAATATTTCTGTGGAAATAATATTTCTTTATATAAATCAATGCTCTGGAATATAAAATAAAATTTAGTAATGTGAATCAATCATTTTGTTTCAGATTAGTGAAAGGGAGATTACTATATTGCTTCTTTGTAAATATTGGTAAAACTTCATCAGCATCATCCAAAATGGCATAAATTCAAAATTATTACATATAAAGACAGGGTGTTACAAACAAGTGTTTTTCGTCATAAAAGGCACTAGCAGCAATTGATATCATACCGAACATTTATTGTGCTCCTCTCCCCTCAAATTTCATATAATTTTTTACTCTTCCTTGCAGAAGTGCTGAATTTGCACTTCTGAATTATTCATACCCCCCCCTTTTATGAGATGAGTGTCAAATATGTTCACTGTAAGGGACATTCATTTTGCTATCCAGTTTGCAGTCACTTTGGAGTTCCCACCTCCCATGAAAAAAGAAGTTTCGCATGATGGCGAATTTTAGGATTACCCAGAACCCATGAAGCATAAGAAGTCTCCCCAAATTGTGAATTTATGGCTAATTTGTTATGGTTTTAATTGGAGGTGCAATAAAGAATTCTGATTTGATATTTTTCTGATGCTAATTTAGAAAACAATTTCTGGTGCTAACTTTGTATCTGAAGCTTTGATGAGTTGCTTGTCCAGCTTGGTAATATCAACACCTTTTGGGGATGCAATAATGGTTCCTCAATGTATGAGTTCACAATGTCATCGCTCCTGTGGTGATATATATATACAGTCAAAAGTCTTTAATCTGGACGTCCATATTGCGGAATGATCTATAATTCGGACCTCAAAGCTACAAACTTTCTGCGCATAATACCTTTACGCATGCGCATAATACATTTACGCATGAGCGTTTAATGTATAACGGACAGTATAAGCTAAGCTAAAATTATGTAATTATCTATTTCAGTTAATGTTGCAGATTGTGATGTTCCTTAATCTTTGAATTGAATCCTGCTTATTATTTTTGCAAACTGTTAGAGCAATTTTATAAAAGTAAGCTTGAACTTTCGTTTATGTCAAAAAGAATTTCCGATTCTGGAGCTGCCAAAGGATCTACAAAGCGAAAGCATGTTTTGATGACCATCAAACAAAAAGTGGAATTGCTGCAAAAAATGGATAAAGGCATATCCTTTGTTTCTCTAACCATTCCGAAACCTGTTTATCAATTTCACGCTGCTCTGCGGGGAGGGGGGGGACGTCACGGCGCGCAATGAACTGGAAGTCTGTCAGCACTCTCCTTATCTTCAGGACAGATGTTTTTATTTTATTCATCGTATGATTCCTTACTAAATGTAGTATTTCATCTCGATGTACTCCTTTGATATAATTTAAATCAAATTCTTTGTCATTATAAATATCACGAATACACATCAAATAGTTTTCTGGTTGCAATTTTCTAATTTCGACTATGTGTAATGTATGCTTTACGCATGCGCGCGTTGAAAGAAATGATTAATAAAGTAAACAAATAAATATTAAGCTTTTTTTTTTTTTTGTAAATTTTGATACCCTTTAGATCATAATTGCTCTTTATTTCATAAATTACAGTTTGATATTTTTAATTTTATGATTTCTGCATGCCATCGTACCAGATTTAAATTGAAGATCTATAATTCGGAAAAACCAATAATCCGGAATCGCCGAAGTCCTGACAAGTCTGGATTAAAGACTTTTGACTGTGTTTCATTTTATTCCAAAGATGAAGATAGCAAAGAAATATTGTAAAAAAAAAAAAAAAAAAAAAAAAAAAAGACCCTCTAAAAAATGTTATTGTTTTAAAATCTTCAGTGGCATTCCAGCCATATACATCACACTTAAAAATATATATCAGGGCTCCTGAGAGGCCATAACACATTTCACTAGTTGCTTTCATTGAATAATTTTTTGCTGTTACGTGGGTAAATCTGTTGCAGACAAAGAAAAGGGAACAAATTAATGCATGCAGTCTTGTGATATTTTTCGGGAATGAAACTGATATATTTCTATCTACTCTTTATACACTAAATTAGTTATATAATAACATGATCAAACTTTTGTTCATAAGAATGACCAGATGTGTTATGCATAGTAATGATGTATTACAAAAGAAGAATTTTCAGTATCCATTTAAGTGATAGTAAAATTTAGAAGCGATTATGACTTATTCATCCTTTTAAGCTGGTGGAAATAAAACTTAATATCTAAAAATAAAAATCACATCAGGTAATATAATAAAAATCTTGTGCTTCTCATTATATTAAATTATATATGTTTATTTTTTGTTTAGTTTTTGTTTATTATACATGTAATATAATATACATGTAATATAATTGTATTTAATTGTATACTACAAGCTATACTGTACTTATTGATATTTAGTTAAACCATTACTCACGAACTAATCGCTGATTGCTTAAAATGAAATATTGAGATATTAAGACTTATTTTTATATATGTGTCTTTGTGTATGTGTTACTTTTGTTTTTCTAACATACATTTATTTTTATTTTAGGATGTACATGCACGCTACAGAACAGAAGCTCACCAAGATGTTGTGTGCAGATTTAATGAACGTTTTATTCTGTCTTTGCCTACGTGTTCTGACTGTTTAGTTTTAGATGATAAGCTCAACATATTGCCAATATCATCTAATGCTTTGAGTATCAAACCTTTGCCACCAAAATCTCTGGTATAGTTTTAATGCTATTTGTCGACATTAGTTTTGCATATACAACTGAATATGTTTGTGATTTGAAATGAAAGTTATCTTAAATTCAAAGTTAGATTACACTTTAAGAGTAAAATGCTTAGAATGAATGTTTAAATTTTAAGTTATTTAACATTTGCCTATATTAAACTGATCTGTAATAAGAAATCAGAAAGTTCTGGAAGTCATTGTCTGATCCAAATGAAGCTTGCAATGTAAATTGCTCGATAGTGTAATACAAATGATTAAAATTTGATGCCAGGAAATGTAAAGGACATTTCTAAAATTTGTATTGAGAGATTTATTTAAGAGGTTTCGGTACTTTCCAAAATTGTTTTTTATTGTTTAGGATGTGTTGTTATCATTTATTACCAAAAAACCGTATAATGCACTAAAACAGTATATATGTAACTGAGCAATTTTAAAAGAAGTTTGTGTAATGGGCTAAGGAAAAGTAGTTGGGCTATTTGATAAACTGCTATCATCTTGCACTTTGTTATTTCCAGAAAGTAACTACAATGTCTTTAACAAATATTGATGACTAAATGTTAGGAAGAATATTGAATTCTCAGAACATTGTCCATGTTTTCTACCCCCCGTTTAATATGGATACCATCTCGTGTAAATCTAAAATATAATAACGTAGTTGAGAGACTAACAGAGGAGGTACTTCCATGCCTCAGGTCTATGCTACACTTTTGACCAACCTTCAGCTGTACTTGAGAAGAAAGGTGTTAATTAACACATTTTGGGGACAACCACTGGTAATTTCGTGATTGTAGTGCAGGTCCTGGTACTGCTGTTGGTTTCAAGGGGGACAGGAAGGGCCAAACGGCTCCGACTCATTTGACTTCAGGACATTCAAGGACCTTCAGATTTTTCTGTGATACTAAAACTTTTCCAATTTGTACCAAGTATAAAACATGAAGCTACTGAGCAACATTTATTTAGTTGTGTTGCCTTCATGCTTTAAGATCTGCTGAAAAGACCTAATCTGATGTTGTAAGTCATGTAGGTGAATAAACTTGTGAATCTTATCTGATTCAGAATGGAGTGCTTAATAAGAATAGAAGGGTAGGCTATGGAAGGATTGGCAATGAATAGAGGGTATAAACTGATAATCTGACAAGTTGTAACTGATCAAACACCTTATTATTTTCAGTATAATTAGGCATATTGTCAGTGGTTTGGCATTTTACTTCCTGAATCATTAACAGACTATTGAGGGAAACATGCCACCCATTAATATACTTGTCATTACTTGGATGTCATCAGTTTGTAAAACTGTTAGATTATTTCAGATATAAGGCATGAGATAATTAGCTGTGCCCCCACTGGGAAATAAACTCTCAATCTTTTGGTTGCTAGTTGGATGTGCTACTAGTTGTGCAATAAGAATATACAGTGAAGAAGTAGAAATTCTTTGTATTTTCTCATTTAAAGGGTCACTGGGGAAAAGGACACACGATCTCATTAGCCAAGTGTTGGTGGTGACAAATTATTATCCATCAGAATTTAGTTGGGTGCTGTAGAGGCATCAGAATTTTTAGAAGGCAGGAAACTGGAGAAATATTTTGTGCTCTCACTGGGATTTGAATTCTGGATCTTCCAGTTGTTAGTCAGATGTGCAACCAGTTATAATACAGCACCACGATGTGGGAAAGGTAAAAATTCTGTATAAGCTATATCTAGAATGATACTGTGCCCAAAGTTTATTGAAAGGTGCTGAATATTAAAGGTGTATCATCTTTAATGAAGAATTCTGCTTCTACCTTTGTGCAGATAAATGAGTTTTTTTTTTTTTTTTTTTTTGTTTTTGTTTTTGTGTGTGTGTGGTGTGTGGGTGGGGGGGCTTTTACAATGCTTTCATTCACATTGGCAAACCTTACAAAAAAAAGTACAAAGTTTCAAGTGGCAAACCTTTATGATTCTCAGCGCTAATGGTATGGAAAATCATCTCATGCAGCAGCTGGATCCTTTCAGTAGTAATATAAGGCAATCTTGCCATGTAGGAGTTTGGCGAAGCATACTAGATCCTGTAGTCCACAGGTGGTTCTCAAACTGTGGTGCATTACAATATTTTTAGTGGTACAATTTTTACTTATTATTTTATTATTTTATTTTAATCTTTATTATTCAGAAACACATACAGTACAAAGTCTTTAATCCAGACGTCTATAATCTGTAATGATCTATAATCCGAACCTCAAAGCTACAAACTTTCTGCGCATGCGTAGCATTTACGTATGTGCATAATACGTTTACTCATGCACGTTTAAAGTATAATGGACAGTATAAGCTAGGCTAAAATTATCTAATTATCTATTTCAGTTAATATTGCAGATTGCATCCTTAATCTTCTAATTGGATCCGGCTTATTATTTTTTGCAGACTGTTAGAGCAATTTTATAAAAAGTAAGCTTGCTTTTTCGATTATGTCAAAAAGAGTTTCCGATTCTGGAGCTGCCAAAGGATCTACAAAGCGAAAGCATGTTTCGATGTTCATCAAACAGAAAGTGGAATTGCTGCAAAAAATGGATAAAGGCATGAATAAAGTGACAGAGATGTTAGTGAAAACGAAAAAATTTTGATTGACAAGTTAGTCGGTATTCTCGGCACAACAATTACAGTACTTGAACAGCGGAACTTTGTAACTGAAGAAGATAATTATATCTGTTACATCTGTTTATAGAATTAAAGAGAAAGTATTAGCACATAAAACGAAACAACTTACATTGAAAAAAATGTTTAATAAAGTAAACAAATAAATATTAAGCTTTTTTTTTGGTAAATTTTGATACCCTTTAGATCATAATTGCTCTTTATTTCATAAATTATGGTTTCATATTTTTAATTTTATAATTTCTGCATGACAACTTACCAGATTTAAATTGATGATCTATAATCTGGAAAAACGCCTAATCCGGAATTGCCGAAGTCCCAACGAGTCCGGATTAAAGACTTTGTACTGTATTTTTCAAGTTTTTGACTTTTACATCTCTAGGTTTAATGTTGAAATGACAACTTTTCCTAGAAAATTTACTAAATTTCACAACATTCACCATTTTTTTAAACCTTGTGATATCTAAAATGTCAGAAAGACAGAATGTATATATTGTTTTAAACGTATTATGTCCATGTTGGCCCCATGACTCATGTGTTTTTTTTGCTTTGTACAGCTATATTATTATATACTCATAGTATATATACTATAAGTATGTAACAAATATTCTCTGTTTGTAAAAAGATAATATAAATTAAAAATTTAATTAAGAAATTTTGAGTATGTATGTATGATTACTATGAGTATATTTGAGTATATATATATATCATAGTATACTTATTTATATTTTATTGTAATGTAAAAGTTTCATTTATGAATATAATTAATAATATAAATTTAAAGGGTTTTACTCTTTGATTATAATATATAACTATATAATTTATTTTCTAATATATAACTATAACTTTCCTAATATATAATTATAAACTATATAATTTATTTTCTAAAGATTTTTTAGTAAATTATCTTCTTTAACAAAAGTGAAAATTCTGTTGAAATTATGTAACTCATTAGCATATTTTTCCATTTTAAATTTATTCCGGATTCAATTTTTAAATATGCTAATGAATTACATAATTTCAATTTAAGTTCTTTGTCAAAGGAGATAATATATTAAATAATCTATTAGGAAATTATTATTTTATTGCTTTGTAGCTTTACCACAAGTATTAGGCAATTTATTATGATTAATGAAATTGTTTATTATATATAATATTATATGCATTATTGTTATCTTCCCATGTGCATAGCGATGTGTTTCATTTACAAAAATGTTAGAGAATTGCACAAACTTGTCTTTGTATATGCTAAATGTTATACTTATGTGTAATATTACATCCATCACTGTCGTCTGCACATGTGCACAGCGATTTGTTTTCACTTGAAAAATATCAAAGAATTGCACAAACTTGGCATTGTACAATGTCAAACATTATATAGATGCATTCCTGTTCTAATATCCCACAATGTAGAAATATTCTGCAGTCCCATCAATTCTGGTTATAAAAAAATGTTTAAAAAATAAAATCATTAAGAAACTATAAAAGAGTAGGATTACCAGGATAGGCATTGCTTCACACGAAAGTTGCTAAATTTATCATGCCCCTTATTCTTCACTTTAGCCAATCTAAATTTCAGGAGTTTTATAATTCAATAATAATAATAATAATAATTGTGTCATAAAATAAAATATTGAGTAGCTTTCATTCGAATGGGTGATACAGTAATGGCAAACAGAAATGACAAATAAATAAAAAGGAGGTAGATTGCATACTACAAGATTACCAAGTATTTTTTTGAAATTAGACTAGCTGGACTCGTCAAAATAATTATGCTATGTAAGAATATATTTTTTTCTTTTTTATGATAACTCTTTTAGACAGTTGACTGTGCAAGGGGCTAGTATATTTAAATAAATTAGTACTTTGATTTTAGTCTAAAATGGCTTATAATTTGTAACAATAGGCCATTCTTCAATAATGCTTCAGCTTTATTAAAACAAATTGTGTTAATTTAATATGTTTATTATTCTGACAAATGTTAATACTTATTCATTTAGCATTTTTATTCTTCTCTGCTATAACTGTAAAGGCAATATTCATTAAATTCTACAATTATGCACAAAATTTTTATTTTTGAAATAGCACTTTTATTCTAGAATTTTTTTTTTTTCTTTCAGGATGGCCCAAAATCTCTTGAAGAAGAAGAACTAATTAGTTTGAAATCTTCAGTAGATTCTTCACAACCTGTGGGTGTGCTTGTTAAATTGTGCAAAACACTTGATCAAGCAAAAGCTGTAATAAAATTCGTAGAATCATTGTCAGAAAAAACTCTTCGAAGCACTGTAACGCTCACTTCTGCAAGAGGTAGAGGAAAATCTGCTGCTTTGGGACTTGCCATTGCTGGAGCAATTGCTTTCAAATACACAAATATTTTTGTAACATCACCACATCCTGAAAACTTAAAAACTCTTTTTAAATTTTTGTTAGAGGGTTTGGATGCATTGGGATATGAGGTATGTATTTAAACACTTATTTGTGTAATATTAATGTAGTTTTTATCATTATTTATTATGTTTCTCTTTTCCACACCATTTAAAGTTTTTGTAGGATTTGCTGTTTCATTGATTGATTTTTTTTTTTTTTTTTTTTTTTTGTGTGTGTGTGTGTATGTGTAAATGAGTAATGTAAAAAGTGTAAAGTGTTTTTATAATTCAAGTCATGAGTAAAATATAAAAGACATTTGTTATTAACCCTTACTTTGAATGAGTTACTTATGATAACAGAAATAGTATGATGGGGCAACTAAGTTTTTTTATTAAAATAAAAAGCAAAGTATTTTTTGTGATTGTGATGACTGCATTACTTTTAAAATTGTTATAAATTGTTTTATATTCTTTTGAAAGTAATATTAATTAACATTTATTTCAATTAATTAATTTATTTGTTTCAGAAAACAACAGACTATGAAGAAACAAGGTCTACAAACCCTGAATTTAACAAAGCTATAGTTCAAGTCACTGTGAATCAGAAGCATCGACAGACTGTTAAATATATTAGTCCATCTTCTAACTTAAAAATTGGGCTTGTTGAACTGGTTGTAATAGATGAAGCAGCTGCTATTCCTCTTCCTTTCGTAAAAAGTTTACTAGGTCCATATTTAGTTTTTATGGCTTCTACTATTAACGGGTAATTACAAAAGCTGTGAAATTTTATATTTTTATGTTAATTATCTGAAGTTTAGGAAAAAATCATCTAAGTTATTTTTCTCTTTGTTTATTAGCCTTTTTATTCAGTATAAATAATTAAAGTATTTTGCTGTGTGAGACAGACTGCACTCAACAATTTTATATTTTATTAATTTGAACTGTTTTCCTGAATATGTTAAAGCTAATTCCAATCCATCTTTGCCTTCAGCCTTTAAAGAAATTATGTTTTAGTTCTGGTTTCATCAACAGATGGCGCCAGTGGCTTATCTCCTGTCCAGGCTTTCTTATCTTATCTAATTATTATATCTTATCTCGTTCATTCGCGCTTTTGCAGCTGAGGATGATGGTTCAGTAAAACCATCAAACCTAGTCCTGTGAAAATTTGAAGATATAATGCTGATTTTTGTTGTGTGACTTCTAAAATAATGTTAAAGCATGTTAGAACTTTTATTTTGTCCATTCTAGGAAAAAATTTATTACCTTAAGTTGAAAGATAAAGTATAGTTAATACAAATGCATTGAATTAAGTGTGGTGGTAGCAGATAGGTGGTGACAAATCATGAGCTTTAGATACATTATCAGTAGTGAGATGCCACTTGTATTTTAAAGTAACAAAGCCAGTTTTCATCCTTTCGTCGTAGAAGAAATTATATCAACTTAAGTTGAAAGGCAAAATGTGATTAATATGAATATATTGAAATATTTGTGATATTAATTTGATATTAAGTACATGTTCAAGAGTGAGAAGTTTATCGATTCATGCACCACTTATTTACTCACATGCCTTTATCAATAATGAGACAATTGTGAATAGGGAAATGTTCATGATATGCATTCTAAGTTATTTTTTCCCTCCTTTTTGCATGCCGTAATAATATAACTGGAAGCACACTCGATATGTATTTGAAAGGTCCACGGTTCATGTCGCGGCAAGAGCATTGCACATTTTTTTATGTCTCCAGAATCAAAAAATCTTAATGACTTTGCAAGTGGCACCCAAACTAAAAAAAGATAATTTATCACCACCAGGATTTGGCAACTGGGTCCTGTCATCCACAGTTGCCTTTTAAAAGTTGGGAGTATGTAAGGTATTTTCTCCTTCCTTTCCGCATGCCTTCTTGCTTTCTGGCAAACAATGCAGATATTTTTGTTATCTAAAATTCTGGATTAGCTCTATGATTACTCATTTCCTTTTTTCTCAAGCTCTTTCATACAGCTTAAGGAGAGAGAAAAAGGAAATGACCAGTGCAAGAGTTCATTAGCTTGAAGATACGGATAAGAAAAATTTTAATCATAAGGCAAAATTATTTCAAAAATTTCTGCTAAACTAAGTAAAATTAGCACATAATTTTTAAAAAGGAACTGATTTTGTTGCATATTAATTCTAAAGTGATATTTTACACAGTAAGACTCAGAAGTTAAGAATGAGCAAATTCACTATGCCTTTTAGTTGCAAGTTTGTTTAGCTAAATATAGAACTGTGTACTTAAAATTTAAATGAAAACAGTTGGTTAATGATCGTTGGTGATTTCTGAGACTAGGAGATGGTGACAATTTTTATTTTATGAAAATATTCATTTGCAGACCTTCTGAGAGTAAACTATAATTTATGGTTTTTTTGAGAACCGGAATTTTGTGATAAGTTTGTAATGATGTCATCTTTATCACTAAATTTATCATAGAGTCATGGAAGTTGCATTTAAGTCAGAACATATTAAAAGTCTAGATATCTGTTAATATGTATAGGTTTTCTGTTCACAAGATTGAAAACTTTGCTCTCAAATGATCTGCTAAGTAAATATCCATAAAAGAAACATTTCCGTTTTTTATATGTCATTCTTAGTTTCGGTTATTATTCTCAGTCTCACTGTCTATCACTTAATTATCATTTACAGTTTTCATTTAATTTCTAGGTGCATAATTCTACACTTAGACACAAAAATTTATAAAGATTAATTAACTTGAGCACTACATTTGAAAAGTAATTTGCTTATAATATTTAATAGATAATTCAAAATCATTTTATGATTCAGGAGTAACTTGAATATAGTTTGCAGTGAAGAAGAGCATAGAATGAGAAGATAATTGAACAAGCAGATAGTTTAATTTAATATTAACTAAAAGTGTGGCTCTGTAGTAAATCACGAGTGAAAAAAATTATTTAGTTGCATTCTTTACTTCTAGCATCTTGCATATCTCTGCTTGTCTTTTTCAGTATACGATTTACAGCATAACTTTTCATTTATTGAAACAATTAAATTATATACATAGATAGAAAAGCAAACTGTTTTAGTAAAAAGAACATTATTAAATTTAATAATTAATCTGTAATTTTAAAATAGGAAAAGCATTAATATTAATACATCTGTTTGTATACACTTTTTATAGATGTTTTTAACCCCTTCCCTCAAACATGATATTCCATGATATAAACATGATATGTAATTTTCCCCTTTTAATATTCAAAAAGTAAAATTAATAAAAAGAGAAAAAAAATTGTGAGTAATATGGTAAAAAAAAAAAAAAAATTCTTTATTTATATTGATTGTGGAAACCGCATTCTTGCTTTATATAATTCATATTGTGCTATAGAAAGTTTATGAGAGAATTGTAACATATAAGGGAACTGAAAGAAGTCAGTGTCATATTTCTTATTTGGTAAATGTGAGCTCTTTTAAATAACAAAAAAAAAAATTTTATAAAAAAAAAAAAAAAAAAAAAAAAAAAGGATGTTTTTATCTCCATTAATTACATATTTGTTAATTAATGATGCATTTCCGAATTAGCTGAAAGTTGTTTTACGGGAGAAGTATAAGCATAATAATATTGAAATCACTCACTTATAGATACTTATAGAATACAACTCTTCGTATGATTAAAAACATGCTGTAAAAAAATTTTTCAGAGTGATAATTTTTTAACTATATACAAAAAAAAAAAAAAAAAAAAAAAAAAAAGTATGTCAATTGAAATCTTTGTTTTAATCTGTTGTACTATGTATGAAATATAAAATGTGATTGATTTAACCTAAATGTATGATATTCAAAATTATATATATTTTATTAGTTTGAAGGAACTGGCAGATCTCTTTCACTTAAACTAATCAATCAATTACGAAAACAGTCAAGCAATAACCAAGTTAAAGATGATGATTTAGAGTCAAGCAAAAATTAACTTGCAAAGGCATCTTTAAAACGATGTTCTGTAACAGGTATGACATTATTTTTTAATAAATTATTTTAAAATTTACTTTCTTAAGAAACAAGGTAACATGGTAAAAATAAATTTATCATTTTCTTCTATCTCCTTTTCTAGAAAACTTTTGCATCGTTAAACTGTTTTTTTTCCTAAGTTTCTATGTTTTTTACCTGTCATGTTACCATATTTCTTATCGTCTTTAAAAATTTAACTCTATTTAAGAAAGAAGAGAAACACGCCAAAGTAAAACATACAGTTAGGCAAGGCAACAATCATGTATTTGGCATAGGTTTTAACCAAGACTCTGTTGATTTTGAGTGTGAATAGGTACAGGTCTCTGTTCATTGGAGCAAAGAAGGGTAGAGCCGCAGCCATATTTATGCCAAAAGCAAACATGAAGTAAAGGAAAGTAAACAAAAAGGTAGTGCCATTTGACGGTGCTGTGATGAAAATTATGCCACTGAGATAAGTTTGCTGAGATTACTGTGATATGCTAAGATAAAGGTTATGGATGTTTATGATTATAATGTTTGTGGAATAAGAAGTATTTAAAACTTGTTCGAAAAGTTAATTTGAAAAGTTGGCAGAGAAAGAAAGGGCCACGATCCTTTAATCGTCTCTTTGCGGTTGTGGCTTCTCCCTTCTTCGCTTCTGATGAATGGACTTGTACCAGTTTGCTTTTAAATTGATAGAATCTTGGTTAAAATCTCTACTAAATACAAGGTTTTTTGCCCAATTTTTGTGGATCTTTGTTTAGTTGGTTCTTGATAGTGTGAGATGAAAAGTAGGCCACTCAACTAGTATAGTGCTTAGCTGAGCATTCAGAACTGAGATAAGGTTATGGATGTTTATAATTATAATGTCTGTGGAATAAGGAGTACTTAAAACTGATGGTTCTTAAAGTTATCTTGAAAAGTTGGCAGAAAAAGAAGGGGGCATGATCCTTTAATTTCTTTGCGTGGGATATTTATGTTTGAAGGAGATGGAACTGACGTTATAGTGTCAGTACTCATACTCGGTGTCCATAACCAATATCAGATACAATTTTACCAATTTATGGATATTTAAAAAGCTTGTCTAGGTTGTGGGATAATAGTTATTGATTATTTATCGACTTAACTGTGCGATAATTGGATAAACAGGATTTGGATAAAAAACAGCATCATCAAAGTCATCTTAAAATGCAGAGCTGGAGGAAAGTCATCTCAGTAGGAAAAATAAATCATCTATAATCAAAAATTTTTACCACTTTTCATGATTTCCACCAGAGAAGGAGCACAAGATTTTATTTTGTATTCACTTAATAATTACCTGTAGTGAGCATGTTACCTGTATATGTCTTAGTATTATTTTGCATTACTTTGATTATTATCAATTTGCATAATGGGGTTGAAGGTGATGATTAAGTTGAATGCCTGAAAGTTAATTAATCACTTTCTGCAATTGCTATGCAAATCTTCTAACTGATATTTTGACCAGCCTTTAATTTATTTAGTATTGTTCCAGGTGATTATTAAAAAAAATTGCAGCTCTTTTTAAAGGCATTTAAGCAGATTAATGTATTTTTGACCAAGATTTAAGACAATTACTTTTTGTTTTATTTTATTTATTATTTTGCATTATATGCATATATGTTATTTCAGTTACAGGCATCCCTTGATATTTGTCAGGTCAAGGATCAGGGTGCTGCAAAAATAAAAGTTTTTGAAATATTAACAGTCTTTTTTTAGCTTTCAAGTGCATTTTGATTGCTCAAAAGTACTAATAATACATACACACAAATGACAAAATTCAGCAGGTACATAACATTATGTAAGGCCTTCCACCTTTTAGATGAACAAAGTGCAGTGTGTCATCGTTGTATGGAAGTCTCCCAGAGAGAAAGGGCCATATCATCTGGATTTCTGCACATAGTTTCTTCTTTATTGCATGTGGACAATAATGAAAAGAGGCTAAATAATCCAAAGGAAAAATTTAAAAAATAAATAAATGAATAAAATAATGAGAGAGAGCGCCATATCATCTGGATTTCTGCACATAGTTGCTTCTTTATTGCAAGTCCTGTGTGGACAATAATGAAAAGAGGCTTTGGGTTATTTAACCCAAAGAAAAAATTAATCAGTCAATAAATAAATAAAATAATTCTAGCAATTTTGGTATCTGCTAATATTGTTATTAATCCAATGGTGCAGGCATGAAGCATATTCCCTTCAGTAGCGTAACTTTATTGCTGAGTTTTTTGTAAACAATATATTTAGTTTCTCTCTTGTTTAAGAGCAGTAAAACTACACCAAAAGCAATTCCATTGGTGTATGTACAGTGTAGTCATACAAAAACTTCCCTGATTTATGTACTTCCAGTGGCCTGTTTGCTTAAACAATCAAAATGAAATTTCAGATATTGTTATTTGAAGATTTCAAACACTAGAACTCTAACAATTACAGTTACAGTGTTAAAATTTTGAAGTTTTTAAATGGCAATACAAACTTTTCCTACACAAATTGATTGCCACATTGAAAAACGTAAGTGGCATTTGAATGTTTTATAGTAGTAGTTTCTGTCATAAACGTATGATAAAAACTGCTACTATAAAACATTTGCAAAAAACAGCATTGTAAAGGACTGATAACAACACTAGAGAGGAGAGGGGAAAAAAGCTTTTATTGGAATTGCAAGTTTTCAATGTGCCCACTTTTGCAGACAATAAAGCATTGTATGTCAAAGATTGTTAACAACAATGGTAGACATAACATCAAAGGAGGAATCTGCTTTCTGGCATCTTTCAACTGTAACAAATTTAATGTGTACACCTTAGATTTCAGATAATTCCAGAGCTAGAAGTCTGTCAGAGTGAAATCAGTGATCATGGTGGCCGCAAAATTGGAAAATTACGGAAGATGACTCATATCTCCAAAGTGTGCTGTTGCAGTACTTGCCGCACATATGTGACAATGTGTTGAGGGCACCATGTTGCAGCCATGCAACGTCATTAATGACATTTCACTGCTGTAATTCTGAAATTATATAATACTGCAAAAGTATTATATACAGACCACTTGTGATGGGATATATTTTCATACCTGTGGAAGAGACTCTCTGAAGAACAAATGTGCTTGCAGTGCTGCACCACACTTCCACTTGAGCTTCTTGTAAAAATGCCGGAGCCACATTTTGAGGATTTTTGTCAGCCCAAGAAACGTTTTTACTGTCTATTCAATGTGAATTATGCAAAGTGCATCAGTGGACCCTCCTCTCTGTGTTTACATTGGTTCTTTACAATTTTTCTCTATACAAATGTTTTATGGTAGCAGTTTCATCATATATGTGTTCCAACATTTATGGCTTTTCAATGCAGCAATCAATTTGAGTATGGAAAAAGTGGGTGCTTCCATTAAAATATTTCAAAATTTTTTCATTGTCACTGTAACAGTATGAGCTCTGTTGTTTCAAATCATCAAAATCTTTAGTACATACCTTCAAATAACCATATCTGAAATTTCATTTTTATTGATTGAGCAGATAGACTGCTAGTGCTCACTCTGTACATCTTTCTTGTGTAAAAAAACTTTGTTGCGTGTTTATAAAAGAGTTCTTTGCTTGCTGAAAAGATGTTTTTATCCTTTATCCTTTTCCCCTCATATAATGACATTATTTTCTTTGCATATAATTGTATTTAAAAACATAATAGTTTTATATTAGTAAACCTTGATTAAATGATTCTTTTGCAATGAGTATGTTTTGGTTGGTTATTTATGTGTAAATAATCCAAATTTAATGGGAAAAGTTAAAAAGGAAAGCGGGAATTGAGCAAAACTCAAGACATTTTCAGTAGATTATAATCTACAAAATTTTCTAATCCACATAATCCTTATTCTCACTGTATCTGGATTATTAAAATTCTGCTATGTTATGCAACTAGGTTGCGTTTCAAGAAATGCCGTGTGTTGACAGATTTGGAAGTGAAATTGATTATTAATTTTTTAATACAGAGTGTTTATGAAGTTTCTATACATTTCTGCTTAAACAGACTTTATTCTGAAATATAAATTATTTACATGAAAACGCAGCGTAAATCTGATGGTCATGGAGCCCAAAACCGTTGAGAACCATAATCAATCCACCTTTCAGGAAAAGTTTCATTAAGGTAATTACATACAGTAATGGCAAAATGGGGGTGTACCCCATCCTGTTGGTAGACAACAGTGTCAATAATGCCTTCTGATACTAGTTGTGGCTCAAGATATTGTTGCAACATATCTGGATAAATATCTCCGGTGATGGTCCTTTCTGCAAACATGAAAAGTCCATGGAGCTTAGTTATTCCAATCCATACGTTAACTTTAGGTGTGTCTCGCTGAGATTTGTATAACACATTTGGTTGTTCATCAGCCCAGATTCGGCAGTTAGCCTATTAACATGACTGCTGAGATGGAATGTAGTTTTGTTGCTGAAGAGAACATTCTCCAATAAGTTCTCGTTCTTCACAGCTTCCAACAAGTCATAGCACATGGCTTGCTGAGCTGCATGGTCCTTGGCTTCAAGCTTATGCACAGTTTGAATGTGTTAGGCAGGCTTGTTTAAATGATAGCATAGAGTTTTTCAAACAGTAATATGCAAAATACAGAGTTCGCAGCTGAGTCTTCATGTAGATGCCTGGAGGCTACGTGTAATCACTTCTTGTATACTTTGCACAACTTGAGGCAACCCAGAATAGTCTTCGCCTTTAACACTACCAGATCGCTTGAATTTGTTTATTAAGGTTTTAATAGCTGGTCTGGTAAGTAGCTTGTTTTCTGAATTTGCCGGTGAAGTCCCCCTGCACCTTTTGATACGTTAATCCATGTGCACAGGTACAAAGAATGGCTATTCCTTCCTCTGTTGATAGCATTCTTTCAAATCACCTGCAGTTAGAACATATTGCAATTAGAACATATTTCTCAAGAATGTGCATAGACTTTATTAATACCTTTTTTTTTCCAACAAATCACAAGGGAAGGTACTTTTGAAAGTGCCCTGCATTTCTTTGCATTGAACAATGTAAACAATATTACTGTTTTCATTTTTTCATCTAAAAATACAGGACAATGCTTATCAATGTGAGGAATGTTAAAACTGCATATTACTGTTAAGTTTTATCCTGTGTTCTATTTCTCAAGTTAGCATGACTCTGCAAAGACATTTTAGTGTTTTATGCCATTTGTAATATAAGTATAAAACCAGTGCCTTCAAAAAAACGTGTACTTGTTGAAGTCATCAAGTTGTAATATTTGTAGCCTAGGTTTGATTTCTGACAGCAGCAGGTGCCAATATGGGCTGTAATTTTAGCATTTCCTTGTGTAATGCAAATATTTGTTTTTGATAAAAGGTTCTCACATCAGTTAGAAAGACAGTTTTCTGTAGTTTAATTATTCTAATTAATTCTTCTGTTCAATGTTGTCTGAAAATCTTTAAAAAAATTTCTTTTTTTTTAAATTTGGTTAATATTTGTGTATTTCAAACTACCTAGATTAATTGTGTTAAAAACTGTAAGTACTTTTTTAACATAGTCATTAAAAATATATGCTGCATTCCATTTAAATGTTATTTGTTAAAGTTCTGAAGGCATTCATTAGCTTATTTAAAATTTTACCTTTTCTAGAACGTGTTTTGCATGAGATAACATTGAATGAGTCCATTCGATACAGAAATGGAGACAAAGTTGAAGATTGGTTAAATCGTTTGTTATGTCTAGATGCTACTATACATGCTTCAAAATTGCTTACTCCACCTCCTGCTACAGAATGCAAATTATATCCTTTAACTTGGCATTGGCTTAAATTATGTTTTGTTATAGCTTTTTATTTTGTAGATGTTATTTTGTGTAAAACTGTTTAGAATTGACTGTTGTCTAATTGAGAACTAGGAAGTAAATTTTCAATTAAGTTTTTCAGTAATGAAAAATTTCATGGTTGGGCAAAGATTTTTGGATTGTAAACTTATTTAAGGTTTTGATGAAAGCCTTGTCTAAATTACAAGTTTTATTTTCACAAAAATTTTTTCTATGTAACCAATGTAGAATTTATTAAAAATTTATATTAATTTTGCAAGGGTAGAAACTGGTTGCTCTGTAATTGAGAGCAAGAAAGTTTTTTTTTTTTTTTTTTTTTTTTTTTTTCCAACAGTTTTTCAGTAATAAAAATCTTATAGGTGGGAAAAGACTTTTGACTTGCAAATTTGTTTAAAGTTTTAATGAAGGCCTTTTCTAAACTACAAGTTTTATTTTCAGAAAAAGTAAGAAGTGTTACCTATATTACCTTTTTATTTGCTTCTTTGTTATTATTAGGTATCTCAATTATTTTTTGTGAATCCATTGTCTTAGTATTATAATAGTATATCTACTGGTCATTCATTCCAAGATGTACTCCAAATAACAGTGAATTCTATGTAAAACAAGATATCCATGTAAGATATGTACATATATTTTGCCGTATAACAGTGATATAAGGCACAATTTTAATATGAAAAAATAGGGCCAAAATTTACGGATGTGCATCATATGCTGGATTTGAAATGGCAGCTTAAAAATAAGGAAACAATTAGGCTTTTACATGCAGTAAAATGCTGCTTATCTGAAAAGAAATGACATACCTTATGCAATTAAACGTTTTCACAATCGGTTAGCATAAAAATTTTGCTATGTTCGTCTTCCATTATATCTTCAGGCATATCATTGAATTTTGATTCAACTTCATCATCATTGTTATTTTGATCCATAAATAAATAATCATTATCCATTCCATCTTTCATCAACACCATCCTTGTTGTGGCACAATTTTTGCAAAATGATGCATTTGAAACCAGCACTGTGTTTGTTTCTTTTTGTGGGAGCCATGTTTGCTACTAAAAGGAGCAGTGATGTTTAGATGAACTGTATTTCAACTAAATGCGATGTATTAATGCCTTTAATTTTCACTTCAGAATAAAATGGCTAGAGAAATAGAAAACATCTGACTCCTAATTCCACAAATTCATTCAGGTTGGAAGTGCTCTACAATAGCAATCTCTTGGACATCTGCATTGAATAGAATCCATCCTCTTTTTCGGAATATTTACTCCCTCAAGCATTTAACCCACACACATATTATTCCTCTTATCACTTGTTAGTGTGGTTTACCATTATTCAAAAGTGTAGGACAAATGTTCGAATAAGTGACCGCAAAAGATAAGAACATTGCACAAGTATATTTTAAGTTTCTTCGTGAAAAATTGGGTGCACGTTATACAGTGAATATACTTCAAAATTAAAAAGTGTAGCTTGAAATTATGCATGCTTGTTATACAGAGGTGTATGCTATAGGTCAGAAAATACAGTATATAATTGAGTAACTTATACTTTCACAAGTAATATTGAGGGTTTAATTAGTTTAATTGATGCGCCCTAAGGCATTATCAGTATTAATAATATTAAAATGTACTGTACTCTATATCACTTCATATACTATTTGCTAATAAAATAATATGCAAAGTTTACTTTTCAAAATGTTTGCTTTCTAACTAACAGATAAGACAATACAGCTTCTTTTAATTGTAGAAGCATTGGTAGTTTCCCTACTCTTACGCTTAGAAGCTATTGTAAACCTGAGTAAAAAAACTTCTGATCACAGGAGCTGTGGTAGAATGTTGTTAATGAGAACAATAAGATTGCTAAAAACAGAGGTGCAAAAAACATAATGTGAAAATCCGTATATGTGAAGGACGGAAAGGGGTTGGATGTTTTGACCACTGATATCCATGGTCTCCTGCTGACATTTTTTAGCCCTTATGGAAGAGAGATCAATTCTGAGAAGTGATCTGTAACCTGAGAACATGCATAAGGTTCTGAAAATTACCATTTTTTACTCTCTGTCGCATTTAGTTACATATGTTAAGAAACTGCATGCATGCACATATAGTTGACATTACTGTGAGTGTAAAATGCTTGACTTGCTTAAGCTGCTGTATTCCACATTTGGCAATAGACTGTTTATCACTTGGCATATGTTTTGAAAACTTTAAAGGAATTTGTTGTGAACAATGGATACGGGTGTGTTACTCTATGTTTGTTTGGTCATTTCTAAAAAAGTTAAGATATCTCATTATTAGGTTTATTTATTTTCATAATTTAAAAATTAAGGAAATGCTTTAGGAATCATACCATTAAAATAAATTAGTTTAGTATTATACAAATGACATGTTTAGTATAATACCAGAGTAGATCTCAAAAATGACATGTTTTTCAGTTACTTAATACAACAGAGAGGGAGAATCATGTAATTAGTGCAAACTATTGTATTGTGTTAATTTAAGCAACCACCTTTTTCAATTCATTACGGATGTTAATTTCAGTAACTCTGTTAGGTATCAAGTATGTAATATGGAAATGTTTAGATTTATATTTTGGATAAAAATTTTATTTTTAGTAATTTTTAATTAAAAATATCAATTTAAAAATGTAGTTTGAGAACAGATATATTAATGGATTAATTATATTCTTTCAGAAGGTAATAATTCTGTTATTTGATTTAAAGGAAATTTATAAAAGCATTTTGAAAGCAAATTTGAAAAGTATGTTTGAATGCAAATTTATTGTAACTGATTAAAATAACAGAAATTATGTTTCAGAAATATAAGGCATTTAATGAAATGAATCCAGTTTTCTGTCAAACTTCTTATGAATGTTTATGAATGAAAAAAGAAAATCTGAAAGCCTTAAGATTCTATATTACACCCAAACAGGCAATTTTTTTTTTTTTTTTTTCATTTACATACATGGACATATTCTGAGAGCATTTGGACTAATGCCACATATTAAAATATTTAAAAACAGCATATTCTTAGAATTTCCGATAGATAGGAATTGTTGAGTTTTTTAATCAAAAATTCATTTAAGTTTTACAAAATATGAAATAGATAGTAAAACAAATTCCAAATTTGGCCTTCCAGGGGCCCATGTTCAGGTAAGGATTATGTTATTGAAAATTTGATGACTCTAGGTGCCGTTGTTTTTTTCCCAATGTGAGAAACATACATACATTCATGTAGTTTCTTTAAATATAATACAGGGTGAAATATTTGGCGGCAACAATTTTAAAAGTGATACAGCCGTTTATAGTGTGATTCGATACAAAATGCTGTTTCAAGACTAATCTGGGCTAATGCCCATTTGGGCTAAAACGAGAGAAAGGAGGGGATTTCTAATCTACCAAGGTTTCATAATAAGTGTTAAGTATAGGTAATTGATAAATCAATCAAAACTGATAAATCAGTCTGAACTAAAACACCTTGCTAGGAAACAATTTAAGGTTTGTCTTTTAGGTACTACAACACTGCTTGTAGTATGTTATATATACACTGCTGGCCACCGTAAATGTAACACCCTGAAGGAAGCATGCAAATAACCTTAAATTTACAACATGCGTTAGCAGAGGTGAGATATGCAAATGATTAGAATTTTAGCACAGGCGCACATAACGTGCGCCCGTGGCGCCACTTCAAAACACTATTTAAGGCTTGGAGTTTTCGACGATTTCAAGTTCGACAGTTGTGTTTTTCTTGTGGTTTTTTCAAAAAAAAAAAAAAAAAAAAAAAAAAAAAAAGATCAATTATGCCTCATAGTAAAAAGCGTTCAAAGTTTGAATAAGTATCCGAGTTCAACAGAGAAAGAATAGTGGCCTACCGAGAGTGTGGATTTATCTTTCAGGGAAACTGGTAGTCGTGTTGGAAGAAACTAAACAACTGTAATGCGGATATGTGACCATTGGATGCAGGAGGGTACGACGGACCAACGTGTTCGATTGCATCCACCTCAGTGCACAACTTCTTGTGATGACAGGAACATTGTGCACATGGCAGTGAAGGATCACTCAGTCACAACACATTCAGTCTGTAACGCATCATCCAGTGTCTGCGCGTACCATTCGGCACCGTTTACAGCAGAGTGGTCTGTCCACAAGACATGCATTGCTTTGTCTACCCTTGACGCAGAACCACAGACATCTCCACCGTCAATGGTATGATGAAAGAAGGATGTGGACTTCAGAATGAAATGAAATTGTCTTTACTGATGAGTCACGCTTTTGTCTGCAACACCACGATGGTCGGATTCGAGTCTGGAGACACCATGGAGAGAGGATGCTGAACAGTTGCATTATGCACCACCACACTGGTCCTGCACTGGGTATTATGGTATGGGGCAATATTGGATATCACTCTTGCACTCCTCTAGTACACATTGTTGGTACTTTAAACAGCCAGCACTACATCTCCGAGGTGTTGGAGCCAATTGTCCTTCCTTACTTCAGGGCTTGCCCACAGTCATATTTCAACAGAATAATGCACGACCACATGTGGCACGCATTGTCCAAGGGTTCTTCGTCAATTGCCAGATTGAATTGCTTCCCTGGCCGGCTCGCTCTCCGGATCTTTCGCCAATAGAAAACTTCTGGTCGATGGTTGCTGAACGATTGACCCAGATTACATTCCAAGCTGCCACACCAGATCAACTGTGGCAACATGTGGAAGCTACTTGGTCTGCTGTCAGCGGCGTAGCTAGGGTTTTCGGCACTCGGGGACAACCTTTCTCTGTGCCAAGAATGGAAAACATTTCATTCTAAAATTTCGTAACATCAATTTGGCGCCCCCTGAATGCTGTGCCCGGGGACAGATGTCCCCCTTGCCCCACCCTAGCTATGCCACTGTCTGCTGTACCCCAAGAACACATTTAAAGTCTCTTTGAATCAGTGCCGAGGCGTGTGGCTGTAGTGATCTCCTACAATGGTGGCTACTCTGGCTACTGATTCCGGAAGGAACCGCATTTCACAGAAGTCTATAAATTTAATCATTTGATACTTGGTCAACATGTTATCTACTAAATAAATTTTCATGTGATATCTCTTGTCTTTCTTGGTGTTGCAATTTGGGTGGCCAACAGTGTATTATTTATTACATATGCATAGGATGTTTTCAAAAATTTTTTAATATTTCTTATGTAGCAAAATAATTATAATATACTTTTTTTAAACTCTGTATTGTATCTTCTTTAATTTAACTATATCTTGAATTCTGTGAACAAAGTCTACAATTTGTATTTGGTTAATGTGTAAAGAGTGTGTTTTCTAGCAAATTTGAGGTTCAGTAGTCCAGTGATGCTACAACAGAAGATTTTGCTGGAAAAAAGTCATACATTCTGTACTATTTATAACTAGTATCTTTATTCTGATGGAGTTCACTTTTTTTTATATACATTATTTTGATAATGGAACTGAATTCCTTACTTAGATAGGGAAGTGAAAAGTTTGTTTTAATAACCCATAACTCTTTTCTTTTCAACATTTCTTTGTGTGTTTAATTTTGTTTTCCTGTTGTCTGTAAAACTATTATAATAAAACTTTTATTGAAACTCCTGAAACCAAATTTTAAAATCGACTTTTACAGTAATAAATTGACCACTTTCTTTTAAAATCATTCAAATATCCTTTTTTATATTATTTTTTATTGCCACCCTGATAGGTATAGTTAGCATTGCTGTCTGTTGTATTGTTGGGCTCAGATTTAAATCCTGTAGGAACTTGAATGTCTCTAAATATGTAGTGTTTCGTGGCAGGGTGCACTTAAAATATGCAGTGAGTCAAACATCCTCTTGAATTATTTGGTGAATGAGAAAGAGGTGTGGAAGAACCACAGATACATCCTTTGGGGGATTCTGCTTCAAAACTGCAATAAAACTAGATGTCATGCTGTTATCTATACGGTGCTCAAGACCCATGTCGAACCAGATGCAGTTCTGCACATCTAGGCTTGATGAAATTCATGGGCTTGTTCTGATATTACTGTCAGACAAATGAGATAAGTCACAACAATTATTATTTATTATTTTATCAACAAAAGCCAGGCATTTTAAATCTGATGATAACCACAGTGAGTTGGTGGATTCTCTTTGAGGACCATAAATTTAATTTTGAAGTGGTCTTTGAAATATATTGTTGCAAAATGCCAAGCTGTGATGAGATAGCCTCCCAGCAAAGTGAGGTTACGTTGCCAGAAAGTGGCAGGGAAAGGTAGGATTGCTGCATTTGGCAACATTTAGGGACAAAATTGATGGTATGCCATAGACAGAAAACATTCTAGAATGCATTCTTAGTGGTTTTCTTCAGAATAATATTCTGAGGCATAGGTTGAAGCTATATATATCCTGCCTGTATTTGCAGTAATAGTGACTTGAGTTCAGAGATCAGCTTGAGGGCAGTCGACCAGGTCAGGAGCTGTACTTTAGTGCTGTCTAGATGCTGTCTTCACCATCATAGCTTGAAGGCTGTGCTGCTGATTGTTTCAGTGTGCTTATCATAGTTTTTTATCATTGTAAACATATCTTTCGAACTGTCCTGTGTAATAATGCTTACTGGCAAATAAATTTACGTTTTAATTCATCAAGTGTTACTTGTCAGTTACTCTGGATCCACAAACTCATAGAACACAATATACTTTTATATTACATAAATATTTGCCTTCTGTTTTCTGTGAGAAATGTTGATTGTTGATTTTTTTCTGTGTATTATTTATTAAATCAAATCATTTAAAGGCATAATTAATAATATTGCTTATTATACCTTTAAATATTTTGATTTCAAAAGTCTTGCATCTTTTTTTTTTATTGAAAAATGAGTCTGTTTTTCTCCAAGCAGTATAGAAACATAGCCTTCTATCTAAATGTATTTGCACAAAAATGTTGACTGCAGCTGACAGTAATTTATCCTTCAATGTAAAAACTGTAGCCAATTTTTTTTGTATGGTTTATTAATTTTACTTATTTGTGTAATCAAATTCATTCAAAAAATGCCTGAACAACCTTTATATTTCTATTTTCTGATTTAAATTGCAATTCTAAGACTTTTTTTTTTTTTTTTTTGTATTTGTATTTTAAAGTGAGTTTATTATTTTAATAGTGTTAGTTATTAAAGTAAGTATAATATATTATCTTGCAGTCTAGTTCTTAATGCCCCAAGATATATAATTTTAAGATTTTGCATGATGTGATATAGTTGAAAGTGTTTTCTTCCTTAATCCAAAAATTACATATTACGTCAGTCGTGACACTCTTTTCAGCCACAATAAATTTGCTGAACGTTTTCTTCGCAAACTGGTTGCTATATTTGTAGCTTCTCATTACAAAAATTCTCCGAATGATTTGCTGATAATGTCAGATGCTCCTGCTCATCATATATTTTGTTTATGTGCTCCTTCTACCAAAAAATTGCCTGAAATTCTTTGTGTTGTACAGGTAAGAAATTTCTATAAAATGTGTGATGTCTATGACATAGTTGCCAACATTCCTGGTTTTTCATCACATTTCCTATTGAATCTCTCAAAAATTTATTAAAAAATATTTTCTAGCAATAAAGGAAATTTATTGAATCAAAATTACGGAAATGCCATTAATAATTTTCAGCATAATTTTTCTTATTAAATTTTACTTAATCTGGATTGTCTAGTCTGCTGTAGACATTTGTAGAACTTATCATGAAGCTTCAGCTAATGCTTAAAATATGTGTATATATATAAAAGTTTGCATCCTTACTCAAAATTTTCTCATCATAAAAGTGTAACTGAAGTACAAAATAAAATTACGTAAAAGGCATACAATTTAGAATATATAGTTAAATATTTAACATTAGAATCACACCATAAATAGTTCAGTCATCTGAGTCATGCATTATAAAGTGAATTTAAGTCAATTTTAAGTTCTTTTGAAATTGTGGCACAGGATGAAAACCTCCAAGAAGCCCCCCTTTTTTTGGCATGTGATAATTTCCCCTTTTGCATATTTAAATTTGACAGATATACTATGAATAGTTAGAAATTTGGAAAGTTGGTATAAATTGGTATAATGTGTGGCATTTGTTATGTTCAGCAACAGAACTTTTGCTTATGCAAAAAATAATTTGATTATCATCATCCACAGATGCTTTATCTGATTTTATCTTGAAAAGTGTCTAGTCCTAAAAAGCATCTCTAAACATGATTTTATGTGGTATTTACTTCAGATTTCTACATCTGTTTTACAAAAGTAAGCTTTATTAAGAAATATTATATATTTAAAATTCATGTAGAACACAGTATATTTCATTACTTAAAAAAAAATAAATAAATAAAACTGATAAAGGAATTAAGATTGAGAAGTATTCAAAACAAAGCTTTAAAATGAAATTTTAAAAAAATTCAGAAAATAAATTTAAAAAAATTAAAAACTATTTATATAAAAATTTTTATTTACTTCTATGATTTTTATATTAATATGAGTATGTAATTTTGTGTCCTTTATGTATTTGCATATCTATTTTAATGTCCTTTGATTTAATAAAAATCTTCGCCGTTTGCAAAAAGTCTGTTAAATCAGGATTCGACTGTTTATGCTGCTAAATTTAGCACTAAATACACTTATTTATCATATTCAGTGTCCAAATAAATTCAGGATACAAATTTATGCATTCAATGAAAAGCAGTTGCTTATTTGTTTTTCATTAAATTATTCTTATGTCATAGTTCTGTATGATAAATGAAAAAATATTACAGTAGAAGTGCAGAAATCTGCAATGCTTGGGACCAGAAGTTGTGCAGATTTTAGGATTTTGCGGATTTCAGGACAGAAAAGATAATATTCAGACTAAAAGTGCAAAATAAATAAGGCATATTAAATACATTTAATTAAATTATTATATACATCAATACAAAAATTAATTATATGCATTAAATTATTATTACATATATAAATTGTTAAATCAGCATGAATCTGCTTCCCCTTTTTGCTCAGGTGTAGTCCTGAAAGAGGTACCCCATCACTTCGTCGCTGCCGAACCACTCATACAAGACAGCATCGAGGTTTGCCAATTTCGCCTCGTAAAGATTTTCAGTTTCAGATTCCGGTATTAGAATCACTGTTGCTATAAAATTTCAAAAGCTTTTCTTTATTGTTCCATATATCATACACAGTCTGTGTCGCAATTCCATACGATTCTGCTATAAACCGAGCAGTAGCACCTGCCTTCATCAGAAAGTACAACAACGTGAAGTGTGAACTTGAAAGAAGAGTTGAGTTAATCGTCTGCTTTTTTACCTCGATACAGATTGGAGGGGAAAAAACTCTTATCATGATGTCAATAATTTGGCATTTCCGTTATGACTCATTATTATTCGGTAATTATGACGTCATTATCCAGTAAGTATTTTTTCTTTGATATTCCGTACTCCATGTTGCAGTTTCCAGAACCTATAAGCTAAATGTTTATATTTTGAGAGGCAGCGTGGATTTCAGGAGTTGGCGGATTTCAGGTCGGCGAATTTTCGGTATTTGACTGTATTACAAAACAAATATGAAAATATTTATGATTTTGAAGAAATTGAAACTGAAGAAACTGATTAATTATTGAATGACTTCAACTGAAATATACATGATAATATAAAATATTGCATTCTGTATCATATTTGCACTAGGATTCAAGAAAATTTTTTTAAAAATGGAGGAATAAATCAAAATAAAATTTAAACATGTCCAGCTAACTGAATAAAGTATACATTACTGTTTGAAGGGTTTACAGCCTGTATTTCTATTCAAGTGCTTTGTTTCTCAATAAGTTTTTCTAATTTTGATAATGTAATTTATGTCTTATTTTAATTGACAAATAATCTTTATGTTCTGTGAAAGACTATATTTAGGAGATTCTATAAAATATCTTTATTTTGTTATATCTCATTGATGAGAGTATATGGTTGCAGTTGATAATTATTATGTAATAATTCAGTTTTTTTATTAAATATTAAATTTTTAAAAGGATGTAATTTAAGGAGCTGATACATTTACGATACTGATACATTTATTTATTTAATTACATTGAGGTATTAATGTAATTTACATAAATGCATCAGTTCTTGTAATTTACATACCAAATAATCATAAGCATACTAATCAAGCATTTCACATGACATTGTTTCTGGGAACTACTCTTTTATATTCATTATGGTATAATGAATATACAGAGTATTTCAAAATAATTGCAAGACTAAATATGTCATGTATAAATGGTTCTGTTTTTGACTTTAATATTATAATATGATATTATAAATTTAATGTGATTAATTTCATAAAAGAATTCAAATAAAATAAAATTCAGTTAGATAAGCATTTATTTAATAACACTGGTTACATTTGTGATGATTTATCTATTTATCTTTGACTAATAGTTAATTTTGAGTTAACTTTTCTGTTGACTTCCTTTTCACCTATGCTTTTCATGCCAGAATATAAATGAGATAACAAGTGCTTATTCAGGTTGAGGAAGAAAAAAGTGTTATTTAAACAACGTTTTTGCAAGTTGATTTTAGAGCATGTTCTGCCTATTTGTGGCAATGTTGTTAAATAGCAATTTTATGAATTAAACATTAAATAGCAAGCTTGTCTCGCCTGTTTTCTACAAACCAGACTGTTCCTGTGCATTACCTTTTCCTGTGAGCATTAAATGTAGTTCAACATTACTTAGCCAGAAGTGTTGGCTTAGCTTGTCTCGCCTGTTTTCTACAAACCAGACTGTTCCTGTGTCTTATGTAAGCTTAAGTGGAGCCCTCTGTGAAAATCTTTGTATTTGAATAAAAGGGTCTTACACACCCTTCTTCTAGCTTTTGTTTATATCATAAGACTTGAAGATAATTCTTCTACAGTCTTTTTAGAGCTCATTTAGTGTATGCTTCTTAAGCATACTAGATGCTATACATTCATGACAATAAATTAAGTAATGTGAGACATTATTAGGGAAGTAAAAAGAAGTAAATCAAAACATAGAAATGTTTATTCAGAATATGACCTATTTTCAGAATTAGAACTTTTTGATGTAGCATTGGTATCGTGAGTATGCTTGTCCATGCTTTCACTCTCCCACAAAATGTCATCTTCACCATAGAACCAATAAGAAGAGTTGTTACATTCCATTACCTAGACCTTGAATTTAGCACAATGGGACGTTATTAATAAAAAATATCACATTACATTCGAGCTAATGATATATCTGCAGTTTTTACATACCCATAGTCCACCTTTAATGCTATGATTATTATGGCAAGTTTCAGGATTCCAACTTTAGAGACCAATTTGATTTACCTGTATTATAGATATCACATAAAACTCTAATTATATTGGAATTAAAATTAAAAAATATTAGATTGGGAGAGCTTCATTTTTACCAAATATTTATCCTAACAAACGAACAAACAAACAAAAAAAAAAAAAAAAAAAAAAAAAAACATGACGAAGACGAAGCTTTTAGCCAGCTTTCCCTTTTATGTTGTTGCGGAAGCTACTTTTCCGTAAGTACACTTATATTTTGCGAATTAAAATAGAGGTCCATGAAAATAACAACTTAAATGTATTTTCTTCTTAATAAGAAAAAGAATGCTGACTACTATAGCCTGTTTAACTTTCCAACATGTGTGCTTGGCAATTTTAAATGAGCACGTGCACGTCCTATTTTTTATGACATCCATTATTTTACCATTTTTGGCATGAAAAACAACATATATGAGCTAATATTGATAATAAATTTGTAAAGAAATAAAATATTAATCTTATTATTGCAAAATACAAATGATATCACATTCAGAAATAGGTAAATTATTTTTAAGTTCTTATGTTAGTGAGATGGAATGCAATGATGTATTTCATTATAGAAAATTTTAAATTTGTTATTTAATAATTATGTTTTAAAATTGAAGCTAATTTTAATATTCATCAAAGATAAGTATGGAGAATAAAAAAGGAAAACCCCTTGGTAGAAAAAAAAGGGAGTTTAGCATTACTTACTTCTACAAAGAAATTTACTTCTTACTGGTTACAAAAATGCATTTTTAACAACTTTAATGTTTTTATTTATTTCTAAAAACAGAATAAAAGAAATAAGGAAGGGAATCGCTATTGCTCTCCCCATCTAAAGGTTCCTTCTTCCTTTTCTTCATCAGATATTCTTGAAGAATCCAGCAAAATCAGCGGGTTGCACATTTTTTTTTTTTTTTTTTTTAGCATGAAAAATGATATAAAATTTACAGAGCCCAACGTAAATTAAATAATAAACACAAATTATAAATTTTGAGGAAAAAAAAAAATTTTCCGAATTTTTAAAACACAACCGTACTTTTATGAAAAAACTGCCACGTAGTGCCCAGTTAAAAAAAAAAAAAAAAAAGTCAAATGACTTCCTGTTGGCACATTCCATGATGTGGGGAAGGGTAGAAAGGTGGAATAGAAATGGCCATCAGACGCCTCAACTTCGATATGTGAAAAATGTGCATTGAAAACTGAATTTGTCATAAATTTTGCACACGCATGCGTTCTGGAAGGTTAAAGTACTTCAAGGCCATTGCCATTCTGAACAATCAGCTGGAACTTCCATTTCCCATGGTTACAAGGCTAATTGTGTGGTGGAAAATTACTTTGAAGTTTGTGTTCTAAAGTAACATACTATAGTCATAACAATGAATGAGTTTAAAAAAATGAATCAATATGACAAAATTTAAGACAGTAATTTGAATCACAGGACACTTTTAATGAAAATGGAAATAAATTAAATTTTTACACAGGGTCTGTAGGGAAAAGTATTGTTAACAGAAGTAATTTCTATGATCGAATTAGTCAGGTAAGAGAAATCCATCAGTAATCAAAATCACCTGAGAAGTCGTCAGTCAAAATTCTGGATAGCATTCTGGACAGTAAAGACACATAGAAGTTTTCAAAATGTTCTAAAAATGCAATGTTCTAAAAATGATTTTTTGTTGGGAAGTAAAGGCTTTCAATTTTAACTCCTATTAACAACAGGAATAAAATTTGAAATTTTGCATGAAATAAAATAAAATTTTGTAGAATCTGTGAACTCTTTATTTTCATCATTCAATAAAATTAGATCATATGATTCATATGATTTTCACTATTTTAAAAGACCAATTTTGCATATTACAGAAATACAGTCAAACCTCTGTTTAATGAAACACACTGTTGTTTGTTTCCTCTGTTTAGCAAGCAGGATTCTGCCCAAGGTGTGAATATCCACTCTCTGTTTAACACATTTTTTGAAAGAACTTTTTTTCTACTCTAAAATTATGTATTCATTTGCTGTGGCAGGTATGTATGTGTGTGCACCGCTGTGGTCCTGACAAAAAGCAAGTGGCTCGTTTTACCTGTTGTCACATTCTATTAAAAATGAGGGGAAAAGTGGGGGGAGGGAGATGCTCAAAGAGAAAGTATTTACTCACGCTTCTGTTGAAAATTCCCTTACCAATCCTGTTTTGCAAACTAGCTTAAGGTTAAGTAGCAGCTACATGTTATTTTATTTCTGCTTTTCATGGTTTTGTACTGCAAATCATTTTTAAAGTTAGTTGTGCATGAATGATAAACATTTTGAAACAAAAATTTCTAATGCCCTTAAAAAAATAAATAGAATTCTCAACATAGTGGACAAAAGGGAAAAGAAAGGCTTCACCATAAAATTTTGTATTCTGCAAAATAATTTATTAACAGCCTAAAATATTGGGACAAAATTTCGTCAAGCTTTGATTCTACCAATCCAAGTGCTGAAAGTAAGAAAAACATGCATTTATGAAGACATTGACGAAGCAAAGTTAAAATGGCTGACCACAACTAGAAACAAAAAATTGGCTAGTATCAGGGCCATTGATACTGAAAAAAGCTATAAATAGAGGCTAGATATTAGAGATTTGACTTCATTCATTTTTTAAAACATACATAATGAGATGAGGAAATACTTATGAATATCTTTATCTGTAGACCATTTTAAAAATTGAAATTTAATATATGTTTATTAAAAGATGTCAGCAAAATATTATACTCTGAAAGAGTAACTTAATTGACTCATTTTAAATTGGAACTGTGTGTTTGGTCAACTGCTCAGAAGATACTAAATGTGCAGTACTGTTTTAACCTCCAACATTATTAATACTGTTTTTCGCAGGTGGAAGTAAAATTTTCAGCGAATAGTTTATTTTCTTAATGAATTTTTGTCAAATTTATATTATTTCTAATAATTTATATGTTGTATTAAGTTTTTATTTTGCTTGCAGGTTTGCATGGAAGGTAAATTATCTCAAAACACAGTGAAGCAAGAACTCAATCGTGGTAGGCGGGGGGCTGGAGATCTTATACCTTGGACTATTTCACAAGAGGTATCCAGTTTAAAACTTTATATGTTAAATGTTTTTATTGGTATGGAAAGCAAATTAATTTCACAAAATAAATAAATGAATGAATATTACTAAATAAATAAATACAGCTGAATCATTTGTTATCATTCAGATTTTAAGTAATGAAGCAAGCAGATTGTCCATGTGAGCTCTAGGTTTCCTAAAGTTTTGAGATGTGAATGAGTTTTATTTATATATTTATTTTTATATTAAAACTGCCAGTAATAGTTTATATTTTTTACTATAAACTAATAATTTTTAAAATGTATTGGATGAAAGCATATGGTGTCCAAATCTACTCTTACAAAAACGGGGAGATGCAATTAATTGCAGCAAAATATTCAAGAAAAAAGAACTACAAAGAATATTCAGGGATATACTGACTCATGTTAATGCTGCACTTACAACAAACTGTGGAATTCTGTACACCAAGAGAAATCAATCTAGAATAAACTTCATTTTTTTTTGTTTTGTTTTGATTTGTTGTTGTTGTTATTAAAACTACTTGGGCACTGGATGTTATATGACTGATTAGATTGCAAGGGAATAATTTATTATATATCATTACATTTCAACCAATCAGCCAGTGTTTTTCAGTTGAAAGCAACTTAATAGATATATAAATGGATATTACAGTGCAAATAGCTGTCTTTTGGTAAAGTGAATCAGTTTGTACCCTCCCAGGATTGGCCACATGTGGCCTTTAAGCTAGAAATATTTTTAATCTAGCTTAGGAGATAGTAATATATAGAGTTTCCATGTAATGTACTATCAGATTTTTATTTTGGACTTAAAATATTTTCTGTGCTAAGCAGCATGGAGCTCAGCTGCATTATGTATTTCTAGAAATGTATATATAATTTCTAAAATGAACTATGTAAAATACTGCTCATTAAAGTCCTAAATATTCATGCAAGATTATATGCCTTTTTATTTATAAAAATGAATAGTAAGAAAAATTACAAACTAATAAAAAGTATATTAAAAATTTCAGTTCATTTTTGTTATCTGCCCTCCCCCCTCCCCACCAGTGTATTCATGAGGAAATGCACTGTATTGCCAAAATGATCTCAGGTATGCACAGCCTCACACTTCTCTCCAAATTCCAGTGGTCATTTTTCTGATCTTTTTGCATCGAGTACATTTTTTTCTTGTAATGAGTTGTAATGGGACTATGGAGTTTGATTACTGATAAAAATGAAAGGATTACTGAAATCATGCTATTCTCTGATTTCTTTAAGCAAAAAAAAAAAAAAAAAAAAAAAAAAAAAAAAAAAAAAAAAAAAAAAAAATAATTGATGTACACAGGGAGAAGGTGCAAAAAGTGATAAAAGTATTTTTTTAAACTATGTTTTATTGCAGATGATTCTTATTTTTTTTAATTTTATTGATTGGTCACTTTTTATAGACTTCTTTGTTGCCACCTTTCATATATGAGCTTGGTGGAAAATCAATCGCCAGTGGCTGAAAACTTTTGGGGAGGGGATTGCAGGTAATCAGGAAAACCAAAATTTCTTTTCATAAGCTGCAAAAAGAGACCTCGAAAATGCTATGCCTAAGTAGTCCCTGTATATACTTTTGGGAAAGGTGTAAAAACTATTAGTACTATTCTGTTTTGAGGACCGTAAAAAAATTGCAGCGAAAATGTATGGGCAAAAGCGCCAAATCTAGCGTACGTGCTGATTTCAGATTGCGTAACTGTATTTCTAATTTTCAGACGCGATTGAAATACTAGTTTAATTTTAAATCTTTTTTGATATCCGGATTAACAATTTGGGAATTGCCCCTGACGAAAAGTCTGCAATAGAATTTTTTCAAAGAAAGGCATCATCATTATAAATATTATGTTTGAAAACCAACGAAATAAACTATGCTTCAGCAATAACTTGGTAGCGAAATAGCAATGCAGGCATCCATTCAGTTATATTAGCAATCTTTATAAAATTATATATGATCTGAATAGTTATTACTCTTATACTTCCATTCAATCATGTGTAGCCTTTTTATATAAATTATCATAATAAAATGTATTATATGAAATTAACCTTTCATCTAATTAAAAGATCAATCTTAGTTATTTACTATTATAACTTCCTTTCTTGCATTAGGGTTGCCGCAATTATTTTTGGCAGCACTGGCATCAACAATAGTTTGGCGATGTTTTACGGCCCTCAAAAACGAATGGTACCAAACTATTTAAGTATACTTGTCATGAATGAAACATTTATTTAAGGGAATATTATCAGATGACACAAAAAATATTGTGATAAATAGTTAATGATATGTGAAATTTATATACTTTTTCAACATGTGTGAAAAACGAGTTTTGATTTCATAAGTTTATTAAATTATTATTTATCTTTACAAATTTTTATTGCATGTTTAGTTTTCAGAAGAAGATTTTCCTGCTCTTGCTGGCGCTCGTATTGTTCGAATAGCTACTCATCCTGAATATCAGAGGGTAAATCTGCTTAACTGTTGTATAAATAAAAATTTAAAATGCAAACTTTGGGTATTTTTGTTGGACTTAATTGTAATATAATAATACAGTCAAAAGTCTTTAATCCGGACTCGTCGGGACTTCAGCGATTCCGGATTATCAGTTTTTCCAGATGATAGATTATCAGTTTAGATCTGGTAAGATGGCATGTAGAAATTATAAAATTAAAAACATTGAAACCGTGATTATGAAATAAAGAGCAATTATGATCTAACGGGTATCAAAATTTACCAAAAAAAAAAAAAAAAGGGCTTAATATTTATTTGTTTACTTTATTAAAATTCTTCAACGCGTGCATGTGTAAGCATACATTACTCATAGTCGAATTCGAAATTGCAACAGAAAACTATTTGATGTGTATTCGTGATATTTATAATGACAGGGATTGATTTAAATCATATCAAAGACGGAGTACATCAAGATGAAATATTACATTTAGTAAGGATTCAAGCCGAATAAACTAAAAACCTCTGCCCTGAAGATAAGGATGTGCTGGACAGATCAACTTCCAGTTCACTAACCCCCCTTCCCCGAGAGCAATGTGAAATTGATAACAGATTTCGGGAATGGTTCGAGAAACAAACGATATGCCTTTTCCATTTTTGCAGCAATTTCCACTTTTGTTTGCTGACATCGCTTTGTATCCTTTGTCAGCTCTGAATCGGAAATCTTATTGACATAATCGAAAGTTAAGCTTGATCCTTGGCAGCTAGAATCGAAATTCTTTTTGACATAACGAAGTTAAAGTTTATTTTATAAAATTGCTCTAACAGCCTGCAAAAAATAATAAGCCGGATCCAATTAGAAAATTAAGGAATAACGCAATCTGCAACATTAATTGAAATAGATAATTAGATAATTTTAGCTTACCTTATACCATCCGTTATACATTAAATGTGCATGCGTAAACACATATGTGCATGCAATGCGTTTACGCATGCGCAGAAAGTTTGTAGCTTTTGAGGTCCGGATTATAGATTATTCTGGATTATGGACGCTCGGATTAAAGACTTTTGACTGTATTAATAATTTTAGAATATGTTCATTTTAAGAGAAAAAGAATAATTCTTATTAGTTTTTTTTGTTTATTGCTCCTATATGGTGATAATACAGCCTTTTTAAATTTTAATATATATATATAACTGTTTCTTTTACTCAGTCTTGCTTTTTGGGGTCTCCAATGTTTATATTAAGTATTATTTAGAAGTAGATATTTATATATTTAAATTACTTAAAAGTATGTTACTAGCATAAAGCAAATTTCAGTGAAATTCAAATGTATATTTTGGAATGCTTGATGAATTTTTCTTCAACAGAAGTCTGCAAAAAGCAAATATAAAAATAAGGTTATAAATTTATTAAAGTGGCAGAGTAGGATTTTCATATTTAAGTTTTGAAGACTTTTGTCTGCTAGTAAATTTGCAGTTAATTCATGTTACTGATAATATAGAATGTAAGGAAAGTAATTGTCATTTTTTTTTTCAATTATTCACAGAGAATGGCCAAACCCATCAATCATTTAGCCATTTCATTCCAGATATCATTACCGAGGGTGCACCACAGCGGTTGAACCAATATAACATGCAAAGAATGTGGAAGATACACAGAAACAACCAATTCTTGTGCAGAATTTAATCCTAGGGTTTGGATTAAGTCTGCCACTACACCCAGGGAAACATTAAAATAAATATGAAGAGTCAAGCTATATTATAATATTTTAGAATAACTTTTAGGGGCAAAAGTATATAAAAATGCAACAATAGCCTATATATTTTTACCTTTTTCAAATTAGTCAACTTCAATTAACTGGAGTCTGTACTGAGGATGATATCCATGATTAACCAAAATTACTATTAATCTGATGGCAGTTGAAGTACACAGGAGAGAAGATTATTTAGAAATTTTAAATTCTTAAGTGTGTGCATGCATTTTCTTTCTCATTCTTCATGTTTATATTACTATTTTATTTTGATAGGAGTCTTGATCTTCTACTCTTGTTATATTTTCAAGATAAAGCAGTTTGCACTGGTTGTCAAAATAAAAGGATAATGAGAAAAACTATGCTTACTAAGTTAATGTAACTAATGCCCTATGCTGTAATTATTTATGTTAATTAAATACAGTTGAATGCAGAATTGCACTTCAGTTCATATGTTAGTGTTAAGAAATATGCAAATTCAGTGACTGACAATGTTGTGTGCAATCGACACTTGCAGGAATTCTGACCTGTAGTGTTGTTTAAAGTGAATGTGTTCTCTTAGAGTGATTAGCATTCAGTAGTTATGGCCCAAAGGCATCATTTAAGCAAAGGCCAAAAACGGCACATAATTGGTAGAATCAAGGAAGATCAAACACAAATGGAGGTTGTTCAAGATTTGAATATTATAATAATAAGTGTCATATTAAGAGTTTGGATTCACTTTTTAAGCACTAGATCAGTTGATAGACAGCCTGGTTAACTCATTCTGGCATGCTATCTTTTAAAGTCAGAATTTCAACAAAGAAATGATAGGCAATCTAATCAGGCCTAGAGGAATACACATGTAAAATTTTGTAAAAATATCACTTACTGTTTTACTTTTGTGGGTGTGCCAGAGGCAGGTTCACTGAATGAATGGAGCTTCGAAAAGAGTGTTGAATGAAGCGAGCATTGCTAGCAAGTGTGTAACAGAGTAAAAGATTTTGCCTGTGATTAAAAATCACTAGATTCTGATTATCGTAGCAAATTTAGCATTACCCAGAGGGCACCATGGGGGTTACAGCCGAAAACATCGTGGAGAAAACAGCGCAAGGCTGTTTTGCTACAAAAGAGCGTCGTCCAAAATAAAGAGGTTAAAAAACTTCGCAGTTTAAAAATATCGTGGTAAAAAATAAAGTATCTACAAATCATTGCATGACAATAACATCTCAGACATGCTTTTTTCAGGCTTTAATAATTGTAAATGGATATTTCCATATGACTTGTGAGCGCAATATGGAAAGGATAATTTTTTACTTTCATATTTTTATTAACTATAATTTTTTTCTTTTAAAGCAAGAAGGAAATTTAAGCATAGAAAATTAAGGCAACTTATAGCACTTAATAGAATTTTAAACTGCTTAGTTAGCTAACAAAGGTCATTAATAAATCATTTTTCATAAAAAATTTACTGGTAATTTTTCATTAGAAGTATAATCTAAAAAAGTTTAGAAAAAGGAAGCTACCTAACTGCATGACCTTATCTATAAAAAATTGCTAATTATGAGATTATTTTCTTCACTTTTGTCAATCTAATACTCTTATATTGAAAATTATTTCTTGTTCTGCTTCAGTTTATTCTCAAGTATTAAGTTTCCTTCTTACGTTTTCAGCAAAAAGTTATTAGTTAATAAAAAATATGAAAGTAAAAATTATCTTTCTTTCCATCTCACACTCACAAATTATTATGGGAATATCCATTTACAATTATTAAAGCCTGAAAAAAGCAGGTCTGCGATGTTATCATCCTGCCATGATTCGTTGATACTTTATTTTTTACCATGATATTTTTGACGACGATGTTTTTAACCGCTTGCCTGATTATCCCGAGTTATCCCAGTTTCGTACATACTGCAGTTAATTATTATCCCGAGAAAACTCGGGCAAAGCAGAATTTGTCAGTACGATTTGTTTTATCATGGTTTTACTCAGTCTGGAGGAAATGGAAAGAAATATTCAGCTTTTATTAGCAGTTCGCCAAGTTTTGTTGTTTTCGTGATTCTTTTGGCGTGACTGGTCAACCGTTTTCCCTATTGTCTAGTATACGTCGGCTTGTGAATTAGTAATGTATAAAGAATGAAAGTTGCGTTGAAAAAAGTAAAATAATGGCGATGATGCAAGATAGCGAAAGCGATGATTTTTCAGATAGTGATTATAATCTCAACTCATTTTCCAGATGTTATTCCTTCTACTGAAAAAAAATCAAATCCAATGAGACAGTGTTCTCTGTGTTCCCGTAAAAGAGATTCCAGAGGTAAGCCAGTAAGAAAAGAGACTAACCAGTGTAAAGAATGTCAGGTATCACTTTGTGTTGTCCCTTGTTTCAAAAATTCTCATATAATGACTAATATTTAATTTTTTTATTTGCCTGATATAACTCAGGATAGTAAACTAATATTAAAACTTAAATGCTTTTACACCTGTAAAAAATTAAAAATTCAACTCAAAACCTATATATTTTGTTTTGTTTCATTTCCTTGTATTTAATAATAAAATTAAAAAATGTGATGATTTTTTGCAATTTTTTTCAAAAAAATGTGTAAGGGAAGCGGTTAAACTGCGAAGTTTTTGAAGCGCTTTATTTTCGGTGACGATATTTTGTACCACGATGTTTTAGAACTGCGATGTTTTGTAGCACGACGTTTTCACCCGCGATGTTATCGGCGGGCACCCCATGGGGAGGCCTGTTACTCTACCCAACCCCCCAAAAAAGTATCTCTCTGATTTCCATATTGGATTCCTTATCTGAAAGCAATTATTTACCATTTTCAGCACTTCTGAAATGGTCAGCCCTCTTCAAATAAGATATATATATATATATATATTTCTTAAATAATATATATATATATATATATATATATATATATATCTACTATTAAGAAAATATAAACTATAAAATACAATTTATTAAACACTCGCAACTTAAAACCAAGAAAACTTCTTTCAATGAAAGCGAGAGAAAAAAAGAGAACTGCTGTAGTGAAAAACAAAGAGCTAACTGATAAAACTACCCCTGACCTTCAGAAAATCACCCCAACAATTTCTTAGTTTATAACCCCCTAAAATACAAAACAAATGACAAACAGGAACTGAAACACAGTTGTGCAGCCACCTTTCTATTATGAATCGGCTTACCGAAGAAAGTTCTGCAGTGAAACAGCGACTCAGTTGTTGGTCTGGTATTTCAGTGATTCCACTCTGGATACATTAGATGTATGGATTTTTTGTGTAGTGTTGCCTTATAATATTAATAAAGAAGGTTAAAAGAAACCTATAAAGCCTTTTCATTCAATTTTTCTGTGTGTACTGAGGGAATTTTTTGGGTGTGTCGAAAAGTGTTAAAGGCGATCAAGAGCAACAATTGCATCAGAAGACTGTTTTCTATCCTTGTCGGCTTGAAGAAACCACAAAACAACACAAAACTACACGAGATTTGGTTTTAGACCTTCAGGTGCCACAGGAACTCGAATTAGCTGTTTTGCTTCTGCATGAAGGCTTAACGAAGTTGGACTCTGTGTGAGAAAACCAATTGTTTGTGCTCCGTTCACTTCAGCTTCCAGAGACGCCTGTTTAAATTGGTGCCATTGTCATGTTCAGTGGAGCCAAGACCCGAATATTATTTACTGATGAGTCCAGATGCAATCTGAACAGTGACTCTAGACATATTTTGTTCAGAAGAGAGGAAGGAACTTGCCTAACTTTATCTGTGAAAATTTCATTTCCATGACTGCAGTTTAATAGTTTGGGGAGGCTTCATGACAAATGGCTTCTTGAGTTGCATATCTTTCAAGGTGGTTCTGTAACCACCCAGACATGTGTGGCCAAAGTATTGGAATCCTAAGTTTAAGAGTTTAATTTTAATTACCAGTGTACTTTTAGCCAATGATTTAACAATATATTTCAGATTATATACAATTGAATTATATAGTGTGGATAAAAACAGCTGCCAAATACCAGGGCATCATATGCTATTATTGTTATCCCAGGCACTTTTCTCCTTCTTTATTTTGATGTTGTATGTAATATAATTAAATGAATGTTCTGTATAGTATTTTGTGTAATATAATAATATTCTGTAGTTGCATACAAATTACATTTGAAGTTGAGGCTACATTTAAGGCCAAATAATTTTTCCTATAAATTCATAGAAAAAATAGGAAGACTCATATCGGACAAATAACTGCATCATGATCACGAAAATAGAAATCATACTGATTTATATACTTAGTATAATTTCTAATATGAATAAAATTCAAATTTATGGTAACTGTGGTTGATATAAAAGTTATTAATACTCACAGAAATACATAGTTGTACTATAATTCAAACTACCGATTCTGTTTCCCTCTTTGTGATTCTGGGGAAGAAATTAACAGAGACCACCTGCTCCGATGTAGGGCTCTTTATGGTCTTACAGAAGAATTAAGGTACTGGGAGGCAAGAGCGTGCTTTAAGCAAGCACTTTGGTCTTTTTGTTCTTAGTTTTATTGTTTGTAACCTTTGATTATAAGATTTTAGTTCTTTGTAACTTTTTCTGTAGCTATTTCGGGAAGGTGTTGGACTATAATTCAAACTGAAGTGATTTTGTTGTAAGTTTTTGGCAGAAATCTTGTGCTACAGTTTTTTTAAAGCTTTTGATAACTGTGAGAATAATTTTTATTTTATTTTTATTTATTTATTTATTTATTTTTGTTTTGTTTATTCATAGCTTATTCAAATCAGTTACTTCAATGATCTTTGCTCCAGATTTGATAAAATTTTATCTTTCACTTAATTTTGAAGCTGTCGTGGTTTTTTTTACATGTTCAGAGTTTGATTACTCAGTTTCTTGTAAAACATCTTGACCCTTAAATTCCAGAAAATTACTGAACGTGAGTTTTTGTTCTTGGGAATTCATGACACGTTCAGAATGACCATGTTCAGAATCAGGTTTCCAATAAAGGTCTTTTCCAATAGCAAGTCACCTGTTGGAATAGAATGAGCTTCTGTGGTAGCCATGGAATTAACTACCATAGAAGCTCATTTCATTTTCATTTTAACATTAATGACTCCTTTAATTCCCCCCCCCACAGAGATATGTGTAGTGGGGAAGCACTTTTGTACATCCCAGCAACTTTTATTGTTTTGGGTGCAGCGATTGTGATTGCATGCAAGACACTGGTGCGTTTCCAAAAGTTCTTTGCTATCAGTTTATATGCTGTTGTCTAACTGCATTCAAACATGCAAAAAATGTCAGATGCATGTAATATGCTTTCAATGTTTTGATTACTACTTGATCCATCAGCTAAAGTTGACAGATGATGAAAGGGGGGAGGGGGAATTTCATTTTTAGGTAAAAATTTCAAAATCCGAGAGCATGGCTAGGAACATTATTGACAATTAACATCATCTTTAAAGTTAATTTTTAAAATTAAACTTCCATATAAAATGATAACTAAACCAGTTTTTAAGACAAAAAATTTATCAAAAATGCTAAAAAACTTCCAGGCTATTACTGTGTTCAGCAGTTTATTGTGAAATGATAGAAAGTCGTTCTGAATATTTATGGTATACCATAATTTAATAATATACATGTTACTGCTTTTTATGTGAGAAATCTGTCATTTTTCACTTTGTATAGCTGTATTTTTCTAGTGATATTGGCATTTCTGAAATAATTGCAGACTTAGTTTGTAAATTCAAATTTTTTTTTTTCGATGACTTTTTTTGTAAAATCAAATTTTTTGGGAAATAGTATGATGTGCTTTTCTTATCTTTTTTAATTTCTTGTTTGGTAACAAATTACTACTATAACTAATATATATATATATATATATATATATAATATATATATATATATATATATATATTGGTAACTACGATAAATGCCCCCCCTCCCCCTAAAAAATAGAGAGAGAAAGAAAAGAAAAGAAGGGAAAAAACTAAAGAAAGTCATTTGTGTTCATAAGATTATGTACATAAAGAATATGTGGGAGAAGAAAAAAGTGAATTTGAAATAGTGTTCTAAAGAATAAAAGATAAAAGAAAGAGCATATATGATTTGAATATAAATGTTAATAAATCTGTAAATGAATAGTATTTCTGATTTTTTTTGGTAGGAGGAGGTAAGAATAAAGTAATGTAAAATTCTTTTAAAAACTAGGCACATATTATTTTAAAAATTGATTTGTTTTGTAAAGATATTATCTGATGTTCAGTGTAATAATTTAATATAATGTTGAAGCTTTCAGGTGTTAATGACTTGATTTCAGATATGATCACCTTTATGTATACATTATGTTTACAAAAATCTTCCCCAGCCTATATTTTCAGAACCATTGATTGTAGATGTATACTTTCAGTTAAAAAATGTTTTAAATAATGCAAAGATTCGTGTTTTCATATTTTTAAATTTAAAATAATAATAATAAATTATATTTTTTAAAATATGAAATGTAACTTTTTACACTTTTCCTCCGATCCCTATATTTATAATTAGGAAAACTTTGTACCCGTTATAAAAAACAAAATACAAAATGTTTGACTCGTAGACAAAAAAAATTGATGAAGATATTTTATTTCAAAATTTGCAACATTTAATGGTATCTTGAATTTGCATTTGAGGGGTCAGTTAATAAATAAATTGGAATAATTGGAGGTTGATTCCCACTTAAATTCCGTTCAGTAAGTGATTTACTACTTTCTTTATTTATAATTTTGTTAAATTTATGTGCCAAAACTATTTTTACAAAGGCAATTTATGAATTTCTAAAGTTTAAAAATATGTTATTGATATTCTCGTGAAGCTTTATTATTTTAGAATCATATTCTGATAACCACAAAAAAATTTATTAAATACAAATATTTTTCATTTTTAGTTAATGCAAATATTGTTACAATTTGGCTATGTGCCAATACTGAAGCTTGCTGCTGTTTTCTAGAACACAAATTCTGTAAGATTACATAAATGAGATCTTTGTTCTAAAGGAAAGAAAAAAAGTATATTGATCAATGTTTTTCACTGTAATCTGCATACAAATCCTCATCATGTAATCTTTTAATACAAGGAATCTTTTTCTAAATGACACAACACATTACCTTTTTTTTTTTTTTAATAATACCTAAAATGTAAGTATAGGTACCGCAGAGGCATGTGAAATGTTAAATTGTATGTTTTTTACAAAATGGATATCTTTCTATTTAAAAGTGCCAGAACTTGAATCATTGCATTATTTAAAACATTTTTATTACTGGAAGTATATATCTACGACCAATGATTGAAAAATCAAGACTGTGTAAGGACTTTCAGAGACAGAGTGTATAATTGGATGTAGGAATTAAATAAAATGTACGTAACTGAACTATCTAATTTTAGTAAATTGGCATAATTTTCAAATTTATTAATCAAACAGAGATCTGCTATGCATAAGGAATTTTATATAAAGTATAGCAGAAAATTCTACTCATTCTAAAAATGTCATGGGGGAAAAACGCATTTCTATTCAAATTTCCTGTAGAATTTTCCTAAAGACTATGCAAATTATTGAAATAAAATACTTAAAATTTTTCCTTGGTAAACTGAGATTATGGAGTAGTTATAATTTTAATTGATTGTAGTTTTGTAGACATAATATGAGAAATGAAAAAGTTTGTTCTGATAAATAATCAATCATTTGTAATAATAACATGTATACAAATACATAACAGTATCTTTAAATTTCAGAAAGGCTATGGCTTGCAAGCCCTGAAATTGCTACAAGAATTTTATGAAGGAAAACATGTTTCTCATTCTGTTGCTCCTGTAAGCATGACTCCAAAGCTTGTAGAAAATGATGCTGAAATAATCGAAAATGCTCTAGAAGAAAGATTAGAACCCCGAACTTCATTGCCACCATTACTTTTTGAACTTAATCAGTTAAATCCAGATATTTTGGATTATATTGGTGTATCGTATGGCTTATCTAATGATCTGTTGAGGTAAACTGATTCACTAGTATTTATTTTTTTTTCCTAGTAATAATATCATGAAATATTAGCTTTTGTTCTGTTCTGTGTTAATACATGTTGCCAATTTTTGAGGCTGGTAAAATAATGGCCACTGTATTAACGAATTGTATGTTTCATGGCTATAATAAAAAACGGATTATTCTGAATGCTATGCGTAATGTGTACAGGGCAGTCATAAAAAGAATCTTCCCCAATTTTTGAATCTGTAGTGGCCTATCCACTCAATCAATCAAAGTGAAATTTCATCAATTGTTATTTGAAGGCATATGCTTAAAATTGTAATGATTTAAAACATTAGAGCTGTCATGGTTAAAGGTTACATTGAAAACATTTTGAAATTTTCGAATGACCACTTTTTCGTGCACGAATGGATTGGTGCATTGAAAAAGTATAAATAGTGTTGCAACAATATGTACACTGCTCAAAAAAAAAAAAAAAAAAAAAAGGGACAGTCCTATATCTCCCGATCTACTGGGCCGATTGACAAAATTCAAATTGCGTTCTTCATGTCTCGAAAGCGCAACTTAGGATATATATTAGATTTATATATAGCACTATTCTAACATAGGTATTTTGACACAAAATCGGACTTTTTTCTGAAATAACATACCAATTTTTTTACATATTTCGATTCTACGACTCAAATTACGCCTAAATATGAAATTTTGTAAAATTTGGTGCGAAATTTACGGAGAAATTCACAAATTTATGTTGGCACTTTTTTGTCAGTTTGCGCCAAGAATACTTCACTTGGCAAACTTCTTAATATATGGCAACCTAGTTTCCTTTCCCGTGAGAGGAAAAAAGTCACCATCGTTCCTTTTTTCCAAATAATATTCTTTATATTATATTTTTAATTTATAACTTATTATTTTAAGTAATTTTTTTCTTTTTCGAATTTCATTTTAATTGTTTAAGTTGCACGTTTCCCCCCCCCGAATAACTGTTTTAAAAATTTCTATTTACCTATTCGAACTGCGTAAATAAAGGTGCAGCGTTTATTTTTTTTCAAATACTTTTCTTTATATATATTTTTCGTCATAGTTATTATTTTAGGTAATTTTAAAATTTTATTACTTTTATTTTAATTGTTTGTGTTGCATTGTCTCTTCAGATAATTGTTTTAAAATTTTCTATTTATTTTTTCGAACTGAGCATTTTAAATATATTTTATTAATATCAATTTTCCAGAATTTGATTTTATTTATTTGAATTGCGTTTCTTTCGGAAGAATACTTTGTAACTCAGACTACGATGAGTTTGAAAACTGCATACTATATTAAAAGAGAAAATACAGTAAAGCACAGTTTTACACGCCTTTCAATGTTCCGTTCAGAGAAGATATATATAAATAAGAGAGATGTATAACCGACATTTTAACTTAGGATGACTTGCATACACTGCTTTAAACAGTTTTTTCATTGTGCCCATTGCTTTACACAATTTTATCCTACATTTGGTTTTTTAAAATGTTATTCATGTTGTAGTCAAACATTTTATTTTTGAAATTGCAAGAATCAAATATCATAACATTGAAAAGTTTTAAATTAAAAAAAATACAAATACTAAATTTTACGAAAAAATTAATTTTTCTTCTCTTTTTCTTTAAGCATTCTGAAAGTATATTAAAAAAGTATCCAACGTTTCGAAACATTTTGGTATTTCTGACAATCATTTTAAATAAAGTTATCGCCTTCCATTTCATAAAGGCCCACAAACGGCCGAGCGGTAAAGATGCTGATCACTGGTAGTTCGGTCCGAGGTTCGAATCCCGTGAACGGGCTGGTTGCATGGGTGTTTTCGTGTTTTTTCCGATGTGTAACATGTATACGAGCCAGTTTCCCTTAGAAAGTCCTCCACGAAGGCATCCCTTCCTTTAGGCAGATAGCCCTCGTGTGCTTTGCCATAATTAAATAATCCAATCCAATCCTTAATTAAATATAATTGATTTGTAACTTCTACTAGAACTGACGTTAAGAATTGAAGTGCAAATAAATAATATTGTGTGCAGTCTTGATTAATATAAAATTTAAATTATTTGCACAGAAAAATATTTGCATTCAGACAGAATGTTTTTTGAAACATTTGCAATTACTTTATAAGAAGGATTTATTAATAACCGTAATAATTATTGACAATTACATTCTAAATTAGAATTTTAAGAATTATTAGAATTTTAAATTAGAATAATGAAAATACGCTACGCACAAAAATACATTTTAGGATAAAAAATGAGTTGATTTTTTATGTTTTAAAACTTCTTGAATTCATTTAATAAACATCGTATCCTCGTTGTTAATTGAATCCAGAATGTTGTGGTGTCGTTTATATAATTATTCTTACTTGTCCACAGGAATCTGCCTGACTTATCCAGCGATTAAGTAGCTGCAGATCATTTCTACATAAACCATTGAACTTCCACTTAATTCAGTCTCTAGAGGGTTGTATGTTTATATCATAATTTGACTTATATAAATGATTATTCTAAATCTTATGTTTCTATAAAAATATACTGTGCTTTAAAAATATGGATGATAGTACCAGCCGCTCTTTCAGCCACTTCAAAAAGCATCAGTTTGTTTAGAAATAAATTGTGCAGTTAATGTCATAAAATTCAAATAAACATCAAACGAAAATTCTCAGTTTTAAACAATTCGATTTAAACGAAGTAAAGTAGCAGATGATAAAACGCCGAAGGTAAAAATTTACTCTTAGAAAAATTACTCTTATTTAAAAAAAAAAAAAAAAAAGATAGAGAGAAATTTAAAAAAAATATTAACAAATTTATTAAAAAAATAGCTTTTCATCTAGTATTAATAAATATTTATTACGCATCATTGAGGGAAAAAATGTCATATAATTAATTCTCCGTAAAATTTTACTTGAAATTTAAGGTTAAAAATAGCTGTGGCAATACAGTGTAACAAAAATCCATAGACCACATTTGGCGTTATTATCGCTCAGAAAAAAGATGCCAAATTTCAAAACTCGAAAATATGTAAATTTGTGTATATCTTAGAAAATTTTGAATAAAAAAGTCTAATTTTTTGCAGATATGCTTAAAAATATAACTACTTTAAGATGATGGTAAAAATTTTATAGGTTATAATACAAATTTTTTTCGAAAAAAAATTTATAAAAATTATTTAAAAATAGAAATTTAAAAATAAAAAATAAAACACAAAAAATGGGTAAATTTTATTTGGAATGAACCTAAATTTCTAAATGTGAGAGAAAAAATCAAAAAAATTTAATAAAAAAAGAGATATAAATAAATATTTGCCAAATTCAATTAACATCGAGGAGCTAAAATTTTGAGAGCTAATATTTCAAAAACTACTCATACGATTTTTACAAAACTTGGTATTCTGGCATAATTTGATTCGTAGAATCGAAATATGTAAAAAAATTGGTATGTTATTTCAGAAAAAGTCCGATTTTGTGTCAAAATACCTATGTTAGAATAGTGCTATATATAAATCTAATATATATCCTAAGTCGCACTTTCGAGATATGAAGAACGCAATTTGAATTTCGTGAATCGCCCCAGTAGAACAGGAGATATAGCACTGCCCCATTTTTTTTTTTTTTTTTTTTTTTTTTGAGCAGTGTACATGATGATAATTTGCAGTATAAAATCTTTTGCAAAGAAGAGCATTATGAAAGACCAATGACTGCATAAGGCATGAGAGAGGGACAAAACTTTTACTAGAATTACAAATTTTCAATCGGTACAGTGTTTCATTATAGCATCATTTCCTGTAACTTTGCAATTTTGTGGCCACAGCAATCTCCCGACTTCATTTCAATGAATTTGCGGTTGTGCAATTATCTGAAATTTAAGGTGTACACATCAAGTCCATGAAACTGATCAGAATTGAAAGATGCTATAAAAGGTGAAGTTAATACAGATTCTTCCTGTGATGTTATGCTCATCATTGTTCGCAACAATCTATATAGTGTCTTATCATTTGCTAAGGTAGGCCATCAAACCTGAACACGTTTAATTAACAGCAGATCTCATTGCAATTGTACAAGAAAGCTGGAGTTAATACTCAGTTTTGAAGAAATGTTTTGTGCTTTCTCTGTATTACAAAAAGAATTATTTAACACTGTTGAAATATAATGCATCGGTATTCATAATGTTTAAAATCTGATAAATCAGAGTATTGTTATTCTTTGTAGTATTGGTTTATGGGTTTTTTAAAACGTATTCTGTATATCAAAAGCAAAGTAAATAGACTTGTGATGCATGCTGAACTTTTTTGATAACAATGGCTTGGTTTATTTGATTATGGCAAAGCATTCAAGGGCTATCTAAGAAGGGGGGTGCCTTCATGGAGGACGTCTTAAAGGAAACTGCCCCGTATACACATTAAATGTGGGAAAACCATGGAAATGCCGATGCATTCTGTTCACCAGAATTTGAACCATGGACCAAACTACCAGTGTTCAACGACTTTATCGCTCAGCTAATTGGTGGGCCTTTTTCATGATCATGAGATGGCTGAATGAATAATGGGTTTGCTCATAATTTCCAATGAATGCTCAACCAGCAAGTATAAGCCATTTAGGTAAAATATTTCTAAATGGGAAGACTGATTGTTCTTCATTTTCCAATAACAGTGTTTTTGGAATTACATGTAAGTTTATTTTCATCGTCATGGATATGCGCTTAGTTAATCGTAATCTGTTCCAAAATTCCTGTAATTATAAAATATTTCTCAGTATAATTGTATGAAGGTAAATCAAATATAAATGAGCCTTTTGTTTAAATGAAATTTATTTTATAGGGAACATCTACATTTCTGCAAATAATTATTTTTCTAAATAATCTCCACCTTTTGTGATACATGTTCCCCAGCATTTTGGTAATTTTTTCATTCCATTTTCGTAGAATGAAGTTGGATTGATATCTAACTTGTTGCACACGAATGTTTGCATTTTATCTTTGGTCTCAAGTCGCTTGCCTCCAAGTGATTTTTTGAGAGGTCCAAACATGGAAAATCGCATGGCAATAAATCTGGGCTGTAAAATGGATGATCAAACGTTTTTATTGCATTTCCTTCGGTTTCTGCTGCATTACATTTAGTGTATAGGGCCTGGTTATGTCGTGAAGGATTAGTATCTTGCACATGAGACAATGTCGTCTTTTGCATCGATAGTGAAGCCTAACTTGAGCCAAGAGATCACAGTGGTAAGTTGCATTGATATTCTGATGTCCATGTAAGAAATCCACCAGTAGGTCACCACTCCAATCCCAGAAACTGTGGCCAACACTCTCTCAGCAGGACAATTGAGTTTTGGCTTTCATGGGAATTTCTTCGCCTTTTCTCCTCCACTCCATGCCTGCATGCTTTGATTAGAGGATGTAAGGATGCAACCATGTTTCATCACAGGTGACAGTTTTATTCAAGAAAGCTTTCTCTTCTTCTTCAAAATGAGTTTGAAGCAATTGAGAATTTGAACTCGTGCAGCTTTTTGATCATCATTCAGCACATTTGGAACCGAATGAACTGATATATTTTCTGAAGTTCAGCTACTTTCTGATGATTGATTGGACAATTCCATACCTGACACGAAGGTTTTGCGAAATCTGAAGCACTACGCAGCATCAATCCTGTTCAATAAGGTCACAAACACGTTCAGTGCTTTCATTAGTCGCACTGGTGTGAGGACGACCTTGATTCGCAGCATGTTCATGGTCTTGCTTGAATTCATTGCACCAAATCTTTACTCCTGGAAGGGTAACTTCCCCAAACTAAGGATGCAGTTTGTGGTAAATTTCGGCTGGTTTCACATTTTCACAGATCAGGAACTTTATAATTATTCATTGTGTAATACAGACGGGCACACTTCTCTAATTTATCGTAAGGGCTATTTAATAAAGCATGGGACAACTCAGCTGCTGTGGTTCTTTTATTTTAGGCAACCCACCTAACGACTTTAACTGCTCAAACACATACAAATAGCCATTCCGATGCTCAGCCTATAAAGGCTTATTCAAGTTTTCATCATCCTATGTATTATGTTGAAGTTTAAAGACATGGTTTGCATATTTTCTTTGTAAGTCGCTGCATTCATTATTTCCTTTAGCTGTCTGATGGAGTTTTGATTGCATTATTAGTATTATTATTTTGTAATTAAATGATGCAAATAATTGAACTTTTTCCTTCCAGATTTTGGAAAAAGGCTCGTTTTTGTGCTGTTTATCTAGGCCACACACCAGTAAGTTTTTAAAAAATATTTAACTAGTTAATTCTATATTCTTGTAAACCTATTTTTCTCATCATATGTTTCTGCTGCATTAACATACTAATCTTCAACTGAATGTTTTAAGACATACAGAGGGTAAAATTTTCATATATGAATTATTGAACAGCCATTTAATTTTCTTAATATTCCATTTAATATAAGAAATTTTTTTTCATCTGAATTCTAACAGATTAATTGAATTGATAAAACTGAAAGATTTAAAATACAGTGCAATTCTAACGATTAAATTGGTGCAAAGGAAGATGACTTAACTCAAAGCCTAGTATTATTTCAAATCCCAAAGAGATCCTGTATCTCTCTAGCCAGGTATGGAAAAGATGTAAATTCTAAAATTTAATATGTGATAATAAAATGAATCAGTTGAATAATGAACAATTAAAGAAAATATTTTTATTATCATATGGTAGAATTCAGATTATGTGTCAGTCTTGAGATCATAGTCAAATGAATAATTGAAACTCCCCTTACCATCTCTTACATGTATATGGGCAGTCAATAACGAAAATACATTCAAAGTATAAATACAGTATATATTTACAGATATAAATGAAAAGTAGAATTGAAATTTAGTCACATAGCTCTTTAATTTGCTTTCTATCATGTATAGCATAAAAGTATGCTATTAAATATAAATCTCAAATGCAACAAAAAATGCCAAATTTTTAACTTAGTGTTCTATTTTTTACTTACTTCAGTAGCCAATTGATATTCATAAAAGTGCAGTAAATAGTGCATAACAAAATAATTATTTGTTTATTTAAGAACTGTATAAATAAGAAATAGTATATAAAATTAATTATAGCATCTGAATATATCATTAAACACATGACTGTGTTGGACATGTTAACCATCCATTCAAGTTATAATAGTTATATATAATCCATACCATCCATTCAAGTTATAATTCACCTTATAGGTGTTTTTTGCTTTTGTGTAAAGTATATGTAAAGACAATAGCTTTGTAGCCTCTTGCTGCTTTAGCCACTTAGATGTATTTAGAATGTTTATTTTAGCTTTACATTGGCTAATAATTGTTTTAATATTCATTGATGATAATGCAATAAGACAAATGTTTAGTTTTTTATTCTAAATAGAGAGAGAAAACAGTCATATTAATTGTTTAATTGATTATGGCAAAGCATTCAAACACTATAAACATAAAAGAAGAGATGCCATTGCAGAGGCCTTTCTTAGGAAACCTGGCTCATATTCATATTTCACATAGTACAAACAATGCAAATGTCCATGCAACCAAACCTTTAACCAGGATTTATACCTAAGTTCAACTACCAGTGTTTAGTGGTGTGTACCCACTGAGGTCCACTTTTTTTGTACATTGTGCCCTATTTAAATCACACTCCTTTTTTTGCTGTTATTTTAATTGTTTTATCCATTAGATTGTGATGAACAATATAGTTTCCAATTCCTTTGCTAGGAACATTTTATTTATGCACAGTTTGTTAAATTAGCATGAGATGAATAGCTTTGCAGTTTTTTTTTTTTTTTCTTTTGATACCTTTGCTAGACACAAATCTTATGAAATCATTCATTTTCATAATGTGTTAATGTAACTGGTAGTGATAATATTAATTTTCTAATTCTGAAAGATCGTGATATATATTTGAATTTTAAAATAATATATTATGATAGCTTTGTACTTAGATGTTTGCAAGTATTTAATTCTGTTTCTATAGTTATTTTGTTTTTCAATAGCATTAACATTTAAAATTTCCCCTTTACTTCAGAACCAACTTACTGGAGAGCATTCTTGCATAATGCTGAAACAGCTAAAAGGACTTGCTACAAAGTCGAAGTGGTTGCCTTCGTTTTGGTTTGATTTCTGTGAAAAGATTATTCAGTGTTTACCATATCCCAAACTGGCAGATTCACTTGCATTGGATCTTATCTCCATTGACATTTTTAACAATGAGAGACCTGCAGGTACTATATCTTAATTTCAGTATAAGTGGAATATTTAAAATTATTTCAATTACTTTGGGTTGTATATTAGCAATTTTTATACTATTATAATTTATGATAAAATATTATTTTGAATAACAGTGTGATATAGAAATATATATTTCAGTCTAATGTGGTCAAGTAAAATATTCTTAATTAAAGGTAAGTAATTTCACTCATTATGAGAAAGGTTGTTAAGGTGTATTTACAGTGTAGCATTAATTTTAATTCTAATGACATGATTAATGGAATTTACATCATAGACAGTCGCAGAAATGTAAACTTGCTTGTGACAGATTTCTGCACAAATCTACTGTATCCTTTCCACACTAATTCTAAATTTTCATTGTTTGTTTAACAATTTGTAATAAACAAAATGCACTGCTTCCATAGTCAAACATTCAAAAATTCCTTAATTTATACACACATATGTTTTCCCTCCACCCCCCCCCAAAAAAAACCATCAAACTTTATAAAAGTAACACAAATTATGAAAGATAATCAAGCTGTCAATGAGAACAGTCCTAAAAGACTTAAAGATAGCATCATGTACTTTATTGCGATTGTGTGTTTTACATAAGAAGTGTAAAATTGAATTTTTTTAATGCTTAAGTCATATACCTTGTGCTTTGACTAGAAAATTAATGCTGTGTCATTGCTTTGCAGTAAATATGCATTTTTGCCACTTGTGATACCTAAATATGAATGTGCCTTAAATGACATAAGGCGAAGAATTCAAGCTTACTGTATTTTTGTTTTTAGGGAAGGTCATGCCTTTCTGAAGAAAATAGATACAAGGGGGGAAATAACATTTGAATTTGATGTTTTTAAAAAACTTATTTGTATGCTTAAAAACTGAAATTAAAACACTTTATTGCCCTCTTCATCATAAAAAAAGGATGTCATTTTTTCAGAAAATTTTGTGTTTACATTATTACGTGTGTAAATATTCTATATTCTTTTTGTGTATGCTATCAATGACAGTTATGTATATTTTTATATTTAACTAAAGTTGATTTTATTTTGTGAACAAATAGTTAAATATATTTAAACCAGTTTTGAAATGTGTTAATGATTCAATTTCTGCAATTTGAGTTTTTAATGAAAGAAAACTGTGTGGTGTGTATTGCTTTATAACAGTAAAAAAAAAGAGGTACATGGGTTTGTGCAAAAATATTGATATCAAGTGAGCAGATACTTATGATGCAATCATAAGTGCTGCCTCCTACAGGTGTTCATATCTTTTTCTAAAGGAATTTGGACATGCTGTATCAATAACTGTAGATATTTTAATATTAATGGTTTTAATAAACTTCTTTGTAAGAAGCTACAGTTAAAAAACTGTTTAAAAGGTTTATATTAAATCAAAAACTGAAAGTTGTACAACTTTCTCAAAATACATTTAATGAGAATAATCTTTGTACTTCAGAAGACTTGTCCTCCCCCAAAATACATCATATTAAACTTTAAGGCAAAACTTATGTAGGAAAGTAATATTAAAAATATGTTCTAAGTATATTAATGATATAAATGTTTAAAAAAATAAGTGTAACTGATGTGTGAAATTCTCAGATATATTTTACTGATAGGCTTTACCTATGTTATGAATGCTTTCTATTAAACTTTTGGCCTATTGTTTAATATATTCTTTCATTTTTAAGGTATAAGTAAAGCTGAATTATTTGCATACTTGAGGCCTCCTGATTTTGATCTCTTGAAAAAGTTCTCTGATGACATGAATTTTGGAATTCCTCCCAATTACATTACAGCTGTACTTGCACAATTTTATTTTACCCATCGTATAAGAGAGTGCCATCTTAACAAATGTGAAACAGTAAGTGGTATTTTATTTACTAATTGTAGACTGAAAATAAATTTGTACTGTATTAAAACCTTTCTTGTATGTAACTTTCAAGATTGATTGAAAAATAATTTAACAGCTGGGTCTTATTTAGGATTTTTCATTAATTTCATATTTGATCTGTAGAATAATAATATTTCTTTTGCATAGCTATCATTTTTAATCAGTTTGATTTTAGTTACATGAAGCATTTTTAGAAAATTGGACTATTGTTGATTTTTCTTGTTTAAACCTTTGAAGGAATAATGCTTTCAATTTGTTTAAAAATATGCATTTTGCCCCTTATTCTAAATTTTCAGTGAATTGAAAGATTCGTGTTTAAGAATAAAAACAGTGCTTAAAGAAGTCCTTGGTATGCAGCATGGCTTAGCATATTAACTTCTGTTAATGAAGCTTTTAAAAAATGTGAATTATATTTGCTTTTTCTGTTAATTTCCATGTTGCTTTCATCTTCTTAGACATAACTTTTAAGGTATTTTTAGTGTTTAATAGAGAAAAATATAGGATTAGATTAAATATTAAAAGCTTAAAAATATAACCAAATCAACATTTTCTTACCACAGTAATTAAAATCCTTCTCAAATTTCTTAAAATAATGTTCTTAAAATTCAATTTTCTTGCAGCTGCATAGGACATTGGAAAGAGAAAAAAAGAAAATTCAGATTCAAAGATTATTTCATATGATGTTGAAATGTGTTGAGTGAATAAAGTTTAAAAACTGAATTGTTTTGCTATAAAGGAAAATAAAATGGAGTAGGAGCTCCAAGTGACATAATAAGCAGGGATCTTCTGTGAGTAATTATGTGAATGAATTCAAATAATTAGGATTTTGAGGCTGTATATAGGGTTGCCTTGCTACCAGGAAAAGTCATGGAATTCAAAAATTGACCAAAAAAAGTCAGGGAATACTTTTAACTAATTATATTTATGCTGACATTTTATGAATGTATTTCAATGTCTGTGACTGCAGATATTTCAGATGCGGTAACAATGACATCCGGTATTATAAACACTTTTCATGTAATTAAAAAGGGAATTTATTTGGGTTTAACTAATTTTGTGATATAATTGATTGCTTAAAAGAAATGTGGCGCGCAATGAACTGGAATTTGATCTGTCAGCACTATCGTTATCTTCAGGGCAGATGTTTTTATTTTATTCGGCTTATAATTCCTTACTAAATGTAGTATTTAATTTCGATGTACTCCGTCTTTGATATGATTTAAATCAAATTCCTCGTCATTATAAATATCACGAATACAAATCAAATAGTTTTCTGGTTGCAATTTTCTAATTTCGGCTATGCGTAAGGCACGCATGCGCGCATTGAAAGAAATGTTTAATAAAGTAAACAAATAAATATTAAGCTTCTTTTTTTTTGTAAATTTTGATACCCTTTTGATCATAATTGCTCATTATTTTATAAATTACGCTTTCATATTTTTAATTTTATAATTTCTGCATGCCATCTTACCAGATTTAAACTGATGATCTCTAATCCGGAATCGCCGAAGTCCCGACGAGTCCGGATTAAAGACTTTTGACTGTATTATAGTTATAATAGTAATGCTCTGGAGATTCAAAAGCTTTTTTTTTTAAATCAAAGTCATACATAATTAACATTACATTAAAGTTTTGTGTTTTCAAGTGGTACCATAATTAATTTACTCTCAGCACAGCCAGTGTGCACTACTGGACTGCAATTTTCTTAAAACACACCAGGAAAAGTCAGAGAATTTCATTTTCCTTTTTAAGTGGCAACCCTGCATATATATTATTTGTATGATGGCTTAAAAAGGTTTCGCTGCACTTATGATCTTTATTACACCATGCTATTAAAACAATGTAATTTTTTTAGAGGATCAAGAAATTCTTTTAATATAACTTTTCATGGGATTTATATCTTGCTACTTAATGTTGCATGGCCTGCAATGAAATATTCCATTCATATTTTTATATTCAAAGTGAAATCTAGACATGATGCTTTTCATCTTCTGTTCAGTGATTGATCTTAAGAAATATGCTTTAATTGCTAGATTCTGATATTTATTAATTAACATTCCATAGTCACTTAATATGTGTTCTCCCTCCAATTATAAATTATTGCTTCCACTAGAGGCAGTGATAATGAATTTCTTTCAGGTTTAGAACTTATCTTTTCAGTAACTTATATTTGTGCTGCGATGTAATTATTTCAGAACATTTATAACAGAATGACTGAAATGTGGGCTTAGCTAGTGGAAATTACAATGAAAATAACATATTGTAAAAAATATTCTATATATCTGACACATTATTAAATTGCTGTTTCTTTAAAATGTTTCAGATTTCATTGTTTTCTATTGGAATTGTGCACAGAAGTTATGAAGAAGTAGCAATGGATCTGAACTTAACTGTAAAACAAGTAAAAGAAAATTTTGGTTCAGCAATAAAAAAAGTAGCAGACTCTATTCTTCATTTATGTGAAGAATAATAAATTGAGCTATGTATATAATTTTGAATATTTTATGCTGTAAATTTTGTAAAATGTTTTATATGTATAGTAGAACTGCCAATAAACTATTTTTGGACCACAGTTTTTATTTCATTCATAATACAATATTTTATATAAGCATGCTTTCTTAATGTTTTTTTAAAGTACTTTAAATATGGAAAAAACTAATTTAACAAATATTGGGACTTTTAAATGTTCGTGCTCATTTACATGAACTTGAAGTTTAAAAATATTACATGCTTTTTTTAAAGTATTTTAAATATGGAAAAAACAAATAAATTTAAACTTTAAATTAAAATAATTTAACAAACATTGGGACTTTTAAAAGCTTGTGCTCATGTACGAGGGCAATCCCCCCCCCCCAAAAAAAAAAAAAAAAAAAAAGGTCTCCTATTTTTTGGGGACATAGAGATAGTTTTAATACGGTTGTTGGCAACACTGTTGTGAGTGGTGCCTTCTCCGCTACCAGATAAGCACGCACAGGCGCTTCGCTCGGATTCTCAGTCTTGGCTTGGCAGCCATTCGAAATGGAGCTTCGGATAAACGTTACCGCCAAGTGCGAAGTGCGCGCAGTTATTCGATTTTGAACGCAAAAGGCGTTAAAAACAGTTGAAATTCACCGCCTATTGACGGAAGTGTATGGACAGTCATGCATGGATGTCAAAAGCGTTCGCAAGTGGTGTAGAGAGTTTACAGCCGGTCGTAATGAAATTCATGACAAAGAAAGGAGCGGGAGGCCGTCAATTGCCGACGAGTGAGTTCGTATTCTTTGAGTTTCGCGATTGTTGAGTTCGTAAAATGCGTAAAGATCGGAGGATCATCTGGATGCTCCTGAAGCTCCTCAACACTTCCTGAAGGGCATGGCGGCAAGCTGGTATGACATGGGCATCGTAAAACTGCCACAGCGTCTACAAAAATGCATCGACCGAAATGGCGATTATGTTGAAAAATAAAGCATTCTTCAATCCTTAAAGTGATGTAGCAATTATAGAAAATAAACTGTTCTTTGTATATCTAAAAATATAGGAGACCTTTTTTTTTGGGATTGCCCTCATACTTGAAGTTTTTTAAAATGAAGAAAATTCAGCTTGAATTTGTCTTTGATTTTAAAAGAAAAGGCTCTCTGTACTTTGAGAGATAATTTGACATAAGTCTGCTTTCATTGATAATTAAACATTTTGTGCATTGTATGTGCTTAGTTCAATCAGTTTGGAGAAATCATTATTTAGAAGTTAAAGAGTGCATGCTGGATGTAGCTTATTGATACTTACTGTTGGAAAAGAGAGGATGGGCATGATAAATATTGTTATATTTTTACCATATTCAATTTCTTTTTCTTATGAAAACAGTTTTGATTAGTACATTGTGAGAGGGGAATTAGTATATACAGGGTGGTCATAAAAAAACTTTCCCAATATATGAACCTCTAATGCTCAATGTATTCACAATATATGCTCAAAACTATCAAAATGAAATTTCAGATATTGTTATTTGAAGGTATGCACTTGAGATTGTGATGATTTAAAACAATAGAACTCTCATGGTTACAATAAGTAAAAAAAAATTCAAAAATTTCAAATAGCAATGCTCACTTTTTTCCCTGTGCAAATCAGTCACCACACTGAAAACCTAAATGTATAATGTATGGCAAAAATTGTGAGTATAAAACATTTGCAGAGACGAGCATTGTAAAGGACCGATGACAACATAGAAAGGAGATGCATAAAATGCACTTTGCATAATTCACAGTGCTAGACAGTAGAAGCACCATTCACAGAACACCATGTGTAAAAGCATTATTTCAGGAAAAACTTTAATAAGCAGAGTGGGAAGATTGTTTCTACAATCAGGTGTTTGAATCTGCTAAACAAGATGATATTTTCAGGGAAACAATGAGGTAAATTGATAAAGCTGTTTTATCTGAAGGGGGAAATGCTGCCAAAATGGTGCAGTTTTATTGACAAAATCATAACGTGTTGGTAAAAAAAAAAAAAAAGAGCCCTAGTGTGCTTAGCCATAATTAAAATAACCCCCCCCAAAAAAAAAATTATGAAGAAACTGGATGCACACATAGATAGACCACAATCCAGACTACCATACAGTTCTGTTGAAGTTGTTCCAAAATTCCTTAAAACGATTATTGTAGGTACATTGCACACTGAAAAAAGTATTACTCGTAGTTCCAGATGTACCGAAAAGCCCTCTCAGCTTCTCAAGCTTCAGCACTCTGTTCTGTGGATGTTTCCTTATCAGTTCCAGTGCATTCAGATGTTGCAACCAGGAGACAAGCAACTGTTTTGCAAATACCTTCTTCATCAGATATTGTGAAACTATCAGGTGGCCGATATTATGGCTGGATAAGGTGCATTTCTCCTTAGCGGAGAGCATAAACTCCAAGAACTGCATTCACTGGGCTGATGAAAATCTCCATGATATGGCATCAGTGCTTTTACATGCAGTTAAAATGACTGTGGTGCGGCATCACAAGCACATTCATTCTTGGTCCGTACTTCTTTGAAGAGGTCACTTCCATAGGTATGAAAACATGCTCCAGCACAAGTGCTCTGTATACAGTAGTGTTGCAGAATTATGCAATTTCAGCAACAAACTATCGTTAGTTAGATGAATGCAGATGGTGCCTCTCCACATGTCCCTCTATGTGATTGGTAAGTGCTGCAACAGCACTTCGAAAGATATGAACTTTGAGTTTTGTGGCCACTGTAATCTCCTGATGGATTCTGGTTCTTACCTGAAGGTGTATACATCAAATCCATGAGATTTGTCAGAGTTGAAAAATTTCATAAAACATGAAGCTATATATTCCTTTTGTGATGTCACGTTTACTATTGTTGTCAACAATATCCCATATGTAATGCGTTATTGTCTGTGAAGATGGGCACATTGAAAACTCGTAATTCCAATAAAAGTTTTTTCCCTTTCCTCTCTTATATGATCGTCAGTCTTTTATAGTGGTGCTCTTTGCAAATTTTTTATGCTGGGAATTTTTGTCATGCATGTATCATTTCAATGCCATTTGTAGTTTTTTAATGTTCTGATCAATTTGCACAAAAAAGAAAGAAAGAAAAAAAAAAAAAAAAAAGTAGGTGTTGCCATTCAAAAATTTTGTAATTTTCTTCACTGTAACCTTTATTGTGAGAGCTCTAGTGTTTTAAATCCTCTCAATCTCGAGCACACAAGTAACAATATCTATAATTTTATTTCAATTGGTTGAGCGCATAGGCCATAAGTGATTCATATGTTAGTTTATATGTGGGGGGGGGGATATTTTTGATTGCTTAAAAGTGAGAATGATGCAAGTGAAGGTAAAGTGATTAATGTTTATTTATATATGTTGCAACAAGTAAATATAAAGGTGCCACCTGTTGGCAGAATTAAAAATAAATAAATATGGAAAATATTAATAGACTTCATGCATTTCAAGAACCAGTTTTTTGTAGACCTTTAAAAATTCAGTGATTGTTGGTATGTTACATGCATGCTGTTGATCAGATGCCTTCAATAAAGAGTATTATTTTATTTAGTGAATAGGTAGTTAATTTTATTTTCCAGAAAAGGATTTTTGATAGGATAAAAGATGATTTGCTGATTGAAACTTTGTAGAAGAGATGTATAAAAATTAGAATTTTTTGTTTAATTAAATAAATTCACATTGCCAGAATTGTCCAAAAGTTTAGCTTATTTTATTCATTTTTGAAAGTGGAACCACAAATGAATGACCAATAGGTCAAGAAATATTTAATTGCATAATCTTTTAGAAACAATAAAATTTCAGACCTTTTATAATGGGTATGTAATACCACCTGTGATACATTTTATTCCTTCATTTTTATAGGTTTAGTTTCTGTTGTTTTATATATAATAAAAACCTATATGGATGTTATTTAACTTTTATTTTAAATAACCTATTTTAATTACATGACAGAAGGCAGTTAAAGATAAAAGTAAAATATTTTACCTTTCACAGAATTATGGGTGTTAAAAATATCAATGTAATGTAATGAAATTTTAAAATCTTGCTAATAAGACAAATTATTGAGCTATTTGAAGACTACTTTTATTGAAGTTAGTTTTAAAAAAAATCTTTCTGAATTATTTATTTTGTTCAATCATTTATATATTCAGCAATTAAAAAATAAATGTATTCAATCTTAAAATATTAGATTAACTTGAAATAAAAAGGAATGAATATTAATATATGTGTAATAAATAAAAAAAAAATATTTGGTAGAAACAATTATGGTTTTTATTATGCAAAATATTGTAAGAGTAAATTTGAAGTAAAGCTTCTTGAAAGACACTTTTCAAGTCAATTACAGAATAATCTAAAATATGGTGGAAAATGTTTTATTACTACCAGTATTAGATAATGAATTAGACAATCTCATTCTTTTTGACTAGATTTACTTATAAGTACATACATAAAATCAGAAATATTTGATACTAAAATTGATAAATATACTATAAAATAAATAAAATGGGGACAGCAAACACTTGAGTAGAACTTAAATAATTAATAAATGCTTTTCAGCTTTTTCTTTGGCTTTAAAGTGCGTATACTTTTCACCAGCTGTTTATGCTGCTTCAAATATATTGGGAAATATGTTTTAATTTTCTTCTCCACGTTTGACAAGTCCTGTGAAAAAACATATGTATATGTTTTTTATTTGAAGAAATAATAAGTTGAACATGTTCATAAATGAATAAATGTAACAAACAAACAAAACCCTTTCTTCCCTTATTTTGCGATGGGACTGGTCAGAGAGACTTTATTCTCCTTCCTGAATTTTTGAACCCATTGGTGGTAAAAAGAATACTACTGCAAGGGTTAAAGTTTTGAAATAATTCAGAATATGAATACAATTTCATTAGCAAAGCAAAAAGTATGATGCTTTTTAATTCATTAGACGTTAACCCTCTGAGCTTTTTCTCTGAAAAAGCACAAATTTCGCAAAACTATTATGAGAACAAATTATTTTTTTGATTTTAATGTGAAAACTCTCCTTGTATTTCATATCTGGATTTGTATACTTTTGATATATTGCCTTAATTTCTTTGACATATTTTAATATGCACACATATATACGTTCTTGCAGATATCACAAAAAAATATTCTAAACCGTATATATACGGCCTTGCAGCTTAAAGGGTTAATTTATATTTTGCTACATCCTTTCAGAAAGATACTTAACTTTTTGGTTTCTCAACACTTTTTAAAGTAATTCGTTATTTTGCTTTTCGGAGGGGGGTATTTAAGTTTGGGGAAATGCTGGATTCATATTTTTCTTTGCTAATAATTGAAAATTTAGTAGATCAGCGAGTCATTTTGATGACAATTATACAATGATTCTTCAAGGATTCAGATTGGAACTTGAAATATGCATATTAACAGGTGGTGGGGATGAGAAACTGCGAGAATTTTAGCAAGTTGCCAGCTATTCAAGAAATTCTCCATAAAATCTTTACCAACAGGGCATTGAGAGAGCCTCATCCAAAAATTTCATATGTGTAGGGTGTCTGAACAAAAGTGCCTATTTTACTATGCTCCTAAAAACCTCCTAAAATGAAGTTTATAAAATGATTTCAGAACAACCAGATTTTGTTGCACATACTTAATTCAATGACAAATGCATGGGAGGGAATTTTTAATTATTGTGATTCTCGTGTGTGTAAACAATTATTCACATTCCACATCTCCAAATTCATACCAATGGCATTTCTCAGTAAGTGTTTTGACTAGAATTTTTCATTAATTAAATTTTACGATTTAATTGGTCCATAGCTTTTGCCAAGCTGACTGAACGGGAGGTTATGTGTAATAGTTTTACAGCAAACCTCGCCAGAATTACCAACTTTGTTCCAAGTAAATACTAAAACACATTTGTTGTTTGAATATAGGGGAATACCACCTCATTTCATGAATTTTTTTGGATGCAACATATGCAGGACAATGGTTGGTTGGGGTGGTGTCATCATTAGGTTAGAAACACCGGAGAAGACATCTCCAGTCTTTCTCACTTAGTGATGAAACCTAGTCTCATCTCAACTTCTTCTCATGGAGCCACTTGAAAAGCTTTGTCTATGATACCCTCTTGATTCCAATGAGGAATTTGTTGCAAGGATTTCATTTGCCACTTCTGGTATTAAAAAAGTGCCTGGTGTTTTTGCCATTTGTATGGCAATGACCATATTGATTAACTTTTCCATTCTGTCACTGTTATTCTTTATAATTTTATTACTTGAATGATGCTCATATGACACAAAATGCTTGTTTAGGTATATTTTGTCACTTTTTAAAGTTTTGCTTAAGAGTTTTAAATCACCATGTATAAAGATTTATATCCATTCAGTAACTGCATCAATGCTGCTGGTGCCAATGTGAATAATAAAAGTATGTACCATTCCAAATAATAATAAAAAATTATTAAAACAATTTTTTCTATTCTTCCTTTATTACAACACTGTTATTACTTTCAGTATGTACTGCATAGTGAGGGAATCTAGTATTGCCATGTGTTCTGCTGTACGAATCCAGCAGTTGGTTATACGTATATACTTGCAAGAATTTTGTTCAAATAAATTTTTTAATTCTTTTTTATTACAAAATGGATACTACTGTATGAATATGTTAGCTATAAAGTAAATCTAGTGGTGGTCATGTGACTTACTATGCAGATCTGGCAGTTTATTACATACTTTTGCTAATATATTTTGTTGATTCACTACATGCATTACCTTGGTTCACAGATATGATACATAATTGAAATTTTAAAAAACTGTCACCAGATGATCAGTATGTTTTTACAAAATACTTGAAATACATATACTGTGCACAAGCCCTTTGAAATCTCATAAGATTTCTTTTCTGAAAATTTTCAATGATACATCACAGAAATAAAGAAATACTTACAGATAAGACTTTTGCTTGTTTATTGTTAAAAGCTTGTATATCATCATTTTCTGATTGCTTCATTTTTAACCACAAAAGAATAAGAAAACCTCCGACATCCCAATATGTCATTAGATTTAGTCTTCTAGATATATTATGTGCCAGAGTAAAACACTTTTTAAAAAATCTCTTTCCTTGATTCCAATTATAAATGGTTTCTGAATGAAAACACCTGATAGAATAATAATAATAATAAAAATTATAACTAAGATAAAACACTTAAATGAAAACACATATGGTTTTAAGATATGTATGTGGATATTGTTATTTTTTCAGGAAATGAATGCAATGTTTAGGCAATTTTCGTGCAAGAAGGGGCTTAATTCTTGGCATACTACAATAGAGCATTTATTTCTCAAAATTATAGATATAACGAAATGTTTAGAATTCAAAAACATGTCTATTCATATAATACTTGGAAGATCACAACAAAGTAAAGATACTTTTATTATGTTGAACTATGAGTATACTTGTGTGAATTTATTTATTGCTAAAAGTGATCTTTATATCTGTATTTGAATGAAAATAATTTAAAAGCATGAAAGTGCAGACAGGATATTGACATGTGTAAAGTCTGTCTACATGAGGAGACATATTTCCGAACAAGTCTCCCATGCAGACATGTCACCTGACACCATTTCATCTACATAGGAAGGTTCGTATTTAAGTTCCTATGAGCTACTAAGCCAATCAGAGCAGTAAAAGCAAATGATGTGATTTGTATCTAATAAGAAACTTCCACCAATCTCACAACAAACATAATAATATGTGTTTAGTTTTCATGGCTCATTTTTAAAAATAAGTTATAATAATAGTAATAATAAAACAAAAACTTCAAAACAGACAAAAAGTAACAGTGATTAAAAATGCAAAAAATAATGAATTGGGAAACAAAAGCACACTTGCCGTAATTTCTGGAAGAAAGGCCGCATCAGCGTAAACACCGCACTCGAGAAAAATGGCGGGGAAAAAATTAAAATTACAGAGAAACGCCGCAATAGATTAAATTGTGCGTGACATTGTTGTGGGCTGTATAGATGCAAAATCTCAACCTATGTCCTGATATACGACATATCAAATAAGAAAAATGCATGAAATGAAACTATAACTCAAAAGTAAATTAAAGGTAAGAAATGCTGAAAATATATTTACATTCACGAATATACTTGTATTTACTCACTAAAGAAGTCCATATTTGTATTATAAAAAATGTCGCAACTATGAAATATTAAATTTGGATGACAAAAGGAAATTTTAAATTTTACTTACAAAAGTAATTACAGCAACTATACATCATATGAAGCCATCAAATCTGATTCTCACTATTAAATTAAAAAGATTTAGTAAATCCTGATCTAAGTCCAAAGTCGTCACATTCCTCTTTGGGTTACAATCTCTTTATCTAAGGATATAATTTCAGCGTTCTTTGAACCCTGCTATTATTGATGATGTTTTTACCGATTCCCACGCACTTCCACCATTGCAACTTCATAAGATGCTCTAGCATTTTACTGCTTTGGTATACGGATGCAAACCTTCACTCATCAAACCCCACCGCTTCGGATTTCAGCTTTGAAGGATTTTTACCTGACAAATCTAATGGTAGTAAGATTTTGTCAACCACCAGGAATTATTATGCCGCGTAGACAATTTTTGACATCTGGTTTTCAATGATCAAGTAAATGAGCATGCATGGAATCATATCATACCCTTTTGGTTGGAAAAAAGATCCCTTACGACACTGTCAACCTTTTTGTAGCCACTCATGCATGATTGTTTCGCACATCACGCCATTCTCATTTGCACAAATAATTATGTCATTATTGAAAATCTCGCTTCAGAATAGTTTTTCGTTTAAAAGTGATCATCGGCTTTAGCTTGTTAATGTTGAGGCACAAGCTAATACACATGTAAATGACGTTCTTTCATGCCCTGTCATAAGCACAGATACAGTGGTGGCCCAAATTGTGGACACTTTTGGAAATTTTTATGTTTTTGAACTTTGTACGCTTATAGAAAATGTTACGTATTGCAAAATGCAAACTTGTATATATAATTTTAAAGAGAATTTATTACTGAATTCAATACGAAACACAAAATTCAATTATTTGCAATACAAAAAAGTTATATGTACTTTAATATAAATAAAAAACACAGTTATGAAGGGGTTTGTAAGTATGTAGTCATGAAGTGTATGAAGTGTCAGCTTTCCCTGCAATCATGTTCTTGTTCTGAGAACCAATCAAATGTTAGTAACTGCCATTAGAAGCTGACATCATGTTTACACTTGAAACAATTCATTATTTTGCTTTGTTCTGTAGAAGGAGGACCTGTTTCTTATACACTGCAATTACAAGTAGGAATTTTGGTAAAAATTTTTAATATTTACTCAAGAAGCAATGACATCAAATAAAAGAGTAGATTGGACACCTAGAAAGAGATGTAATATTGTGTTACGAGAAAGTGGTCTTTCCTACGCTGAAATTGCAAGACAGGTGGGTGGTTCAGTGACTACATCTGAAGTCCGAAAGTTTTGTTTACGATATCAGGAGACAAATTCAATGAAAAACAAAGAAAGAAAAGGCCAAAAAAGATGCACCACATCTATTGATGACAGAGAAATAAAAAGAGTATGTCTCCAAGATAGAAAAATGTCATCACAGCGGCATCAGAAGGATCTGAATGATGGCTGTGTTTCTGTCAGTTCAAGAACAATCAGGAGAAGATTAACAGATGTGGACTGAGAGGTAGAATTCCAGAAAAAGCCTTATCTTAATTCAGAAACGAAAAAAAGACTACAGTGGGCAAAGGAAACATTAATTGGACAGATGATCAGTGGTCACAAGTTATATGGAGTGATGAAACTAAGATATCATTATTCGGTAGCACTGTACGGGAAATAACAGTTTTATCTCCAGTGCGGAAATTCTAAAGATATGCTGCTTTCAAATGTATGTGGTTTACGGGTGAAGAACATGATATTCAATAAATATAGGTAACACACAAAACTTTAAAAAAGGTTCCCTTTGGGCATAATATAAAATCTGAGTGCTTCTAGATTTTATTTTATCTTCCCCCCCTTCATTACGCTCAGAAAATTTTATGCTCCGAATTTTATGAATTATTAAAAGACTAATCCACTTTAATGTTAATAATAATTTAATGATCATATAATCAATAAAAAATGATCGTTTTGAATTTATTATAGTTTGGAAAATCACTGCCTGAAAATTTCTTTTAAATTGAAAAAAAAAAAAAAAAAAAAAAAAAAAAAAAAAAAAAAAAAAAAAAATCAGATCTTGGTTAATTTTAACTTATTTATTTCAACGCATCGTGTACATGTCAGTGACGCACGCCCCGCCCACTGGGTTAGTCTATTTCTTATAAGGTCCATGGTGAAAATATGTAAGATGTAGAATAGGAGAAGAGCTACATCCTGATTGCATTCAAGCAACCGTGAAGAACCCAGTTACTGTTATGATTTGGTCATGCATATCAGCAGATGGTATTGGTCGCCTTCATGTCATCGATGGGACACTGATTGCCAGAAAATACATTGACACTATTCTAGAACCTTCTACCTTCCATCAGAGATCTCTTTCCCAAGAATGCTTCGTTTATTTTTCAGCAGGATTCTGCTCCTTGCCACACGGCCAAAATATCGAAAGAGTGGTTTCGTACAAAGAGCATTAAATTGTTGTCATGGCCAGGAAACAGTCCTGACCTCAATACTATCGAAAATTTGTGGCACCGTTTGAAAACTCTTGTCCAAATGAGGTGCCCATCAAATAAAAGGTAACTAATTGAGGATATAATTGTTTCCTGGCATCATGTAATAACAAAAAGAAGAGCTTAAACTCTTGTCAGCTCAATGAAATGATGAAGCTGTAATCAAAAATAAAGGGTACCCTACTAAGTACTGATAACTCACTGCAATCATCACTATCTAATGTATATCGATAACTATTATCGTTTAACATTTTCTGTATTTCAAATAATTGAATTTTGTGTTTCGTATTGAATTCAGTAATAAATTGTCTTTAAAATGATATATACAAGTTTGCATTTTGTGAGACGTAACGTTTTCTATAAGCACACAAAGTTCAAAAACATAAAAATTTTCAAAAGTGTCTACAATTTTGGCCACCACTGTACAGTTTTTGCACCAGTGTCATCAACAGTTCTGTTTGCAGGAGAGTCGAAAGCTAACGGCGTTTCATCCATATTGTTACGAAATGTACAGGTGCGGTAAGATGGCTTCCCCCAAAGAAGTTTTAGGGGTGTCATAAAATGGCAAGGGAAGGCAGGGTTGCTATTTGGTAATACATCATGGATGGTTGGAGAACCTTCTGGAAAGAAGTCCTACTGGTTTAGCCTAGAATCTTCTCAAACACAAGCCGAAAGCTATATAAACCCTGCTGGTCCGCAGTCAGAGTGTGTGTCTCGCATATAGTGTGAGAGAGAGAGCGTCTTGCCGAGAGTGCGAGATAGTGTCTCGTGTTAGTCAGTCCGTGCGGAGTTGATCGAGTTGACAGCCAGGCAGCAAGTGCCGAGTGGGTCGTCGAGTGCATCGAAAGAGTCTCATCGTGTATCGCAGTTAGTGCATCGTCTAGAGAGTGTGCTTCACCAAGAGGGTGAGTCAGAGTGCCTCAGATAGAGTGCGAGATAGTTAGTATCAAGTGTGTGTCTCGTCTAGAGCATCGAGTTAGTGTGTCTCATCTAGTTAGTCCGTGCGGAGACAATCGAGTTGACGGTCAGCGCGTGCCGAGTGCATTGAAAGAGTCTCGTAGTGTATTGCGGTTAGTGCATCATCGAGAGAGCGTGTTGAGCTCCGGGAACGACTGAACCAAAGAGTTAGGAGCTGTGCTCTGTGTGTCATCGAGTGCATTGCGAGTTGTAGTGTGGAGAGTCTCGAGAGTACGTGGAGTTCCGAGAACGATCAAGCAGAGTCACGAATTGTATTCTAGTGTTTTGCCGTGAAGCCGTCTCCACCGTAATAGCCTAATAACCTAGAGGCTGTATCGCTGAATATGTCAGCGTGTTTATAGTAGTTCATCGACAACTGTTAAAACATGTTTTGGAGCTGGCCTGAGAATACTAGCCAATAAAGTGTGTTTCGATACTTCATCAAGTGTCGTAGTTATTCACTCCAAATCTACGAACCCCGTACGAACATGAAGGAAGAAAATAAGGTAACAACTGGTGTCAGAAGAAAAAAACCACAACAATATTTATTATCTGTGACCGAAGATTTTTTTTTTTTTTGTCAATAATATCTGTCACATATTTTAGAAAAGATGCCTTTTATCCTGCCAGTACTTTGGTAATTGTTGCCCGACTGTTGTTCTAGTATGCGCAGAAATATTTTTTCTTTTCATAAATTTGCTACAACAGCAAGGCCCTCCTTTGAAATCATTTACTTTAATTTGTTTTGCTATAAATTTTGTTTTGTTGTTTTGTTATTTGTAAGCGAATTTTTACAGTCGAAATTGCCATTCCCTTTCCTTGTTGCTCCTTTATCCAGTTTGCAAGGTCGTCCTCTAGATTTGGCCACCTTACAGTACCACTTCTTTTGGCTCGTTTCTGTTGTGGCATATTTTTAAGTTATTCTTTTTCAGTTCTCCAACATCGAATACATCTCTCGTCTACTTCAAACTCTCGAGCTGCTGTTCTATTTCCAATTTGCTCAGTACATGAAATTACATTAAGCTTAAAACCAGCAGTATAGCTTCTGTGCCATTTAGGTGCCATTTTCAAAAATTTTCCACTCCCTTCTTACTTAAAAACTATCCAACAAGTACTTGTACCCAAACTGATCTGTATCTGGCAGAATGCCAAGAAAATCGATTCATGCTGAAGGGGAAATACGTCAGAGTTTGTTTTTGCGAGGCAGGTGGAGTCGTATCCGCCTTAGAAAAAAATTGCAGAAAAGGCAGGGGTGGGGAGAGGATGGGTCCTGGAAGATTCATCGAATGGCAGAGGAGAGAGACTATTCAAAATGATGAGAATGCTGATTTGAAAGGGGGAAGAATGTTATTGTTCTGAGATCCCGTTTAGGGTGAATAAGGCATGTAGGTCCATTCAAGGGAAAGAATGTAAACAAAATAATGTTCGCAAAAAGCAACTGAGTGGTCTTTTCTGTGGGAACAGCACCAGTCTATGTACAGTGACAAGGCCATCTAAACTATGTACAATGACAAAGTTATTCAAATTAATGTACAATGACCATCATAGGAAATATTTTATTTTTAGTGCACCGAAACGCCGCACCCGCTGAAAATTTAAGTTTTAAATATGTAAACACCTGGGCGTTTCTTCCGGAAATTACAGTAATTGTGAAATGCAATGTGTGTGTATATATATATACACATATATATGTATGTCAAGATATGAAAACACAAATTTTGGAAGCACTGATGCAAGAACACTGAGATGTTGTAAAAATACTGATGGCATAGATATTTGATGCTTAGAGCATCCATCTATTTTGAAGAAGCAGTTGAGTCGGATTAAATTCCATGTTTATTTAAATTCACACTGGCCACAATTCACTTGGCACTCCAATTGTGCCTATTTCCAAAACATTTTTGATATTATGGCAATGGAAGCGAACATTAGATGATAGCAGAAGCATCTTAACAGTATGAGAGCATAAATGAGAAGAGAGGTATAGTGTCACAATACTTCAGAGGAAGAAGAGAGGGAGTCAAAAGTTTCAGATTTAGTTTGGTCAAGATGAATCTGCATTAAGCGATGTGTCAGATCGCATGATTAATTTGAATGATGCAGTTTAGACTTATGGCATTATTTCTAAGACAGAGAGATGAAGTCTCCAAATAAATGAATAATAAAAGAGGTTATAGCCAATTAAAATTAGAAGTTTGCATTAATATTTTTTATCTTACATATATATATATTATATATGTCTGTATATATATATGCACATATATAAAATAGTAAAAAAATTAGAACCGAAACCACAAGGACATGAAAGAAATGAAATTTAAAAACCAGTAAAATCATTGGGAAAACTTTAACCTTTTATCTTTCTGTTGGTTAATTCTAAACTCAAAGATTTTGTTAAACTATTTTATTAGGTAAAGTGCTAAAAGCTGCTTACTTGATAATACAGTATCCTAAAGTAATGCGTGGAAATAATACTGGACTATTTAAAAAAAAAAAAAGATGTAATTACTATAGTCTTAATAGAACAAAAAAACTCATCTTGCTGCTGTTTTTCAAAATGATTTATTTCTATCGAAGCTGTGATATTTTTGAGAAACCAAATGATTTCGATGTGTTTCTTCAAGGAAAAAATAGTAATATATTTACTTCAAATAATAAAATTGAAGATTTTACAAGAAAGATCTACATTTAGAAGATCAAAGTGGGATACAATTGATTTGAAAGGCTTTAAACTACCAACAATTATATAATTGAAAAAAAATTATAAAACTTTAACTACAAAAATTACTATAGGTTACTTAAAAACCCTGAAATACAATTTTGCAAATGCTTTATATCAAATTCTGATTTCAAAAAGTCATCCTGAATACAAAAAGCATAATTCTTTGACATTAATGAGATTAATCACTTGTCATATAAAACCCAAGAGGAATTTATTGAGTTATCAAAAATTTAAAAACTTGAGTTTCCACAAAAATCCATGATTGAATTCTAAATTTTGACTAAAATTAGATTTCCCAGAATTTCTGAGATGATATTAAATGTTCTTTTGTCATTCAGCACTATATCCTTACTTTATCCTTTTTAAATCCAAATATTCAAATACCATTCAATGGTAAAAAACATTAAAGATCATTAAACGAGTCCAGTAGTGTTCAAATATTGTACCAAAATTTAGTTTATTATACAGCAAAAAGCAAGCATATTTGTCTCATTAAAATATGATTCCTTTTCCTTAATTTTCATATAGTACTTTAAACAAAACCTGAAGCTACTTCTTTTCATATTATTTATCAAAAATAAATCATTTATAGGAATATATTTATTTTTATATTTTTATTTAATATCTGGGGTTGCAAAAAAGATCTCGATGATAAAAAAAGGTCATGACTGGAAGAAGTGCTGTTCTAGAGGAAAAATATAAACAATTTTAAGTTTTTTTCATTATTCATGTTTTATGAAGAAAGAAGAAATTATTCAGGAGAACATTAAAATAAACACACTCGGAGTGGAAAAGCAGAAAATTAGACCATTTTTAATTGAAATTATCCTTACCAGGCTGCAAGTGTAATTGATATGTAAAATGCTATATCATCAACTAAAGATGATGCCCACTTTTCAGACCACTGGCTGGTAAATTCATTGCTTTTAATAATATAATCTTTTTCTGAAACTTCTGCTATATGAATAAAAATTATTTATAATTCAGTTACTATATTTCACATAAAAATAATTAGAGTAGCATTCCAATATCAAGATTGACAGAAATTCAGCTCATCTAGATAACGCAAAAATCAGCATAGACTGGATATATAATTAATTGACCATTAAATACTCTTTATTATAGGCAAAAATATGTATTTACTATAAAATGAAAATAACAAATTTTAATTTTCATTTTATGTTTTATTTAAACAAAGCTTATATAGTTAAATATATTGCATGTTACATTCTAGAAAACATTTTACTTCATTTAGAGAATTTTTTTTAAATGTACGCTATAAAGTTAATAGAAAATGATTGATTGTATTTGCACTGTATATTAATATGAAAAAGTAATTTTAGAGGACATAATAAAGTAATAAAAAAACTAAAGTAGAAAAAGTAATTATGGAGAACTTATTCAAGAAGCATCATCATATTTGTTTAGTCCGCTTTTATAAAAGGAATACTTGTTGCAATGATTCATGAATTAAAAAATGATTCGTGAATTAAACAATGATTGGTGATTAAGCAATGATTCGTGAATTAAACAAAGAACATCAAGCAACTACACTCGTGCTCAAAAAATAAGCATCATCATCCTAAAAAAAAAGAAAGGCATGAACGTAAAAAATGGAATTATAACATAATTTATACATTAGGTACATTTTGCATCACTAAATGCAAATGGTCAACCAAAATTAGCATAAAATGCAATCCCGCAGTCACATCACAATACCACAAAAAGAGGCATGCCAGACTTATGTTTCAGACCGCAAGCAGCGATATGTCCGTCTAATCTGAGAAAGCGAAAATGGAAAGCACGAGCCGAAGACACCATTTTTCACAATGAAATGCATTGGACGACTGTCAGGATGATGCAAGCTGGTGCAAGATAATCCGCTGTTGTGATAGAGCTGAATGTGCAACGTAGTGTCATCAGTACAGAGTCGTAGCTAGGGTTTTCAGCGCCCAGGGACAACTGAAGATTTCGCATCCCTACTGCTTGCCAAGGATAAAAAACATTTAATTCTAAAATTTTGTAATATCGCCCCTTGGATGCTGTGCCCGGGGACAAATGTACCCCCTTGCCCCCCTCTAGCTACGCCCCTGCATCAGCATGCTGTGGAATTGTTACGAAAGGGATCAAAACCCTTGCAGAAGATGTGGGTCTGGATGCAGGTCGATTACCACAATAGCAGACCATTATTTCCTGTTGCTATGTGCAAGATGCCGTAGATTACTAACAGCATGACATCTGGTGTCACATGTCTCTGCAGATATGGGATGCAGGACAATCCAAACCAGCAAAACTGAGTGGCATCAACTGGCCGTTGCCAAGCATGCATTTTAACTAGAAGGTATTATACCTATTATTAGCATGATGTTTCCGTTACACATTCTTCCAACCCATTTGGTCTCTAGTGATGTGATGGTCATAATTCATGCGTTTTTGTATGTCTTTGCTTTATTGTTTGCTATGTGGTTTAGTAATGACAGCAACTTCTTGGATCAATTTCATTGTATATCCATTAAATAGTTTTTGTTTTATTCCATGTTTTGCCTTTGTTGCTTATTTTTTGAGCAAGAGTGCACTTTGACACATTAAATCTTAATCTTAATTTGACACATTAATTCTAATCTTAATGTGCTTAGCTTTCCAAAAACATGCACTATATTGTATAATTTTTTAAAATTCTAATCAGTTAAAAATTCAATTAATTTAATAGGCTTAATTTACTGAATCAAAAAAAAAAAGCATTTGATAATTAGACTTTCAGATATCTGAAATTGTATTTAATAATTTTTAAATCAATATATTTCATACTTAAAAAATGATGTAACAAATTATATCATCGTATTATTAATACAGTATAATAAAATTTGCTGATAACTAATATATATTTTGTAACTGAAAAAAAGTATTAGACTCTTATTGCTAAAACAAACAAGCAGTATTTTAGTACAAAAATAATTTACTTTTTGATTTTTATTTGAAATCCTCAGATTTAATTTTCCACCTAATCTAAAAGTTATACTTATATATGTATTACATCATCTGTAGTTCATTGTTTAGCCTAATTTAATAAAATTTTTAAAAATATACATATGCTAAACCCATGCTAATTTTCATATAAAGGAAGTGAATGGAGTGTTATATGAAGTCATTTGTGTGTCACTGAAGTTGCTTTCATATAAAGAAAGCAATTTCAATAAACATTAGGGAAAAGGGAACCAAAACTAGTAAGTAAAATGATGAAGAATAAACAGAAAAATGATGAAGTATAAACTCTTCTTTCTTTCAAAAAGATGATTGTAGAGACATTAGGTATTTTTTGGAAGCAGGAAACTTGAAAAATGAGCAAATGCCTTCACCGGGAATCGAGCCATGGTCCTCTGGAATACTGGCCAGTGTGCAGAACCACTAAACCAAGAAGGCACACTAGGAAGGTGAGAGAAATACCTTATATACTCCCCCTTTTAAAGAGCGACTGGGGTTTTTAAGGGACCCAGTCGCCAAATCCTGGGTGTTTAGAATCATTATCCAACACCCTTTTAGCTCGGGCACCACTGTAGAGTCATTAGGATTTTTCTTTTTTTTTTTGGTAAGCCGGAGAGATGAAAAATTAGCAACTGCCTTAGCTGGGAATCGAACCACGGACATCTGGAATACCGGCTCAGCATGCAGAACCACTACACCATGAAGGCACGCTAGGGAGGCAGGAGAAATACCTTATATGATGATATATAAAACCTTGACACTGGTTTATTTTTTAATAAGCAAAATTATATACAGTGACTCCCCAAAGTGTTCGTATACTTACAAGTTTCAGTGAAATATTGCTTTAATCATTAACAAAAATTAATATTTAAGAATGAGAATTTTTTAATAATATCTATAAATTTCTCTTAGCAACACTACATTAATTATTTATGAACATAGTAAAAAAATTTGTTTTTAATCAGTAATCAAAAAGTAACAGAAAAGTTACCTCACAAAAGTCCTCTTACACTTTGAAGAAATCTGCACTTATTAGTAAATATTGTAGTGTCTCTGTCAATCAGCATTTTGTAGGTTATCATGTAGCATTTATGACAGCTTTTAAATGTCTAGGCATAAAGTTCACCAGTTTTTTTCGGGGTAGGTAACATCTGCATCAATGTTCCTTCATTCTTCCATCATTATTGTTTTTTTGTTCGGTTTTCGATTTAATGCTGTGTCTTCATCGTCTAACCTCTAATTCTCTCCAAATGTGTGTTCTATTGGGTTTAAATATGGTGACTGAGAAGGTGTTTTCAGGTTATGGAAAATTATAGACACACCAAAAGCGAACATGAAGGGCCATGCGCTTAAGACCATTAACTTGATAAAAAGTAATGTTGTTTCCAATACCTGAATTTTGGAAGAATAATTTTAAGTTATCTTTTTAAATATTTAAATTAAGAATATGGTTCAATATGCCATCAATACATACTAAATTACCTAATCCTGATGCTGACATGCACCCCTACACAAAGAAAGCTCCCACTGCCAGACTTTACTGTTCCAGTCAAGGTCTTGGGATAGATTTCCTTATTTTTTTCCCCCATACAATTATATGCCTATCGAAACCAAAGATGTTAAATTTGCTTTCATCTGCAAGTATGACATAATTCCGATATGCTTAGGCCTTATTTACCATTGATTTTGTGAAGATCTCTATTTTTTGCGTCAGCAAAAACTTTTCTTCGAGCAAGTGATAGTTCCGTGCAGACTGATATGAGTACTCATCGAACAGTTTGAGGTGAAACTGAAGTAGAAAATTTTTCAGTAAATTCTGTAGAAGTTTTTATACCACTCAAACATGGATTTTTCACAAATTTTCTCACTATAAATCTCTGATCACGTTGTTAACTTTGTTGGACGATCTCTTCTTACTTTATTTTTCATCAGATTTTTTTTCTTTAAGGCATTTTATCACATATGCGCTAAATTTTATATATTAATATTTCTATTTATTTTTATTTTAAGAGGATATTCCGGGTCAATTTTCCACTCTTATGATTAAACTTGATCAATGTTTGAATGCTATTTATTGTATCCTTATGAATATGACCCATTTTAAATATTAAATATAACATAACGAATGAAATATAATGAAGTAAGCAAGTAAAGAATAAAGCCAAACTTTTTTTTAATGTTACCAAAAATCAAAAATAAAGAAAATATTGGGTGTGTGATCACATATGTGCCATGTTTTAGCTATGCATTCTTACATTTTCAATTTTAGAAAAGGAAAATAAGTCAATGTTTAAAAAAACTTTATATTCTTTATATTTGAAACTTTTAAACTTTATATTTGTTTAAAATAACTTTATATTTGTTGACTTTATATTCGAAATCAATTCCGGGCTACAGTGCTTTGTCTACAAATTCTTAAAAGTGTACAAACACTTTTGTTTTCAGTTATTTTATTAATTTACAATATTTGCAGCTATTTAAATTTAAAAAAAAATGACACAGTGTAGGATAACCTGAAAAAGTGCATCTCTATATAATAAAAAAAATTACAAATGAAGAAGTACTCATGATGATCATTAAAAATATTAATAAATTTGTTATTAACAAATTAGTAATGATTAATTTATCATTGATCAGCAATTATTTTAATGATCAGCTATGAATAAAGAATAGATGATTATCTTGAAGACTTTAAGTACACTTAAATAACAACCAAAATATTGCAATAATTAAACACTGTGTATATTATAGTCAGAAAATAGAATAAATCGCTAATGAAGAGAAAAAGGTTAATCAAAATATTTCAGAATAAAAGAGGGAACTACTTATACATAAAATACAATTGAAAACCCTACTGAAAGTTATTGAAGCAATAATATGCTTTCATCATACATAACTAATAGCAGTACATCAGATAACTGTTCTCATGAAAATAAAGTATGTTGTATAACTATATATATGTCTTGAAGAGATGCCAGAGAAGGGTTAAATATTTGTAAGTGTATTTTTGTGGCATGGGCACACTTAAAATAAACAGTAAATCAAAAATCTTCTTGACTGGTTTGGTCGTAGGGGAAGAAAGGTGGGAGTTCCCCAGGGCATTCATTTTCAAAAATGGGATGCAGTTGGGCAAAGTTGTATTATCATTGATAAAATGCTCAAGGCCCATGCCAAAGATAGATGCAATCATGCAATCCTTACCATGATACAGTTGTGGACTTGGTTTGATATTACTGTCAAACAAGTGAGATAAATTAAAACAACAACATTTAAAATTAAAAACAATATCTTACCACAGTTACACATTATGAGTGAAGTTAATCCACAGAAGTATAGAGCATGAACGGTTAGAGATCCATTTTCAACAATCATATTGTGTATTTTAAGCAGAGCAGAACAACAATCACTGTATCTAATAGATAATAAACATAAAAAAATGCACTTATGATTTGAAAATGCAATTTTCAATAATATAATTTTCTCAAACCATCTAATGACTGCTGCAATATAAATTTTATTTGCATGTTTCTTAATTGTTTCACAGTGGTTTTATATGGAATATTTCATTAAACCAGAAGGAAAAAATACATAAAAGATTATGCTTAAACTGAATATATTATGTAAATAATTTAACAGAAAGCATATTAATTAGAAATTAGCTGTTATTTCTATTATTAAATAATGAAGAAGCTACATGTATGTTGTATGTACGTAGGTTGATCCCAAAAAAAGTTTACAAGCAGAAGCATTTGAAACGTAATAATTGTGGAGCGAATATTTCCACCCAGGGTGGTTGACAGATGGCACTAATTGTCCTATAGCGGTTCTACGAGTTTGTGGAACGAATATTTCCACCCAGGGTGGTTGACAGATGGCAGCTAGTTGTCCTACAGCAGGTTCTACGAGTAAGTAGCGTCAGTACGCAGACACTTAAGAAGCGACAGTAATGGTACGAACGTCTAGAAAAGTGGTCTCGCATAGAGGTGCGAGCCGTAATTCGAATTCTTATGGGCTAAGAATGTGGCCGCATCCGAAATTTACAGACAAATCATTGAGGTATACGGTGACAAAACAATGAGTAGACAACAGGTAGCGAAATGGTGTCATTCTTATCAAAGCGGGCAAGGGAGCATGTGGAAAACCGCAATATGGAAGCGAGCGTCCATCCAAGTTCTTCAAGGATGGATATCAACACTGGCACGTGTTGAAGAAATCATTCAAAGGGATCGACGAGTAACCGTGCGCGAGATTGCCTCGGAGTTGGACCTGAGTTATGGTAACGTTCAGCGTATCGTAACCAATGAGTTGCGATATTCCAAAGTTTGTGCCCGCTGGGTTCGATGTGCGTTGTCTGTGGAGCATAAGGCCACTCGAATGATGTGCAGCCTCACGTTTCTTCAGCAATACCATTCAGACGGCCAACACTTCATTGATCGCATCGTTACCGGTGATGAAACATGGCTTCATCCCTTCACCCCCACATCCAAAAGAGCCACGAGAGTGGAAACACGCTGGATCACCGACGAGGAAGAAGTTTAAGGTCACATCCTCTGCCGGTAAAGTGATGGCAACCATTTTCTAGGATACGACCGGTGTTATCCAAATCGAGTATTTGGAGCGTGGCCATACCATTAAGGCCAATCGTTATTGTGCCACCTTAATTAAGGCTAATCGTTATTGTGCCACCTTAACGAAATTGCGTAAAGCCATCCAATGCAAACGGCCTGGATTACTGAGCAAAGACGTCATTCTTCTGCATGACAATGCCAAGCCCCATACAGCTCGCCAGACTCAGGAATTGCTGCAAATGTTGAAGTGGGAGGTCTGGAATCACCCCCCCCCATACAGGCCCGATTTGGCTCCAAGTGACTACTTTCATTTTTCTGGCATTGAAGCGAATACTTATACAGGAACGCGGTTCACCTCAGACGATGCAATGAAAACAGCTGCCGAGAAATGGCTCAATGAGCAGGGCCCTGATTACTACCAAGACGGGATATACAAGTTGGTTCGAACGTTCTGACAAATGCCTAAACAGGTTTGGCGACTTATGTGGAAAAGTGAAGGCCAGATGTGTCTCTTGATTCCCATTTGTATCTTGTTTCTGTTGTTAATAAATACTTTTTCATTTGCCTTGTAAACTTTTTTTTGGATCACCCCTTGTATGTTCCTCACATTGTGAAAAGATGGCTGAACCTGAAGCCATTTTGAACTCACATAATCCTCTATCTCAACATGTGCAACTTGAAGCCAGAATTGTGAATTTCAATTATTTTTATTTACTTCAGATTTTGTATGAATTTAATGAATTTTTTATTACCAAATTTAGAGATTTAAAAGTGAGCATTGGCAAGAGTACTTGAAATAATACATTTTTATCTGCAGGGTTCTAGACTGTTGCCATTTGGCAAAATGCAATATACCTTTTAATTCCTTTTCCTTTTAATTCATAAACTCTGTTATTTAAAAGCAAAGTGCTGCTACCGTCTAAAATCATAATCATCATGTGTCAACACATTGCCATTTGGAAAACTAAGATATTTAACTTTCAAATTTAATCTGTGTTATTCAGGGTTCTCAAACTTTTCAAATTTTATACCATATAAATATGAAACAAAAATGTATGCATCACCATAGAAAAAAGCACCATAAAAGCATTTCGCCATTAAAAATCAATGCACTTTAAATGGAGTGTATATAATCAAAGAATAAAACCCTTTAAATTTATATTATTTAATTATATTTGTAAATGAAACTTTTAACATTGCAATAAAATATAAATAAGTATATATATATATATATATTGTTGATTGATCGAGGATTGGTTTGTTCCCTTTGAAAAGTCAACCAATTTCCGATCAATGACAATAACTAATTGGTTTGTTGATTAATTTTTTATTTTAAAAGTTTCTATTTCAATTTTTTCCATGATTCAAATTGAAGTTCCTTTAAATTTTTTTTTTTTTTTTTTTTTTTTTTTTTTTTTTTAAGATTCGATTTTAAACGTTTCTAAGTTACTTCATTCAACTACAATTCTACTAACTTTCTAAGGAAATCCATTAGTAAATAAATGATTATTTTGTTACTTTGAAGCTACTGTGCAAGTATCAGGAAATTTATTTTTATTTATTAATGCATTTAATTTAATTCAATCTTTGATATATAAATAACAATTGTGGTAAATAGTCAGTAATTATATATTAAGCAAATAATATAGTTGTACAAAACAAAGAAGATACCTGATTCACAGGGCCAGCATTGACTAAATACGTTTAAAAAAAAAAAAAAAAAAAAAAAAACATATACATTCTGTCTTTTTGACATTTTAGATATTACAAGGTTTAAGAAATTGGTGAATGTTGTGAAATTTAGTCAGTTTTTCTTGGAAAAGTCATCATTTCAACAATAAAGCTAGAGCCGTAAAAGTCAAAAACTTAAAAATATATATGTTTCTGAATAATAAAGATTAAAGCAAAATGTTAAAAGGGGCATAATTTTACATTCATTTTATTTTTTTCTGAAAAAATTGTACCACTAAAAATATTGTAATGTACCACCAGTGGTACATGTACCTCAGTTTGAGAACATGTGATACTGATTAGAAAATTAAGCACTTTCAAAGCAATAAATGCAGTTCTTATGAATAGCCTTTCTACTTTTCCATTTAATTAATTTAAATAAAATTTTATATCATGACATGTCTAATTAGAAATAATATTTTTTTAAAAATTAACTAGCTGGGATTATTATAATTATTACATATTTTTCTTTCTTTTATAATTACTATTTTAAGTGGCTAGCCATATAATCAGCTAGTTACTTAAAAAAAGAAAACGGAAAAAAATGTCAAAATTAAATACAATTTAATATTAAAGAAAAGAAGACAGTGAGACAGTAATGAATCAATTAAACAGCTGAAATGAATAATTAAAAAATAATTGGCGTTCATTTTCATCAAAGTTGAAACAGCCATTACATTGAAAGAATATTTAAAAAGTAATATTTTTCATCATATCTTTAACCAAAAAAACAAAAGCAAATAATAAAATAAAGAAATGAGGTATTCTAACTAAAAGCAAATTTTTAAATTAACATATATGTACATCACTACTAATATTTTTTACCACTATTTTTTTTAAATGAGTTTCATTAAAAAAAAATGTGTTTAAATATGTATATTTGTTATTGATAAAAAAGACGCAGAACAGTTTTAACTAGTATTATTAAATTATTATTGCTTATTTAATTATAGCTAAATAATTCTTCAGTGTTATTACATACTTCAGATATCCAGTTTTTTGCTTGATTAAATTCATACATAAATGATTCTGTAACTTAAAAATAAGAAGGTTAAATTCAAAATGGATTTTGAATTACATTTAAAATTAATTACATTCAAAACTGATTTATGGGTCTAATTTTTTCCTTATAATATTACCACTGAATTAAGTAATTTTATAATACTAAGAAGTATTTGTTACAAATATAATATCTTGAATCACAATTCTGAATAATAATAATTAATTTTAAAAATATCAAAGTAATTATTACATTCAAAATTGATTTAAGCATCTGATTTCTTAAAATATTACTGTTGAATGAGTTAATTCTGAATTGTAAGGAGTATTATGACTTAGTAATTCCTGAAAAAACTCAAATTTTAGAATATTATTTAAAAACACTAGCCACCTGCATGACAAACTGGCCAAAATAATTACTATTAAAAAGAAGGTTCTTTTTTCATTAAAGTTCATTGATTTTTTGAATTGGGGTATTGCATGTTTGAAGAGCTTTGGTTTTACAATTTTTAAATTCTTTATTGCATTTATACAATTATTTGAAATTTATTACTTACTATTACTTACGAATTTCAAGTTTTGGTCTTTCTGGAAAAAAAAAAAAAAAAAAAAAAAGGTTCTAAATTTCTTATTTTATGTCCTCACAGATAATTTTTCAACCAGCTTAATGCGCAAAAATTCTAGACATGATTCTATTTTGTTTTTTAAAAAAATTTGTTATTATATATACGAGGGCCATCCAGGAAGTAGATTACGTTTCCGTCTGTGTCCGCTAGGGGCGGGGCTAGCGCGGCCATCTTGGGGTCAGAGCGTTGCGCAGCTCAGTCTGCATCTAGCCGTGCTAGTGAGAGGTTCGTGCTGTGCTCCGTTCAGATACTGTGACGGTTTGAAATGTCTGCGTTAATTGAAAATCCCGCGAGCTGCGAGGTGCGCTCAGTAATAAGGTTTCTGACTGCAAAAAACTGTAAACCGATAGAAATCTATCGGCAGCTTCGTGAAGTGTATGGGGACAACATTATCACTGAAGGTGGAGTGCGTCAGTGGGTCATAAGATTTCAAAATGGCCGAACCAATGTTCACGACGAAGATCGAAGTGGGAACCCAGCATAGTGACCGCCGAACTTCTCGAAAAGTCGATGCTAAAGTCCGTGAAAATCGAAATTTCACAATAACGGAACTTTCTTTGAGTTTTCCACAAATTTCGCGAAGTTTGTTGCACGAAATCATCAGCGAAAAGCTTGGTTACCACAAGTTTTGTGCAAGATGGATTCCAAAAAAATCTTGACAGAGGACCACAAAAATCAGCGAATGGCTGCAGCGTTGAACTTTTTGGACGCTTACCATAAGGATGGTGACTCTTTACTCGATCGCATCGTTACTGGTGACGAAACATGGGTGAAACATGTGAACTGTGAAACGAAATTGCAATCAATGCAGTGGGGGCACACAAGTTCTCCCCAAAAACCCAAGAAATGCATGCAAACAATGTCGGCAAGGAAGATGATGGCGACTGTTTTTTGGGACAGAAAAGGTGTAATTTTGGTGGACTTCCTGGAAAGAGGCACTACAATAAACTCTCAAAGGTATTGCCAAACTCTCCAAAACTCAGAAGAGCAATTCAAAACAAGCGCAGAGGAATGTTGAGCTCTAAGATCTTGTTGATTCACGACAACGCCCGGCCCCACACGGCAAATGTCACTCGTAAAGTTCTTGAATCTTTTAAGTGGGAGTTGTTTCCTCATCCGCCGTACAGTCCCGACCTGGCACCGAGCGACTTCCACCTATTCCCAGCAATGAAGAAGTGGCTGGCTATGCAGCGTTTTGATGACGACGCACAGCTGCAAGAAGAGGTAACGAAGTGGTTGAAGGCGCAGGCGGCCGAATTTTTCGACGAAGGAATTTCCAAGCTCGTACATCGCTACGATAAATGCCTTAATTTGTATGGTGACTATGTAGAAAAGTAGTATTTGAGTGTGGCTTTCATCTGTATATAATAAAATTTGTTTCCTATACTTTGTTTATTTTTTTATTCCAAAGCGTAATCTACTTTCTGGATAGCCCTCGTATATCCAGTCATTTATATAGATTCTTCAGTATTTAACAATAGAGAAAATGAATTGAATCCTAAAATATAATATAAAGACATGGCCAAATTTTTTAATTATTGTCAGAAGAGTATGTAAATACAAAAAAGAATGATAAATAAATAAATGAAATATTACACAAATTAGATGCATTCTATTGTTATTTCTCCATGCAATTTCCTTCAATAAGAAATCTGTCATATTGCATCACATTGCTGCTTGGTCGGTGAGCCATCATGCTATTTTTACATGCATATGGATTCATAATAGAGTGAATGCACACAGAACCAACTATTGCATGATAAAATTTATTTTACCAAAAGAAACACTTCACAGTTCTGGAAGTTTCCACAAAATTACTTGTATAGCTCTTCACAGAATCACAGAGTGCAATCAGTAGTGCATCTAATTGCGCACACGGAGATATCTCAATACTCCGAATTCACGCTGAGCTAAACAACTACTACTGAGAGCAGGTCTCTGGTCTTATATAGTTTTCATAAAATGTTAGTATAAAAAAATCTAAATGCAAAGTGAACCTCGTACTTATACAAGTATAGTACAAGCATTGATTCCATTAGGCATTGAAACATAAATGCTACACAAACAAGAATCACTAGCAAACAAATAACATATCATATTATATATATAACTTTTGCATATATTAAACATCTTGCATTCATTCTCATTTTTATTTCCAAGCTCTGGGGATTTAATTAAAAAAATTGCCTTCATTTTGATTATCTCTTACAAACAAGATAAAATTAATACATTTTGAAGTTCTCTGAAAGTTCTTCAGCTTGCAACAATTTTCTCTTACCATCTACAGAAATTTTCATATATATAAAAATTTTTTTTTGAGATTTATAATACTACAATAATCAAAATTAGAGTTAAACCACAATTTTGAATAATTACTTACTTGAATAATAAATTCATAAACAATGATTTTAAATTCATTTTCAAGAAATAAAAATGAATAAAAATTCAAAATGACAGCAGAAAGTGAAAGACAAAGTGAGATAACATACTTTTATGCTAATTTAAATTTATTTTCAAAAAGAAAGAAAAAAGTAAATGAATTAGTGACAGTGAAAGAAAAAAAAAATGTTTAAAACAATTTTTCATTATGCCAAACAACATTCTATTTCTTGTTCAGAGAAGCCATGTATAAATCTAATTTATGCATTTATACTTGTTGATAAGGGCTACATTGATTTTTAGAACTCTCTGACAAGAAAAGAAGGCATATAAAATAGAGCAGAGTTATAGAGATAGTGAAATAAGAGTTTAGAATTTACCTTTTGCCATGCCAATAAATTTGAAACTGATAAAGATATATATCAGGAACACATGTTTGAACATTAACATACTTCAAAATTCTGAATACATCTGCAGCTACAGAGGAAAAAAAAAATACAAACATAATTAGAATACATGGGGTGGGGCAGACTAAATTTTGAATATTAAACTGTAAAGAAAAAAATTAATTATGATTTACTTTAATTATACCCTTTTAATTTCATATCTATAAAGTTATATATTAATCATTCTGTGATTTTTGAAAATGTTATACAGTTTAAATGGTAATTAATTAATTATCAGGTAATTCACTAACACACTAATAATTTTTATTGAATACAGAAAGTTTCAGTTCAGAATATTTCAGTTGTGTAGCTATCAACCTGAATCCTTAATTGATAAGTTCCATAATGCTTTGCTATTTATTTTCCTAAAACACTAAACATATTAATATCAAATTTTACACATACAGTTTCTATAATGAATCAAGATACTCATACAATTTTAGTAAAAATTAGTAACCTGAAAATGGAATGATTTTATCTAAAACTTTAATTTCCTAAAGATTTAGTCAAAAACAGACTTGGTTATTAAATGAATATAATTTTTTTTTAAGTTCTGTGTTTCATATGCATTAATGTATGCATAGACTGTTCTCATACAACAGTTTTACATAGATTTGTACTACAGACTGTATTATTAAAATACTACGAAAACGCACTCAAATATTTTATGATTTATTGCATATTATCCAGCCTTATATATTTCAAATTATATAGCCAGTTAAAAGGCCAATAAAATTTGCAATTAAGAATATATGAAATAGTTTGAATTTTATAATTTCTATATAATTGCCATTTTTTGTTAATTTAATTGATTTAATATAGATACAATAAATCTTACAATTTTTTTCAATTATATTTAAAAATATGATTAAAATTCAGAAATATCAGCTTTCCATACATATTCTTTCCGCTCGAACCAGTTGAGAACGTACTAAATTTCCTTTTATGAGGGTAATATAAGCTCTTTCAATATTTTTTATTTCTAACAGATCTATCTGGACAAAGTTTCGTAGCCTTTGATGACACCTGTAATGTTAGAAGACAATTTGAAAACAATATATTAATTCATACAAAATTATATTCTGCTGTTATTAATAACTTACCCTTATCTTGAAAAACAGTACCAGATTTCATAAAATAATAAAGATTTATTAACAAAAATCAAGTCTTAATTTATGCAACTTTTAATCACTTGTTTTTTTTTGGTATGCATACTTGTGCTCTCATTGAAAATTACATATATTTAAATACAGAATTTATTTGAATAAATGTCAATACAGAAAACTCTTCAAAATTTTGGATATTCAGCTTTATTTAGAACAAAATTAAAAAAAAAAAAAAAAAAAAAAAAAAAAACCTCTAGTACATAGCAATAAATTTTATAACTAAGCATGAAAAATTTGCAAACCATTAAGATTGCTTCATTGTAGAACAAACTAAAAGGAGAGTTTCTGAAAGCTACTTTTAAGAATTTACAGCAAATTTAAAAAAAAAAAAGATTTTCCATAATACATTCACAAAAATAATTTCTATAGTACTTGTATGTAACAGATAAAATTATTGCCAGCTAACATCAACAATTAAAAATGAACAGTGTAATTTCAGAAAGTCGCACGCCTTGATTATATTAAATATTGGAAGTATATAAAAATGCTATTTTTGAATAAAAATAATTTTTTTCTCTATTCTTTGTGTCATTTTCTAAATAAAGAATGATAAATTTCAATCAGTGTAATAAAAAATATGAGTCATTTATTTTATTGCAAATTAATTATATTTTTATAATAAATTGATTGATGCCATTGCAAAAAATTAGGTAATAGAAAGAATTGAATTTCTCAGTATTCAGAAATTGTAGATTTGATATAAAGATATCAGAGCAAATACACCATGCAAACATTCTGAGACAGAAAAGACAAGAATACAAATAATATTGAGACATCAAAGGAAATTGATATTTAAATTCTTTTAATCCTTCATAAGAAAATGAAGTCCATTATAGTGAAATGTTTGTCTAATCAATTATGGAAATAACTACCTGCCTAGGAGTTGGATTGTCTGTAGATAACTATTTAAAAGGAAACTGGCTCATATCAGGATGACCAAACAACAAAATATTTCATATCAACTGATGTAAAAGAAAAGCACTTGATTTGGGAAAAAAGGTATTTTAAATTTTTGTTTTCTTTTATTTCATTGGACCTTTTACAATAGCATTGCTAATGATGACTAAACAGATGAATTGTGTACATTGGTCATGATTTTTTAATTGATTTTAACGCTTAAAACAATGCAATACAGCAAGGAAAACACTGGAAACATTAATTGTTTTTACAAAATTCTATTAAATTAATTCCTGCTTTCATAATTAGTAAAATCTGTAGTTAATAAATATTTAAATTTTTCCTTTAACAAAAGGAGTCCATTCCTGAAGCGAATATGTAGTTGATTTATGTTGCTGTTACAAAAAATAATTGTTCAATTACTGCATCACTTTCACCACTGCCAAATCATTTGCCTTCCCCCTTTTTCAAAATTTGAAAAATAATATAAAAATTTATTTAGATTACTTTAATGTGCTTCATAAATTAAATAATAAAAATTATAGAAACTAAATACTCAAACCTAAATAAAAGACTGACTGATGCTTTTTTATTAATAAGTGTTGAACCTTATCAATGTTCGTAAATGGCAAAATATATAAACTGCCTTCTTACAGATGGATAGCAAACATCTATCATGCTCGGAACTAATATTTCAAGTTCCACACCTTACCTTTTTGAAAATTATGGCTGTGAAAATAAAGGAAAACATTTTTCCTTTTCCACATCATTTTTATCCAAATTGGGATTGGCATAGTTAGTACTCCCTTAGATATCAAAATATCCAATTTAAGTCTTTAGACACATCCGTGATATTAACCTTTAACAATGGCTCATGAGTGGTTGAACAATAGAAATGTTAAACATTGGTAGTTAGACCTAAATTCACACTCTGGCGAGTGGGTTGGCAGTATGGATGTAATTGTGGTTTACCCATATATAATGTGGATGTCAGTCAGTTTCCCTGAGAAAGTCCCCCACAAAGGCATCATTATTCTTAGACAGCTCTCTTGTGCTTTACTGCAACCTAAATAATCCTACCCTTTACAACATAAAATGAGATTTTTTTTTGAAGGGCCTCGTGTTTCATCTATTTTGAACTGTAGCAGAGTCTAGAATCTATAGGAATCTTTTCAAAACTAATTACACATAATCAGCAGAACTGCTCTATTAAGATATTTATTTATTTATGTTTTGGTAAACATGTTTAAGTACACAATTTTCATATTCTACAAAATTTTTTGATTAATTTTTTACACTTTTCTCAGTTTCTGAATTTTTCCAGGTATTATCATTACATTTATTTAAATCTATTGCTTTGGTGGGAAATAATTTTTAAATGCTGCTTTCTCTCAGCATATAAAACAGAAACTTTGTTCTCAAAATTCATACTTTTATCTTAAATTATTCATATGCTTCTGGAGGTTAGCAAAATTACAGCATTGCTTAGTAACATTACATTAATTCAGTTCATCATAACTATTACTATTATCATTTTTAAATTCTAGACTCTCCTTTTTGGGGTTTAAGCCTTCCAATTCTATATAAGGCACATAGTAAATTTTTAATTATATAACCTTCATATATTTTGATAAACAATTAAGCCATGTATTTAGTTTGGTGATAGCAGTTAACTTTAACTTTTTTTTTTTTGTTTTTGTTTTTTTGTTAACAATCCTAGCAACCTATTTTTCCCACTGTCTTCATAATCAGACTCATTGAAGTGATGGCTGTATGTAATAGTATTTTACTTGTTGACAATATCTGCTCTTTAACACTGGGCATCCATTCCTTCACGAAATGCTTCTATGTTAAAATCAGTGATGTACGTTTTCTTCTTTTGGTATGAAATTACTACATGTAGAAATGGCAGAATACACAATTTTTTTCAATATTTTCCCATATGAAATACTTTCTGAATAGAAATTCAATTTGAAAGTATCTTCAACTATAATTTTGAAATAAAAGAAATCTGTTTATCTGAAGATGAGGAACAAAGAACTAATCTCTCTTACTGTGGAACTCTTATTGCTAGGCAAAGGGTTATTTTCAACCTAATGACATCACATAACATCCAGAATGCTTCCCATGTGGATTCATGTTGGCATGATTCCTCTCAATGTGATGACCCAGCCCTTCTTTTTCTTTAGCCCTGGTGTACAGCAGTTTTATTTATTTCACTAATGGTGAGCTCTGTAGTGGTAGTACTAGATGAGAATAATAGTAAAAACTTTCCTTAGTCTGGTAACTCTTCGTGCATTGTGTTTTTCTTATTCAAAATACAGAATTTCTTTTCCTTATTATCAGTTTTAATATAAATATTTTTTAATAAAACAAAATATTACATAATTTCATAGTATACTTTTGATGACACTTCTTAATTTTAAAAGTGACATGGTAACTATCTCTTTCTTCATCTCTGATAGCCTCTACTTTTAATAACTAAATAGTTATATTATACATATACCTTTATACAGGAAAAAATTTGAATTTTTAATTTCAGATTTATTTTATAATCTGTTTCATATTTTGTAAAACTTTTAACGAATTTTTGATTAAAAAGCTTAATGATTTCAAAGCAAGCAATAGCAACACTGTACGGAATAAAACACCTTTATCTTCAACGCATGAGACTGTCTATCAGAAATTCTAAAGATTTGCTGTTTTTAAATATTTTTAGCCCAAATGCTCTTGAAAGAGTATGTGTGAAAATGAAAAAAATACCCTTTTGGGAGTAATATAAGATCTGAAAGCTTTCAGATTCTTTTAAAATTTTACTTTTATTTAAATTCATTTCTGAATGCTAAAGCCTGTTAGCTGGAATTATTATTTCAATTGATTCTTTCCACTGTCGGACAAAGATAGTGTATTTGTAACTCCTCGAGATTTCACAAAGTATTTCATCATAATTGTCAGTTAAGCTTTTACTGATAAAATCAGAAGATAAGATAAAAACAATTCATTGTATTAATATAAATGTAGGCTTTATGCATATATTTCTCGCTTTTCACAATCTGCTGTTATATTTTGAGAAGAAATAGTAAAGTAAAAAAAAAGTGTGGAATATTAAAATTTATAGTGGAATTTAGAAAGTTACTTCGGAAGATGGGTATTTATGACCTGTGGTTATTAAAGAGACCCTGTCAAAACTTGACTTTGCTGAATAGATAAAAGCTATTCAGCTCAGTTTTCAGCATTCAATGTGATAATATAGCTAAAATCAACTTTAATACATTAAAGTAGGTTAACAGGATTTTCAGTATCACAATAATTTTAATTTCAAAAAGAATTCTCAAATTTTTCAAACACAAAAAAAAAAAAAGTATAGAAAATCTATTATGGTGTTAAATGCTATTAAAACATACTATGATACTATATATATATATATATATATATAAAACCCAGTCTTACATTCTCAAAATATTTGTTTCCAGTTCATTTACATTTGCTGTTGGATTCAAGTGACATTTGCATTGATACAAAAGGATCCTATTACTCAATACCTAAAATTGAAAAGATTCATAGTCTAAAGGTCAGTATATATATACATATATATACATATGTTGTATGATTTTAAATTCACTTAGTGCGAAATCAAGTTATTCTACTACTTGTGCAATAGCTGCAAAGTAAGCTAATAATAATTTATTTACTAAAGAAATATTGATTATATTATCTCCTAAGATTAATTTTAGTAGAATTATCTAAAAAGAGTGAATCCATAGTTAGTAAGTTTAATTCCGAAAATTGTTTTAAAGTAAGTAACTTGAATGTAAATTGTTAAAAATGTTTAACGGGAACTTGTATTAAATCATGAATAAAAAAATTTTAATTCTACTACTTGCACAATAGCTGCAAAGTAAGTTAATAATAATTTATTTAATAAAGAAATATTGATTATATTATCTCCTAAGATTAATTTTAGTAGAATTACCTAAAAAGAGTAAATCAATGGCAATGATTACTTGCTTTAATTTAATTTCTTTTTTTACAATTGAAATTTTGTTCTTCATGATTTAATTCAAGTCCCCGTTAAACATTTTTAACAATTTACAATCAAGTTACTTTAAAACAATTTTCGGAATTAAACTTACCAACTATGGATTCACTCTTTTTTAGATAATTCTACTAAAATTAATCTTAGGAGATAATATAATCAATATTTCTTTAGTAAATAAATAAATAAATATATATATATATATATATAGAGAGAGAGAGAGAGAGGGAATATTCAAGTAGAAAAAATAATTTCCTAAATCATACTTACTGAAAATTTTCAAATAATTTAATTTATTTATGTATAATGCTTCTGCATTTAAAAATTAAAATAAATTTTAATCACTAACTAATCTTAAACAACATTCATACAATATTCTTTTGGATTTTAAATACAGAAATATAAAGTAATTTTAATATAGGACACTCTTATGCATAAATAGAATTATGCTATATAACTGGCAATATATTCAGCTTCACAATGAAGTGACAGATCAGCATGAAGTTGAATTCTTTCTCTATATGAATGGTATTTAATTTCCTTTTGTCATCTGGAATTTAAAAAAGAAAAAAACAAATAAAATATCTGATATATATATATTTTTAATTATTATTTTAAACATGGAATTTATTCATTGACTTTCAAAGTTCCATTGCACACCAAATTTTTTAGATTTGAGTTTCAGATACTAATGACTAATATTAGTAGTGAAGTAAAATAAGATCTAAAGGGATAGAATTCCTTATCATAAAACTTAGCCTAAAATTTTTTGCTATATGAATTTACTTCTTTATTACACAGATTTTTTTTTTAATGTATTACCTATCCTTAATGCATAGTAAGAGCTTTACACAAATCAGAAGGGAAAATTATGAAATATTTATTCATCTAAAATATAAATACATTTATTTTCTCAAGCGTGTATGTAACATTCACTCTGGTTTATTTACCAAACAAGTTGAAAAGATGGGATCAACACAGATGGTATGTCATCCTCTGAGTTTCTAAGTAGTTTTGTGCTGATGTGAGCTTTGGGAAACATCCCTGTTGGGAAAATATTTAGCGGACTGTTAACCAAGATTGTGTTAAGGGTAATTAATAAGTAGTGTGAATTATTTGACACAGAAATAATTAATGCATACATATTACTCCAAAATGTTATTAATATTTTTTGGTTACCTGATACTCACTGATACATCACCAAAAATACCACCTGTCATTATGATTCTTGTGAACATTCTACAGCCCTAGAAACTATTCTGCATTCTTCTACAAAGATGAGACTTTAATCCCCCCTTTATTTGATAATGCTTTTTCTTTTCCCTTTTTTTCTTCTTCTTCTTCTTGGGAGAGTGCTATAGGTGAATGGAAGTGGCATCTTTTTTACTATTTAAATGACAGCTTCAATCTGATGAGTGCGAATTTAATAATTACATGCAAAGGGATGAGAATAATAGAAGAAAAAGGAGTAACATAGTACAAGTTATCATCACTTAGCTCCTTACTTATCAGAATTTATGTGCAGACAGAAAATAACAATCTCTTTGATGCCATTTTAAATATGATTGCCAAAAAATATCATTGCTAGAAATAAAAATTTTTTAAAAAATTATGATTTACTGGTGGGTGGTAGACAACAAGGAAGTACTATATTATAATACAATTTATTTTATCATTAAACACAAATAAATGTTTACATTTTAAAATTATTTGCATTTACATAAAATGCAATATATATATATATATTTTTATTTAATGAAAACACAAAATTGGAAAAGAACAATTAATACTGTACTATTATTAATACCTGAGATTTTAAATACCTGAGAAAAGTCTATTGGAAAGGCATCAAGAGCAATATGTTCTATTTTTACTAGTTCCATAGCTAAGCTATATTTATAAGCCATATAATAAGTTTTAGTAAGAACTCCCAACAATTTAGTTATTGCTTCAGCATGAAGTGAAGGAAACCTGAAAAAAAATTTAATGTAAAATTTAATTTACAGATAATGGATATATTACTATTAAAGATAGCTTTCACATTTCAGTTCCTAAATTAATCAGTTTTCCCCTACAAATGAAATACCATTACCACCATCTGTCATAATTAAAAAGAATTAATTTTCTTAGACTATACAGATTTCTTTGAAAACTTTTAAACACATTCAGTTATGCATCAGGAGAGGGAAAAAAAGGGCAAGTAAGGTATAATGCTTAAATTAACTAAGAACAATTTTTGAAGTCATTTCTCAAAGAATTTATTGTGAAATATGATTTTGAAAATACTTTTCGCCATTTTGTTTAAGCTGATTAACTAGCAACATCTTTAAGTATCAAGCTGCAAAAGAACTAATAAATAATGGATTTCTAAGCTGTTTTGCTGAATTTACATTTTAATACTGTTTTAGAATATTTAGAAGTTACAAAGAATGATTTTTATGGACATTTCAAGATTCCCTACCCTACTTACTAAAAGGGAAATTGATTTATTGGGATAAACCTGTTGTCATATTTACACACTTCAGACCTTAGTTTCATCATAATTCATATTTTTTTTTTTTTTTTTTTTTTTAATATGGAATAGGAATAGTCTGCTCCTGGTACAGGAGCATGGCAATACAAGAAATAAACTATAATTTAACAAAAAATGCAAGAATTGTTATATTGATTATTAGTAATTGGGAAAACTTTTGTTTGAGACTAATACAAACTAAAAAGGCTCTCAGGCTCATTTTTTTTAAAGGTTGAAAATATGTCTCTCATGGTTAAGAGAAAAAAGTATTTAGAGGATGCACTTCATGTTCTCCAAAACAGAAATAATGCCATGTATTGAGCAGAGTGTGGAAGGCAGAATGGAGAAAGAAATAAATTTTTGAACTAAGAAAGTATGTAGACATTCTTGCATAATAGGTTTGAAATTCTAATTATTAATTAAACTCATAGATTTTGTTCAATATTGTAGATTTTGAGAAAATTTATTTCTCGAACTGTCAAAAAATTTTTGAAAATTTTAGTGGAGGAAAAATAATAGAATGGCTGAGAGATTAATAAAATTTGCAGGGAAAGATTTATTAACTTCTTTTTTTCATCTATAAAAATTGTATTAGTTTAAATGAAATTTCAAATTCGTTTTAGTTTAATTAATGCATATGCTGATTACAGTGTGTTATTCACAAAGTATGCTTTAACTTTCCTAATAATGCTGCCCAAATTTCTACCTAGTAAGTTAAGGTCTGAAAAATCTTAAGCATTTATTAAACAGCTTATATATATACTAAAATTTAAAAATACAAATACATTTTGCAATGTTTAATATAAAAGGTGTGTTTTAAGCCAAAACTAAAGAATTTCTGTAAAACATGTTAATCTTTTAAAATTTCTTAAAACTGACACTTGGAACTCTTTTCCTTACTTTATAGCATGTCAAAATGTTCTGCACTCATTTCAACACCAAACGGATGGCAGCTGGAATATTTTCTTGCTATTCAATTTATAAATATGGTGCTTCAATGGCATTTATACTATTTTCATGAGAAGGTTTAGGCATATTATTTATTTATTACATTTTGTGTTCAGTATAGTACTTAAATACGGAATAATTAAAATTACCAATTTACCATGTCTGCATAATACAGTGGAATGTATTAAAATAAAACATGCAAATATTAAATCAGAAAATAAGACATAGAAGTATGTATCTCACATCTAACAGTTTAATAAATGAAAATAAATTTAATAACAATGCACTGCACATACAAATTATACTTCTTAAAATTTTCAAATATAATTGAAGTCACTGAACAAAAGGAACTTTTTTTTTATTATGCATGTGTACAAAATTTATCCAGAGGAAAAACGTTAAGGAAATTTAAGATAAAATTATAAAAGAGCTTACTTTGGCAATATGTGCTTAAAATCATTACAATTAAAGGCTCCATGGAAACAAACAGGATTTAATCCTAATAGATTCAGAGCTTTGAAAGCAAGTGATGAGGCATAATATGTATCACCAAGAAGAAGAAATGACTGTTTAAAAAGCAAACAATAAATAAATGTTGTAAAAATGGAAAATTTTTAAAATTTAATTTTAGACTTATACAACATTCCTTTCAATCCAATTTCACTACTAACAATTCTGACTTTAGCTACAATAAAATATAAACACATCTTTAGCAGTGTTATTTACATTATATCAATGCACTACTGGTTTCATGAATTATGAAATCATCATATAACTATCATGAATATTTATATCAAAAAGCCATTAACTTAATAAAAAATCCTTAACACCATGTTAATGAGATAAAAAATTACCATCTTAATACTTCTTATAAAATCAACTTACACATACTGAGAATCTTATGTACTGAGAAAGATTATCAAAAACCATTTTAGCAGAAATTAAACGACTATGATGCTAATTACTTCAAATGACACACAGCAATCATTAGAATAGGATAACTGATATCATGTGAAACCTAAGCAGATTTCTTAATAAAGTATGCTCATAACTAAACCCTTTATTACACTGCTATGTTGAAATAACAGATGCATTCATAGCATAACTGTTCGATAAATAATTCATCTTCTCGCCACCTAAAGGAACAATCTTCTCCTTCATTATGTCTATGCAAATCCTGTTATGCCCTGTTCCATAGCAATTCTTGCAGTAGGAAATAATTTTTACAGAACTAATAGAATAATATCCAGCAGCAACACAAGCACATAGTGTATGTAGTTACTTTACAATAATGATATGCTTTAAAATCAATTTTAAAAAAGGAAAATTTTTTTGCCAATTATTTAAAAATGAATTAAAAGCTTTCTTTTTATTGATAATGTTACTAAATGAATTTTTTGTGCATATTACTAGGTGCTACCATAGAAATAATTACTACTTTTCAATACTTCATCTTTAACATTTTAATTGAAATTGGGGAAAGAATTAATAAATAAATAAAAAGTAGGAAAAAAAGTAAATTTAAATTCTCACTTCAGCTTCAGCTTTCTTTAGAGAGGCTTTCAAGACTACTGGATCAAACTGACACTGATCTTCAACTGTGCTACTATGTGATGAGCTATACATGCCAGGAAATATACTTTCAGCAAATTCAGCAAAATGCAAAGCCTAGAGAAATATTTCAATATATATATTAATACATATATGTAACAAATTCTATAGATTCTTCACTGAAAATACAGAATGATAGAGCTGTATAGGTGCATAACAAAGAGGGAAAACTTTGTAGACATGGCTGTAGATCCAACATATTATTTTATTCCTCGATAACTAATTTTTAGGACTCGTATTCTTCTTTACATATAATCATTATGGGTGCAATATACACCCACACTTTTATATAACTTGTCACATCTTTAGACAATGGATGAAGAGGAGAGATGAGCAGCAAGTGTTAGCATAGTGAGAGAGTGTTAGCAGATCGCTTTGCTAAAATGCAAGTGCACATTTTAGCAAAGCGATATGCTAACACTATAAACTAACTCTATAAATATTGCTTTGCTAAAATTGCAAAGCAATATTTATAGAGTTCTTTGTTGAAATTTTGATCTGAAATTGGATTAAAAATATTCATAATGCTACTTTGAAATTATGCATTTTAGTTCATATATTAGTATTTTTAGGACAGGAAGGTGTTGTAGCTAAATTAAAATGCGAATTAAAATGTCTATTTCCAAATTAAGGTTACTAGTTTTCTTGCATATTTTATATTTTACATATTTATGCATAAAACATTATAAATACCTGAAAGCAGGATATAAAAATTCATACCCAAATAAAGAAGAAAATCATATTATATTTCTTAAAATTTTATAAGATAAAAAATATTAAAACTGAGGTCTTTATGACATCATTTCAAACTGTTGCACATAATATATGAATTTTATTACATTATAACAAATTACAAGAAACAAGTTTGGGGATAATTTTGATTTATGTGATTATTTAGAAGTGACTAGTAGTCGTGGCTGGCGTTCTTTTTTTTTTTTTTTTTTTATTATTAAAAAAGATTTTTATTTTAGATGTTCAGTAACAAATGGTTTTGAGTGAAATTAAATGTAAATAAAATAAACATATGCTTTTTTTATATATATGTGTGTACAGGCAATAATTTAAGAGGTGAGAGAAGACACAAATATTTTTTATCATGGACAATGGTCAATGGTCAATTTTTTATCAATAATTTTTATCATGGACAATGGTCAATTTTTTATCATGGACAATAGTCTATATGCTGACGTGTAGAATGCATAACTGTGTAGCTGCGGTCAGACACAGCCTTCTTGACTATTCAGCACATTTTATTTCTGGACAAAGCAATTTTTCAGAAGTATATTCTGATTCATACATCTTTATAAATGACAGCTGCATCAATTCCTCATCATATTTTTCTACTTTTTCTATACCTTAGACAAATGCACTGGATAAAATTGAGAGAAAAGCAGTGACACGCTAGCTTGAAGCAAGCAAAGCAGGAAAATGCAACATATTTAGAAGAAAACCTCAGAGAGTCAAAAGTTTATGGTTCCAAAAAAGCTTTTGATTTTTATTGAAATTTTATTCACTGATTGGCAAAAATATATCTGCATTGGCAGCATTATGTAAGATCATATATGGATTAGTTTGAAATGATGCAATTAAAATTAGAAGTTTGCTTTACATATTATTTTTATATACAGAGACACATTCTTAAAAAAATATACATATATTCTCTTCCTCTATCTATCTAAAAGGATATATATGCAAGAAATATAATAATTCAAGTTACATAATGTGGAACTGTAAATCATAAGAAAAATTTATTTATGAAAGAAGATAAATAATCATATATATCTCGTACTGTAGAGGAAAAAAGACAGTATACAATATAACAGTAACTTCATTAATCAATGTTTTAAGGGTTTACCTTGGTTTAGAAGAGACTTAAAAATGAAATAACTGTTACAAGCATTCAGCAGGTAATACTGGACATAATAACAATAACACTCCTTGTTTTATATTTTGATTATGCTGAAATTTATATGAAAATTCATGATCCCTTCGTCTATATTAAGCAGTTTATAATGAGTTGAACAGACATTTCAAGAACTTTTTCTGGCAGTATTCATGAAAAAAAATTTGTTTCATTGCTGTGATATTAAATGTACATATGATGAATTATGAAGAGTTAAAAAATGATGTCATGCTTAATTTGATATACTATTTACCGTATATACCCGCGTATAAGTCGACTCCCCACTTCGACATAAAAAATTCGTAGAAAATAAGAAACCTGCATATAAGTTGACCCCCCATTTCTGAAACCGATCGAGAAACTTCGAAAAAATTTTTTAAGTACTACATTTATTCAAAATCATCTGAGAAAAAAAAGTAAATATACGATCAAAAATACCTTGGTAAATAAACAAAATCAAAATCCTTCAACGTCCGATTCGCCAAACATTTCATAGAACTCTTCTGTCGTCATTGGCTCATCATCATACATATTTTCAGTCTCGAACTCTGTATTGTTACGAAACGTGTTTGGAACACCATATTTTTCTTTTTTTGCAAGCTTCATTGCTCGTAAATGTATGCAAGTTCTAGTGACAATGAAACCATTCTGTCAGCACTCTAAAACCCAAGCATACAAGTCATTTTAGAGTTCTGGGAAAGGAGCTTTTCCACGTCGCAACGCCTTTTTCGATTTCGGGATTTTTTGTAACTTTACTTTATTCTTGCGCCAATCACGAATAAATTTTTCGTCAACACCAAACTGATGAGAAGCAGCACAGTTATTAGTCTCTTCCGCGAAAGAAATAACTTTTAACTTAAATCCAGCAGCATATTACTGACGTTCTGTTTAACTACCAATAAATCAGCCATATCAAACAGAAAAAAAGAAGGGAAACAAAAACGTGCTGACAAGGAGCGAGTAAGATTTAACAGTGGGCACGTGATTCTATCAAAGGATCTGTCGAATCTGGATGTTAAACCGAAAGTTTTTCTGCCCCGAACAACCAATCAGCATCCAGCAGGCAAAAGCTCGCCAACTATCCAAAACGCAGGATAATTGGGGAAAAATTATCATATATAGTAACCTTCTACAATTTATTCTGGAAAAGATTCACGTACGCAAAATCTATCTGCATTTAAACCTTTTTAAAAGTTAAAAGAAATATTCAAAACTGTTCAGTTATTGCGTGGGCTATTTTTTAAAATTTTGACATGTATGCCTGTTAACAAAAGTATTTCATGAATGAACAATAACTATTCTAAAGACTTATACGTACATAAAAACTATCTGCATTTCTCTTTTCTTGGCGTGTTGGCGAAACATTTTTTATTGCTCGATATTGATTGGTTGTTCGGGGGCCGAAAATTCTTTGGTTTAATCGAAACTTATTCTAGTTAAAGTATGAAAATCTGTGATTAGTTCGTCACATAATTTAAGTCATGAAATTACTTCAAGTAAATGACTTATTTAATAAGTCGTCCAATTTGAGTGCAGGAAGAGAACAACTGCATTATATAAAGACATTTTTGAACTTCTGATTCTTTTAATTTTTTATGGCCCCGCGTATAAATCGACCCCCACTTTGAAGTCTTTTTTTTTGTCCAAAACATCTCGACTTATACACGGGTATATACGGTAAGAAATTATGTTCACATTAAGTCAATAAAAATATCAATTAATCTAATTTCTTGAAAAGGCCTTGGTAAGAGGTATTACCAGTTCCACCCATAATTTAAGTAAAATGCTGATCTAAAAAAATTAGCTTCCATTAAAATTATATAAATGTGGTACTCGGTATTTTAAAAAATACAAAACGAATAATAACCTGAATAGGGTAATTGATATCATTTGAAGCTTGAGCAGCCTTTTTGATAAAGTAGACTCGAAGTAATTTGGCACCAACAGAATCATAAATAGCAGCAAGACGAGTATACAATGTAGTTCTCCTTTGTAAACATGTACAATGCTTTGAGTCAGCATAAATAGGCAAGCTATAAAGAATAAAAATGAATTTATGCCATAATATAAAATTCAAGAATAGATATTTTAAAGAATACATTTCATGTATATGAAAAACTAATAAAGAAAATATTTAACAAAGAGATGAAGTAGACAAGAATAATGATTGTGATTACTTATTAAAATGTACATAAACAGGAACTTTTTTTAATACTAAGAATATACTACCAGAATTTCATTAATTATAGCACAGGCAATATTAACAATTGTCTTTAAGGAGAAAATATTTAAGTAAATATAACAAAAGAAATACAATTTCTGGAGATCAATTAAAAAATACAAAGATTTAATGGTTTAATATTATTAGCTTGTACGCAAGGTTAGATTAGGTTATTTGTACATAGCAAAGCACATAAAGACTGTCTGCCTAAGGAGAGAGATGCAGTTGGCGAGGACTTTCTGAGGAAAACTTGTAGAGTCATTAGGTAAATTGGAAGCTGGAAAGCTGAAAAATATGCAACTGCCTTCGCCGGGAATCAAACCACGGACCTCTAAAATACCGGCTCATTGTGCTGACCACTACACGACGAAGGCATGCTAGGGAAGTGGGAGAAATACCTTATAAACTCACTTGTATTCATATTTGTGATGATCACGTGAGGAAGACGACAAAAACCAAACATGCAACCATCTTGAAAAAAAGTTCTACATGAAAGGTGATCTAAGTCAGAGATGGTCAACCCACAGTCTGCCTTGTAAAATTCACAAAATTTATAATATAATAAATTCTATTGACACAGCAAAAATTAAGAAATCAATTCTGGTTCTTCTGAGTAAAAACAACATGGACATTTATGATAGCTGTCAACAGAAGCAAGTTGAAGCTATGACATCACAGATTCTAATTGGTTAAAAAGTGATCATGTGATGATTACATTTGATGTATGTGGCCCTGATCCTTTATCCCTTGTCCATGAGTATGGACAAACTGACTGCTCATGTCTTTAGTACAGTAAACTGTCTTTAGTACAGTGTATGATTACACATACGAGAAACACTGTTGATGAAAATAGACAATACAATGAACAATGGGAAAAGTACTGTTTTATTATTCAAAACTCCAAATCAATGCATTTAATTTCTCAAGAAACTGTCGCTGTATTTAAAAAATACAATACGAAAAGAAATTATGAAACAAAATACAGTAATCATATTATATTGGAAAAAAAACTAAAAAAATCAAAATACAACACAGAATTTTAAATGGAAATTAAAAGCTCAACAAAAAACATTTAGTTCAGCATTACATAACCATCTAACATCACAAAGGCAAATCATTTTGTTTCATTTCTAATTCTAAAAAAGTGAAACCATTTTCGAATGGTGAGTATGTAAAAAAAAAAAAAAAAAAAAAAAAAAAAAAAAAGTGAGAAGACATTGCAAAAAATGTTGTGCATGATTAAAGAAAATTGTTTCTAAATATTAGTTTACCTTTACAAAAAGTATATAATCAAATTATCAACATTTTAAATGAAATTCTTACAAATCTGTCTGATCTAATTTGAGGTTTCAAGGCATTAAATGGAAGTGCAGAAATTTCAGAAACATCTCAGCTTGTATTATTCAGTTGAGGAATACATGAATAATTTCACGTAAGTGAAGAAATGTTAAATGTGATCAACTTGAAGGGTAATACAAAAGAAAGTTTTTTCCAGACTGTCAAAAACTGTTTATGTGAAAACAACTGGTATTTAGATATTCTTTCCGAAGTACCAACTGATGATTGATAAAGTTATCTGCCAATCATAGCTGCTGTGCCGTCAGCTTAAATTAAAAAATTACTAATAAATAAGTTAGAATCAAACAACATTAACTGAAGATTTAATTATTTTCCATTGCTTGATTCATCAACAAAATCTGTGTACTCAAGTTTTTTCAATGACTCATGCAAGTAGTCATAAAAACAGTTAATTATATCTGATCACATGCATTTTTCGTCAGCAATTTAAGGAATTTCTAATAGAATTAGAAGAATTAGATGCTGAAAATGGTGATATTATGTATTTCAGTTATATCAGGTAGCTACATTGAGAAAATTGTTTACAACAATCTTTTGAGTTATGCCAAGAAATTGGTTTGCTTATGAATGAGAAGCTAAAACTAGTGCCAGAATTAAATATAATGATGTGTGGTTATTGAATTTATGCTCTATAGTAAAAATAGTAATAAAACTTAATAAATTAAATGTATCTTTACAGCGAAAAAATATTTAATCATCTTATGCCATATGATTTTGATTTTCAGGTATGGAATGGGAGTAGCTTACTACTAAATGGATTTCCTCTATAGAAAGAATTAAATATATATATATACTTTTACTAAAAGATGTTACATGACCAGAATTTGCATGGATTGAAAGCTTAACTGATATGATCCATTTCTTAAATTAAGATCCACATTCCAGTTTAAGAAATATTTAGACCATTCATTGAAAAGTCACATATATATTCCAACCTCAGTTAATACAAAAGATACTCAATTATGCAATCTTATTTTTAAACATTCTATATAGCACCATGTGCAGTTTTAAGGCATGAAAATACAGTAAATAACTTCTTAAAAATATTTACTGAGTTTTGTTACAATTTAATATTATTTAAACATGGTAAAAATTTAAATATACAAAAAAATGTAGCAAACTCGCTGTTAAATGACGAGTATTCTTATTCTTATTATTCTGTAACTAAATATATGCTTTAAAATATCTTATATTAATTACATTAATGGCAAACTTGTTTATAAAAGTGGTTACAAATTACATCAAACAAACAAATTAATAAAAACTAAAATAAATTATTAATAAGCACATATGTTGCTTTTAAATCTCTCAGTCTGTTACACTGATGTTATAATTTGAAAGATAGACTGATGATTTTATAAATAATTATCTTATAAATAAATTATTAATAAGCACATATGTTGCGTTTACATCTCTCAATCTGTTATATTCAATGCTATAATTTGAAAGATAGACTGAAGATTTTCTCCCTGAAAATTGACAATAGCAGTTAACCAGTCCATATGTTTGTCTATCAGTATAGATACATAATAGAAATCATTCTCCCTTTTTTGGGGACATTTTGAAAAAAAAAAAAAAAAAAAAAAAAAAAAAAAAAATCATTGATATTTTTTATTTTACAGACTTTCTAGGATCTTTCAGGTAATTGTTCTATTCTGTTACATTGTGTAAGTGCGATTTTTTTAAAAAGCATACTACTTTTGGAGTTTTAATATATCTACAAACATATTTCATATATTTTAATCTTGCTAATACTTCATAAAAATTCTTGTTATTGAAAGATGATGCAAATGGCAAACCCTAGCTTGATGGTACTTTCAGAGGAAATTTCAAGATACATTAATTTCAGTTCAAAAGCTTCAGTGCATTCAGTTTTGGAATCCTGAAATCCTCAAACATCCACAAATTTTAAATGAAAATATTTTCTTTGCTCTGAAGAAACTAAGCTGCTTACATAAATATTGAAAGAATATGAATTAATAAATATGAATATGAATAGCATAAATATGAATATGAAGCACAAATATGAATGCTAAAGATCCTTAAAATGGCAGATAAGCTAACAAATCTGCCATGAAAGTTTTAAAATTAAATTAAATTAGCAAAGAAAATAATATATAGTATAATAATAATTTATAGAAAATAATATAAGTCATTAAATTTGCTTTGAAGTAATCTTCGAAATTTTGCATGCATTTATTTTTTCTTTATTCTTAACTTACTGAAGTGAACAGTGACTACTGCATTAGTTGTTATGTTTTTACTTTATGGGGATCACATTAAAAGTTAAAATTTTGTTTTTACAAAACTTTCTCACCAAAAATGTTGAAACTGCTCTTATAAAAATCCGCATGTTGTTTTAAGAAATTTTGCAATAAGGAGTATATATCTAGAATCAATATTTGAATAAATAAAACTGCAGCAAATTATATTACATTTGATTTACTTATTTTACAAATGTAAATTACAAATCATGTGTAATAAATAAGTGAAAAGATTACCAACGCATATCTTTCATAGCATTTTCCATTTTAGTATCTTCAGCTCTTGCCCTTTTGCAGGAAATACATATAAGGCCATTAGTCTCTAATTCATAAGCTAGTTCCAAATGCATGCTACGCAGTTGATCTTTTGTCATGTAGTTCAAGATGCACAACCTAGCCAATTATAAAAGAATTTAAATGTTTTTAAACTAAATTTAACTAATTTTTTTAAATATAAGGTAAATAAAAAACATTTTCTTTGTTCCCTTGTTTTTTATAAAGTAAAATCCTGCATGAATAAAATCCACTTAAATTGAAAAAAATGGAGGGAAAATAATATGAACTGGTGAATGTAAAAATCACCAATATCAATTATTTTAAGACCATCATCTTGAACAAATTTTATAACAAATAAGAATAACACTAGCATATCATATGCAAAAGTAGTAAGTGAAGAATTAAATCTCACTCCAAATATGTATATTCATAAAAGATTTATGCCTTGGAGCAAAATGTACCTGAAAATTGCTAAGCTACCAACAAAAACAAAAGCATCAAATCTTATAATAAATTATATGTATATAAACTGAAAAATTATGTAAATAGGACTTTCAAAACAGCAGTACATCAGCTAATTGAGACAAACAGAAAATAGCTGATTTTGCCAGAAAAAGACATGATATTGCTTTAAGATTCTTCCTCCTCCTGAAAAAGTTTGAATCCGATAGGGATAATACAGCTTTTTCCTTATTATATTTATTATTGCATATTTTTATATTTTTACAAATTACTTTTCCACAGTCCAGGTTAGTCTAGTAGACTGCACTAATTTTACTTAATTAATTTTCAAAATTTGATTATATTTAACTTTCTAGTTCCTGCCTTGCCTGTTTAGTTTTAAACCTAATTATATATATATGTGTATGTATGTGTGTGTGTGTGTGAGAGAGAGAGACATGCAGAGAAAGTTTGGTTTGTTTTATGCGATTACAGCAAAGCCTCTAGAGCTATCTGCCTATAGGGAGGGATGCCTTTGTGGAGGACTTTCTAAGGGAACTGACTCGTTACATATTACACATGGGGAAAGCCATGAAAATGCCCATGCATCCAGCTCGTTAGTGGAATTCGAAACTCGGAACAAACTACCAGAGTTCAGCAACATTACTGCTTGGCCACTGGTGGGCTTATATAAAGAGAAAGAGAGAGAAAACAGAATAATAGTAATATTCAGTCTTTAAATCCTATTCCTATCAAGCAGAAAAAAAAAAAATTCTGCAGTGTAATATTATATTAGAATCCATAAAACAAAAATTTTAAATAATTTTTCAGAGTAAAATATGTTGCAGAGAACAAATGGCAATGGAGTGGGGAAGAACAAAAGAATACCCCCCCCAAATTGTGTTGCACTTCTCATTTTTGTTTGGTACAAGTTTCTTGAACTCATTTACTTTTAAAAATTATATAATATGATATAATGTTATACATATATAATGTAGTATGTTCTCTAAGCAATTCTTGCCATTCTGCAAGAAAATCTGTCAATGGCCAGCTAGTGATATTAACAATATTTTTTAAGTATAACATTGCAATTTTTGCAAGTACATTTGCATTTTCCCCAATTCTTTTTGGAATATTTCAACAGCTTAAAAGCAATAATTATAAAAACACGGAAACTGAACACTGCATTTCTAATTACTAATCCACATTATTTTTATGTGTTTTTTGAAAAAAAAAAAAAAAAAAAAAAAAAAAATCTGAAAGGTTTCAGATTTTAAATTATGTCCAAAGGGGCGTTTTTTAACATTTTGTCTGTTACCTTTATTTATTAAATATCACGTTCTTTGCACTTAAACCATAAAATTCAGTTCAAGAGCAATATTGCAAAATAGTTTTAAATTGAGCATATGTTTAGAATTTCCGATAGGCAGTGTCACACACTGAAGATAAAAATTTTTTTTCTGTGCAACGCTCGCTTTTCATTGCTCGCTTTGAAATCCTTGAGTTTCTTAATCAAAAATTTGTTAAGGTTTTACAAAATATGAAATCGATAATAAAACAAATTCCAAATTTCAAATTTGGGCTTCCACATGCCCATATTCGCAGTAGGATTATGTCATTCAAACTTCGATGGCTCTATAAACTGTTGTTTTATCACGATGTGAGAAATATACACACATTTATGAAGATTTTTTATTATTTAATTTCTTCAAATATAACGCAGATCTCTAACATTAGGTGGCAACAGTGTGAAAAGTGTAATGGGCATTTATAGTGAACCAATGCGAAATCGCAAAACAAAAACAATAGTCCTTGAGGGAGAAAGCCGCTTTGGACTAAAAAAAAGCAGCTATAAGACAAAAATTACCTGATACCCAATAAACTTATATGAAAAACGGGCTAAGAAAAAAAATTACATTTATTTGCATGGTATTTTAAAAGATGCCAACAGATTATTTTTATTTACATAACAAATAATTAGCTTGCCTATATATTGGATGTTAGGAGAATCATTAACAATAAGTGAAGTAAAAAATCAAACTAAAAACTCATATTAGTTGAGAATATATGCAAAGTAAAAAAGCAATAACACTTCATTTAACCTTTACTACATATGATTAAAGTTGTATACAAACTTCATATTATTTAGAGAGTCCTACTTTACAAAAAATACTATTTTGTATAGCTCTTGGAAAACATTTAATATGCAATTCAGTATTACATTTTTGACATTGAGTTGACAGTAAGTTTTTTTTATATGATAGAAATGATATTTACTTTTTACTTCATTTCCAATTAAATTAAAAAAATAATTATGAAATATTAAAACTGTATTATCACACATATAATAGAAAAATAAAATGTTAAAAAAACATGAGTTTATGATTTAATATACAATAATATTAATACTAAAGTGATAAAATAATAGCAGTTGAAATTTTTATGCACAACCGTTTTAATGACCTATAATCGGATGATAGTTTCTGAACTATAAAATACAAATAAAGAAATATATATCAAAAAGCTCTACATGTAGTACATAGCATGTTTTACATGAAGGGCCAGATGAGCTGTGGTGATTTATCGTTCACAGTTTTTCAACGCTTTCAGTGTTTTAGTGGAAGCTTTGCTCATCATAATACCTATGGGTCGAAGCAGAAGTATAATGTAAGAGACCATGTTGGTTTTGATGACAGAACTTGAATCTGTTTCATGGGAGTGAAATACTCTACCTTGTCATCAATGGCGGCTTGTGGCTAAAATTAGTGGGGATGCTGTTCCAAAAAAAAAGTTTAAGCTTTGTTTTAAAATTGTCTAAAAGGAAACAAACATGCATAAAAAGAAAATTTATTTTGAAACTTCATAAAATCTTACAAGAAAAAAATGAAACATTTCTTAATTACTTTAACCAAAATTGTTACAGTTCAATCTTTGTCTATTCATTTAAAAATGAAAACCATTCTTCTTGTTTTAATTTGCACGAAAAGATCAATAATTTTCTCCTTGATCTCTGGATGACAACTAAGGAAATTTTTCTTTATTGAAAGCAATGCAAGCATATTTAGTCTTTCCAAATTCCTAGTGCTTCTTAGAAAAGTTTTCATTCTTTTCAATGTTGAAAAGCAGCGTTCTGCCTCTGATGTGGTCATGGGAACTCTCAACTTTTATCAGTTTTGTAATCTCACTAAGAACATCATCTAGATTATTTTCTTATCATAAATTAATTTTGAAATTTATCTGTTTAAGATAAATTTCTGTAGCTCAATTAATTTGCAGTATTCATGGATATCAGACCTAGAATAGAATACTTTTAATTCAGTTTCAAGCTTTTCTTTGTCAATAATTGGATACGCTTCAGTGGTCAGTACTATTACTTCTGTAGAATGTTCATTCCTAAAACTAGTGAAGCATTTCTTGTTTAACAACTTAGCAGCTGCTAAGTGTTTAGTGGAAGAATATCTGTGGATTATATCAATACATAGTATAAAGTCACATATTTCCTTAGCTTCTGCCATCAGTGTCCTTGAAAAATTCTGACAGTACTTTGAGTTTCTTAATTCTAAAAGAGCAGTTTTGAAATTTATTATATATTCTTTAACTTTAAACACACTAATTTCTCTGGATTGCATTTAGTTGATTATTATTTCAACATGAGGCATCTGATAAAAAAGCTCTAACCAAAATTGAAATTATCATCATTTAGATATTTTAAAATTCCTGTTTCTTTTGCAATAGGAATGGTTGTTTCATTTGTTGTTGTTGTTGTTCTTCATTTGATGTTGATTGAATTTCAGTAAGGCAACTTTTTAAAGGTTGCAAATTTTCATGAAGTCTGTTTTGGGTCTGTATGATGAAGTTCCACCTTGTGGAGAATACCCCATGTGCAGAGTAAGAACAAATCACGTTTTCCGACAACATGTCAGAATTTTGGCACTGCAAGAGCGACAGTGCTCTTCTCTCTGCCCGGCTCGTGTGCTGCTTTCTGTGCGTGCACATGTGCAGAACAGCCAAACACCATGTCACTAGAACCGTGAAGCCCACAGTTCCAAAGAAAGACTTTCGTACCTTTTTCACAGAGCGAGGGATGACTACTGACATTAAGCTTAAGGATTATGTATTGTAAAAGTATAAAGAAAGAATTAAAGACTAAAGGGCATGCTATATTAAATATTAAAAATTATAATAAGTGGAAATAGGGCATGCTGCAGTTCCACAGTGCTTATTACGAGCCGCCACTGATTGTCATAAATGAGTTCTTTGGTGACAAATTCAAGTAATTCAATTCTTTCGAATTTGCAACTGTTGGCTGGTTCCGTGGGCTGCCCTACATCCTACCCCCACCATCTGTTTAAGAGGAAGGATGACTTGTTGCCATGTTTTGACCCATGCAATTATGTGGTTGATATTTGCATTAGTCGGCTGCATTCAGCTCCATTCAATGGGTGTGGTTAGTTGGGTCCATTGAACACCTGTGTAGCACTACACACTAGGGATGGCACGAGTGACACAGTTCATCAGTTTTTCCCCATGTGGAGGAGGTTCCCAACCCATCTGGTTCACCACTGGGGTGATTGTGGTATACTGCACTGATGGGACAACTCCATGGGGTAACTGGTGTTGGTTGTGTTTGTTAATTTTGCATATTACTTACTACATGTAAAACAAAAATACATTTAATATAAATCAATGAAAGGTTCCATTACAAATACATAACAACACTGAAGGCACAGAAGAAATTATTGTAAGTCAATGTCCTCATTGCATGAGGATCTTTCTAGAAGGAAGTCTCTCTAGTTGAGAGTTTAAGAGCATTCCGATTCTTGCCTTGTCTAAAACGGTTTGCAGACTAAATTAGTCATGACCTTTTAATTTTTTGGTTGTATTTTACATTCCCTGATTCTTAGAGTTGAAACAATATTAGAATGACAGGATCATTGGTTTGTCAGCCTCCCTGAAATGGAGATACTTCGGTGACAGACAAAGTGAAGATTGCTAAATTTCCTTGACACTGGCAATGAAGTTATGACTCCTGTAATATCAGCTGGAGCCGTAACTGAACGAATTATTGCTTCTGCAATGTCAAACCTGTTGTTTCACTACTCATAACAGCTAATGATGCCAGAATGTTGTTAGTTTTCTAGTTAGTGTGTGGGGCTCACTTCTACATAACATAACTCATAAAAGCTGACTTAGATGCATAATAACTATCATAATCAATATGAATCAATATGTATATGATTATATACCAATGTTTCTCAGAAATTTCTCTTTTTCTTGCCATATGAAAGTAAGTACTGAAAGACTTTTTTATTATGCTAATATTTCACAAACACAACAATTTTTTCCAAACCTATTTGTTAAACACAGTAAAAATAAAAATGATGAATATCCCAGCATTCTTTCAATTATCTAAACCAGTATTACCATCCGTTGAATAAAATTAGCATTGCAGAAAAAAAGTAATCGAGGAGGTATCTGATACATAGAGCATCAGTCAGATATGAGTTAAATGCAAATTAAAATGTTAAAATGAGAAATTCTGATATTTATGCTATAAAAATGTATACAAAAATGAAACATTTTCCATTAGAATAGCCAAAACTTAAAATCAGGATTAAGTGAATGTTATGCTACAGTCAATGATTAAAATAGAATTAGAAAAATTCCAAAGATTACTCTTTGTTTTAAACAGTATAAATGAATAAATATATTATTACATACATACACAGATGTACTGTAATGCATAATTTCAGTTAACAGAATGATAGGTTTGGTTAGCAGAATGATAGAATAATGGGAATGAATCTCTACATTACAGCACAAAATATAATTCTAAGAAGTTAAGAAAAAAAAAAAAAAAAAAAAAGGTGTTATGCAAAATACATTGGATAAATAGGATTTTACTAAAAATAAAAACTACACATACAAACAATAAAAATACTATACAATTACCTAAAAATATCAGTGTAAAACTTGAGACGATGATATGGTCCAATTACACGGGAACTACTGGAACCATTCCTTAACACAGATTTAGTGGAAACTTTCTTACAGAAACAAATAATAGAGCATTCTAATTTTTCAGAAGGCTTTTGTAGCATTTGCTTGTTGAATACATACTCAGAAATGCAAGCACATGACAAAATATGTTTAGATGTCAAAGAGTTCAGAGATTTCAATACCTGAAAGCATTACAGTTCATTAATAACTTTTTTTATCCTAACTTATAATACAGTTTAAACGTAATTATTTTAGCTAAGCAACTTAAAGTTTAAATTTTTAACTAATTACCTGGGACAGACTTACCTTACTTTTTGGGTGGAAGAGAGAAAAATAACTGACATATAATTAAATAGAAAATTATAATTATTTGAATTATATAAGGCAGGGGTGCCCAACCTTATGTTCGCTGATTGTTTTGTATGTGCTCACCAGCCTGATTAGGTACTATGAACAAAAAATATTTCTAAAATAACCATTCATTTACATTTCTTAATTGTTAAAATATGGTAAGCATTTATAGTCATAAGATATATCTTGCAAGATGTTAGAAAATAACTGATTGCTGATTTACGAACTTGATAACGAATGTGGAATCTTATTGCTTCATTTCGATGTCAGATGGCTCAGCAAAGGAAAAGTACTTCAATGATTTGTAGAACTTCCTTCGCCAACAAAGCAGTTTTTGGAATCTGGAAACAAAAGTTATAAAGAACTGGAGGATAATAATTGGTTATCCAATCTATTTTTTCTCACGGATATAACAGCTAAACTGAACAAATTGAACGAAGTCCCAGTCTACTGTAAAACTCTTTTTCAATTGACTAGGACTATAACTGCTTTTCAGATAAAGTTAAATTTGTGGATAAATCAGATGAAAAAAAAAAAATTTCACTTCATTTTTCAGAATTTATCAAGCCATATTAAAACCACAGGCATTGAATCGAAATACTCGGAAAACCCTAAATGCACTGAAAAATAATTTTGAAACTCTCCGCTTCTCTGATTTCTTAAAGTTCAACCAATATTATTATTCATCTCAAACCCATTTGTCGAAATTAATATTTTAGATGTATCACATAAGATTGGAAATATGTTTAACAAAAATGTTGATGTTTTGGAAATGCACTCGCAATAGGTCAAAGGTTGGGCACCACTGATATAAGGGTTCTAAACGTAAGCATACAATTGTTGCCCAGTTATGTAAAAATACTTCTCTGTTGATCAAGTATAAGAAATCTCCTCAGTATTCATAAAAAAAAAAGAATTGTAATTTAAGTTTCAATACCTCAATGCAAATAGAATTAAATTTATATTAAAAATAAAAATACAAGTTATAAATTATGAAGCTCAGCACTTTACACTGCTTACAGTTTTTATATATACTAAGTTTCACTGAGTGGATCAGAAAGTAGATTGTAGGATTTTATGTTAATTAAACAATTATAATGATATGAAACTGCTGTAACTTCTTCTTTCTATAGTCCTTACCAGTATGCAAATTAGTTGCATGAGTATTTAAGCTGAATTTCTGAATGTTTTAGAGTTTCTTGTAGTCCAGCTTGCAGTTATGTATTATTGCTAGTTCTGCCAAAGTTTATTCCGACTTTGAGCCATTCTGTTGGTCAACTTTAATGCATACCATTAATTATTTCAGCCAGCTTAAATAGACCACCTAGTGTGCAATCTCAGACTACATTACTTGAATTTAACTTCATCTTATGCTATTTTAAATACCTGCAAGCAGTGGAGTTATATTCTGTAGCCCAAGTAGTGCCTTATATTTATTTAAAGAGTGAGAGGAAGAGATTATTTTAACTTTTGGAAGATCAGACTAGAGTGATAACTCACTTATCAGTCTAGTCAGATTTAAAGGGCATTGATTTAAACTTCTATGCATAGCAGAACCCTACAAAATCTGTTTCCTAAGTCACACAGAGAAAGCCAATGATAAAATTATTAGATCTTAGTTTGTATAACCAAATCTTTATTTTTAAGAACAGCACAAAAATAAGAAATGAAGTAACTGTTCAGCTTCTGTTACATTCAGTTACAGAAAACGTATAAAAGAATGTCCCAGTTTCAATGGTATATTATAACAGTTTTAATTAGAATACTTACAAAAAATCATATATCAAATTGAAAGTAAACCTAGATTTTTTCCCTTACAAATATTCAATATGTGCACTTTTAGTTATACAGTACACATCCAACTTATAGTCCACTTCTTTCCACACTTTGGTTAACATGTCTGGAGTAATGGAAGCAATAGCTCTTTAACTTTGTGCCTCAACTCTGCCAAATCATTAAGTTGCAGCAGAATGTAGACACGATCTTTTATAAAGCCCTGAAGGAAAAAATCGCATGGCTTTAGGCCAGGTGAACGTGTAGGTGAGCTAAGAAGAGCTATACTGTCTTGAACATTATGACCAATCTAATGGTGAGAGATTTTGATGTTCAGTCACTCTTGTACAAAGAGATTCCAATGAGGAGAGGCTACATCTTGTCAAAATGAAGTTTACAGGTTCGTCTTCTACTGATTAGGGAAACAGCCATTCTTGTAACATATCTAGATAAGCTACCCCAGTTACAGTAGCTTCAGCAAAACAAAATGGTCCATACACTTGACATCAGGACACAGCACCAAAAACGTTTAATTTGGAGGAATCTTTTCCATAAATTCATGAGGATCTTCTGACCCCCAGATATAAACATTATAGGTATTTCTACTCAGATGAAAAGTTGACTCATTACTGAACACCACACAATCAAGAAAGTAATCTTCCTGCTCAAACATTTCACTTGAAAAGTTAAAACATACACTATAGTCATCTGGCTTTAAAGCATGTGTCAACAGTATCGATGTATGTGTAAATATTTTCTTAAAACCTTCCAAACTGTCATCTTTGGTAACTGAATTTCAAGACTTGATTTTGGAATAGATTTCTTATGACTATAAAGGTAAGATGCTCTGACACAGTCCACATCCTCTACAGACAATTTATGTCATCCTGTGCTCTTCCCTTTACAAATTGCCTATACCATTGGTGGATGATTTTGTTACATGGGGGATCACAATTAAACGAAACACGCGTTGAACTGAAATTACAGATTCATCCTTAGCAAATTGCAGAATACAAAACACTCTAGACTCAGGAGTTGCTATTTTGCTTATGTGGCATTACTAGCAAGAAAACAACACAGAAGTCCTAGAGAATGCACTTATCTAAAACTGTTTGAGTTACTCTTTAATTGTGACCTTGAGCCAACACTTTATAATGCTTACAGCTGATATTATTAAAATTTATACCTGGGACATTCTTTCATGGAAATACTGTTTAAAAAATTATTACCATATGACTGTGAGAAAATGTCCTCAATGTGAAGGCATAAAGAGACAGAAAGGAAGAAAACAAAAGTTTTATCTCTTATTTTAGATAATAAGCATTAAATTTAGTGAAATATACTGCTATTTAAGAAATAAATATTTATGTATGTAATATTAAAAAAACTGTAACCTATTTTTATATATGAAGTATGTTTACTATTATTATTGCATACCTCTTCCTTTGTTAATCCTAAGCTTACAGCTTCAAGAGTATGCTGATCAAAGTCATAGCCTAAAACTGCAGCTCTTTTCAAAAGCAATCTTTCCTGCATATTTAAATCATTTAGACGTTCATTCACTGCATCTAAATGATTGAAGTATAAGCAAAGAAAAGGTACAGTGCAAACAACAGAGACAAGAGTACTAAAGATGAGAAAATTTTATAACTAACAGGAAAAAACAAAAGCAGATGAAATCAGACTGAGAACAAAGAACTTTAATGAATCATAAAGTGTTATGAACAATAAATTATGTACAAGACAGAATACAGAGGCATGAGTGTGTTCTGGTATAATGCATATATAATTTGATTTATAATTTATAATATTAATAACAATTTTGTATAAATTAAAAAAACAAACAGAAAACTCAGCGATGATAAAATATCATTAAAATTATTAAATTTGATATAAACATTGACAGGTATTTGTATGATACAAATTTATAGCTTTATAACTAAATATTAAGAGAAATATAAAAATGCAACAAAATTTCAGCATTCTCTCTGTTTCTCTTTACATATATTGATCTTGACTGGATTTTTGTACATTCATAACATAGTATTTATAATATTACAAAGATATCAAGCACACATACACATGTACATACATTATGCTGAATAATAATTAAAAAAAAATAGCGCTCATACTCTTAAATATAGGTCCTAGATACAAATTATCAACTGTGAAATTTCATAATAAATGCTTTAACAATTATATTAATTTGTGCACAGTTAATTTTTAGTTCTTATTCTCTTTTATTCATCTTGTCTTCCATCATATCAGTTAGGGCTGACTCCAAGGTTAGACAGCTGTAAAGGGTGCTGATTTTTCAGTGGGCTTCAGCTATGTTGATCTCACAAATGATATTTAAACAAAGTTATATTTGGCTTTGAATTATTAATATGTTTAATTTAAATGGAATATCAATTGATGGCTTAAGATGCCGGAAATGCTAGAGCCAGCCCTGATACCATTTAATCCAATCCAGAAGTTTACGCAAATTTTAGTTACACGAACTTGAAATTTAAATTAGTTGTTAAAATCAACTTCTAATTAATGAAGGTTGCTTTCTGATTCAGAGAATAATTTTTGTTTTGAATTTCCTCTTATTGCACTGTTGTTGACCATTATTATCAGTTAGCAAATGAAGGTTTAATTCAAATTTTTCTAATTAGTGCTACATTACCTGAACCTGTCTATTTAAATAAGCAATTACATTACAATTGCCAGCTTCATCAGGCTAGCTAACTGTATTTGTATGAAAAAAGCAATCTCTTTTTTTTTTTTCTTTTAATCACAAAGTATAAGAGCAAAAATAAAATTTCAAATTTTCACCTATTTTATTTTATTAAGACATTGTTTTTGCAAGTGCTAGCCATCATGGCATATTATACAACTTAAGCCATTAGATATGAGACAGAATGATATTAAAATTTTAACTTAAACAGTAAAAAGTTGCAGAATTTCCTGCAATATTAGCGAGTGTTTTATAAAAACAAAATCCAACTTTTCATAAGGTTCTTATAGAGTAATAAGTCCTATTATTACTCATAATTACTAGATAAAATATTTGTTATATTTTATTTTTAGCTAAAAGATGTTTCATACATTTACACTCAAAATTGTGAACAAATGCTTAATATACATTTTTAACAAACAATAATGATTCCCAGCCACAAATTCAATGCTTAAAAAAAACATTGGTATGAAAATTTCTGTTTCAAATATATGCCACACAACCAACATGATCTTGCTCAAGCATTTTAAATTCTTTTGCAGTAGTATTTTCTAAGCTTAAAGATCCAAATTATATCAAAATTGTGCCGAAGAATAGTTACATGGAACTCTTAAAATGATTGCACAATGATAATGCAGCAAGAGCTGCTAAAGGAGTGTAAATGTTGTTTGATAATTCTTTACTCTCTTTCTAAACTTTAATTTATTCCTTGATTTAATAAATATTATGTTTACATAATATTTATGCTGTTCAGGAGAACTAATCAGACATGAATGATGCATTTAATTCATATTCTTATTTGCTTTGTAACCAACCCTCATATTACAACCACAGTGTTGAGACTCTTTATATAAAATTATACAAAATTATACAGCTTACTTTAAGATATATTTTACATATCCCTGAGTATATAATTACTCTATACTTCACAATTATACACTCTCTATATATTACTAAGATATATTACTTAGAGTTCTTATTACTTATTACTGTATAAGCTTAGAGTATATATGCAGGATCAAGCAAATAAATCCTTAATATATATAATATTTAGTAGTCTATATGCATTCTACAAAAGCCTTCTTCTAAGTATTACATGCTATGTAAAATAATAAAGCAAATGAAACTGAAGATTTGAGCCTGCATTTAATTACTAATGTTTTTTTATTAAGTTTTATTATTCAATTAACGCATACAATTTTTTACATATCTATTGAATTCTGTACAGAATTTTGTATATAAAACAAAAGACAAGATAAATTAGCTGCATATATATTAGCAGTATTTTAAGATTTAAAAAGTTATTGCTGATTGACTAATCATATATTTAAGATATAATAATTATTTCATTCAAAGATAACTATGATAAATTTAGTACTTTCCAGAATTCAGTAACATTTTGTTATTATTACATGTTACTTCATGCACCATACTTTTGTCAGTTTTGACATATTTTCTATGAAATACTTATAGAATTTGTAGAGCCATTATGTTTTTCAAAGCAAGAAATGCAAAAAATCAAGCAATGCCCTCAATGGGTTTGAAATATGGACCTTATGACTGCCAGCTGGACATACTTCTAATAGCATCATGAAGGCATGAAGAAAAGAGAAAATTTCTTATATTCTTCTTTACTTAAAGAGCAGTTGAGGAGAAAGCAACTCATTCACTAAACCCTGTTGGTGAGGAATTGTCCTCAACCACATTTTAGTTTGGGTACCATTCGTAGTCACCATGCATTTTAAAATAGGTAGAATTTAAACTCTGGACCTTTCCACTGCCAGCTGGATATGCTTAAAATTACACCATGAAGCATGCAGTAAGGAAGGGGAAGATGTCTTACAAATTTTCCTTTCGAAAAACATATAATTTTCATTTTGATACATAATTACAAATTTTAGAATGGGTATCAGTCAGACTTGCAACATCAAAACTGATGTATCAATGTCATTTTTTATACAAATACTATCTTAGGGTTCTTATTGGAAGAAAAACATGCAAATATAAAATTTTAATAAAAGCAATCTTAATTTGGTATCGATTTTGAATTGATAGAATTATCAAATTAAATATTTACAACAATCTAAGATTAAATTGTTTTGTAATTTTAAACTGTTAAATTGTTTACAATTACTCTTAAGTACATAGTTTGGAAAAAACTTTATCACGCTAAAGTACCAGACACAAAACTTTTCTATCTTTTTACATATTTAAATACACCCAAGTTCAAATCTTTTAGATAAAACACAATAATTTATTGTTCATAGCACACACATTCCTTACTGAACTACTTAATTCATAACATAATTTGCTATTGCAAAAGTAATTAAAATTCTTGTAGTCATTTTAAGTAACTAATAAAATCATTGATTTGAAAATTGTTTTAGCTGATAGTGGGTTAAATAGGGAAATAAGAAGGTTTGGGGAACAGACTTAATTATAAAATCATTTATAAACTAATATTTCAAAATTACCATTAACATTGGAAGGAACAGATACTTCTTTTAATGAAGATAATGATTTCAAATCACAAGCAAAAATCTATTAAAATGAAAGATTACATTCAATACACTTGTTATGAATGTTATAACTTAGTCAAAATTATGCCCAAAAATATTATATTAAAAATAAATTACTATTTCATTAAAAACTTAACAAAATCCATATAAATTCAACAAAGGGACATAAAATTGTATATGAATAGTTATATATTTTTAATTTATTCTTTGTCGCAATGCACAAAAATAAATATTAAAAATAGCAAATGTAATAAAATACATGTTAAATAATCTTTCGTGTATTATTTCAGTTATTTTAGTAATACCTAATCTGCAGCAGCTATAAATTATTAAAAATTACTAAAATACATATTACTGAAAATTATTATGGTATAAAATATGAATTAACATTTAGTTTAAAAACACTAATGCAAAATAAGAAATTTGCATACATATTTTTACTTTTACTTTTCTTCACAAAACTTCACAGGAAATGAAACAGAGCAGAAATACAGTCCTTTTAGTTTCAAAATAATTATGCTTAAATATTTACATTGTAAGATTCTCACTAGTGCATTTCTCAGTTACTATAGAAAGTGACGAATCTAAAGAACTAGTTAGCGAATAATCACTTAAGTTTGTGTAGCAAGGAATAAGAAGATGGAAGGGTAACCCTTTATTATTCCGATCAGTTTTAACAAAACTCCGCCTTGAAGTGTACAATCAAAGCCGACACTTGGGCTTGAACTTAAGAAACTAAAAATTACTAAAACTAAGATTAACTAAAAAAATATAGCCGAAGCTATCAAGATTCTAAATGAGTTGGCCACTTAACTCTATTTGACTATGAAGCTTATCAAGGGCCTGAGTACAGCCGAGCGTAATAACAGCTTGAGAGAGAGAATAGCCAAAAGGCACACATGCGCAAATCAGAAACTCTGATTCTGTCTAACTCTGCAAGCAGACTTCGCGGTTTAAATACCGCTCCTCCTCACTAAGTATTCAGAATGATTCCAAAACTATGTTCTGGCTGGAAGTAGCAAGTTTAAGTTAAGAATTTGACAGGAAAGGAACTTAAAATTTAACTGTTAATAAAATTAACATAATGCTTACAACATTATTTGTAAATTTACAGAAACTTATATTGTGCCTGAGTTATAAATTTTTTGCATACTCAGTTATTCAACCATGCACTATATTTATATTATTGAACAGATTCATCTCATACTTATGAGCATGTGTGCCATGAAATAAAAATGAGATTTTTAACAAATATTGCATTCATTTATTATCAACTAATTTAAATCAGTTTCTAAATGCACTAATATTAAACCAAACATAGCTAAAAATTTGCAGTTAAAAACTAAACAAGAGTAACTCTCAAATGAACTCTTATTACACAGTTTCTGTGTATGTGAATTTGATCATAAAAATGTAGGAAAATTAATTAAATTGAGAAAACTCTATTTCTTAAATTGAGATTTAATTGTATATTGAAAGATTATTCATTAAAAGACCACCTCTATCAATATCAGCATCACCCAAAATGTAATTAATTTTTCTTTAGCTCATTGCTTTCAATTTATTTTTATAATAATAATTAATTCCTCAGTAAGATACCATGACTTAGCTGATAGCAAATACTTAGTTTTTCCATAAAACTTGTTTATACGAATTATCACAGCGCTGCATAATTTAGCATTTGCTGCATCTTTTCAACTGAGAAATTTCTTGCAGCATTACGCCTGTATGTAAAAGCAATAAATTAAACGATCAACAATTCAGAATAAGTTGGAGAGCTTAAACTTTCCTTAACATATAACTTGATAATTCACTGCTAATTCTAGAAGTTCTATTACTACATTTTTAATTTGATAGAAAAATTTATATTAATCTCAATTTTAGAAAGCTGATAAGAAACAGAAAATAACCTCCCAATAAAGATTTAAAAAATGAATGTAAGAACAAACTTACATCATTACTTTTATCATCAGAATCTTGAAATTCACTTAAGACAAATTCTTTTCTTATTCTTTCTTCATCTAAACTGTTAAAAGGAATTAAATCTGCCATTTGAAGAAGTATAGGAGACAGCAAAACTTCTCTCAGTAACTGAGTATTTCCATCAGTTTTTTCCTTTAGAAAACTATAACGTTTATATAAATATGAATAATTAAACCTTTTGACCCGAAACTTAATTATTCCCTTCTGAAATAAAATATATATAAAATACTTATTGAAATATACAAGGAAATAATTTATTTCTCTTTAAAATAATGAAAATCTTAAAAAAAAAAAAAAAAAAAAAAATTTAACATAACACATAAAGTTACACTACGATTTGTGAAGCACATTTAGAGGCACTTGATTTATGAGTTTTACTTTGTCACCTTTCCACATTGTACATAATAATTTATTAACACCTTTTTGAAAAAAAAAAAAAAAAAAAAAAAAAAAAAAATCAAATTCTTTCATAGAGCCAAAAGAAAATAATTGGGAAAAAGCTAAATACTTTGATATACCAAAATAATTACTTTACTTACTGATTTTTTAAATCAACAAAATATTTTTTGGAAACCTTTAAATGAAAAAGTAAAGTTGATTCTTAAATCACGTAACATACACTACTCACCATTGTAAATGCAACAACAAGGAGGAGTAGCCCGAAAATTATGCAAATTTCAGGGTAGACACACGTCATTGAGTTATGCGAATGGTGTGAAATGCGCAGCTCTCCAGGACACATTACAGAAGATATGAGAGAAAGAATGTTCAATTTTCGTGCCGTTATTTCTGCTAAGGAAATCATCGTAGAAAATTTGTTCTCGTCTCAGAGGATGTGTGTAATAGCACAGAATGGTCAGGCTTTCGTCAACAGAGGCAAATCCAGCAGACGGACAATTTTACGGTTGGTCCATTCGGCAAATCTTAGCTATGTAGCTTCTATGGTTAGAATGCGGAAATGTGGCAGGATCGAGGGGTGCCGGTGGAACCAGAGAGACATCTGCACGCATGGATCGACGCATTTACTGCAAGCCACTTCTACCTCTATTCTGCAGCATGTTCAAGACACCCTGGATGTTCCCATACTGACCAGAACCATTTGCCGTTTATTGGTGGCTAATGGCCTGCACTCATGGCATCCGTTAAGAAGACTGCCATTGACCTCACATTATAGACGCTATCAACTGCAATAGCGCCGAGCTCGAGCAATGTAGACGACGGAATGGCACAGGGTCGTGTTCTCAGGTGATTCACACTTCTGTTTCTCCAGTGATAGTTGCCATGTACGAGTGTGGCGTCGATGTGAAGACAGGTTTTCCGGCAGCAACTGTAGAAAGCCCCAACGCGCGACAAAGCGATATTATGGTTTGGGTGCATTTGCATATGATTCCAGGTCACCTCTAGTTCGTATTTAAGGCACTATGATGGCCCAATGATTCGTGGATGATGTGCTGCGGCTGGTGACACTCCCCTACCTTCAGGGAGTGCCCAATGCCCTTTATCAGCAGGATAATGCCCAACCACACACTACTCGCATCAGCCAACGTGCTCTGCAATTGTATAGATTCTTCCTTGCCACCATTCTCTCCTGATCTCTCACCAATCAAAAATATTTGGGATGTGATTGGACGCCATTTGCAGACCCTGCCATTACAACGTTCAGAAGACGAACTGTGGCAAATGGTTGAAAGGGAATGAAGAGCCATTCCCCAGGACACCATCCGCAGTCTCATTGACTCTGTACCTATACGTGCTGTTTAGTGTATCGCCATGCATGGTGGTCCTACAACGTACTGAGCTACATTCTCATGTACACTTTATGTATATTACCAAATTTCAATAAATGCCGCACGGCCCAGTGGGGGGTAGCTCTAAATAGAAGTGCAAAGGGACAATACCTATTTTATTTATAGGAATCATTGGGTGTCCCTCTCATTTAAGCCAACCTACTGAGCAGCTACAAGGCTCATACGTGAAATGAATTACCTTCCAAAATCGTATGAAGTAATGGCAAAACTGTTGGAACATCTCGACAACAGGAAGACGAACCTTTCAACTTCTACCAAAGGTATCCATGGATATGCTTTCTTACTCTTCAGCACTTACTACTTTCTTAACAGGTCATAGACCTTTTCCTACATATTTATACAGATATGGGCTCTCAGAAAGAGACATTTTCTAATGTGGGCAACAAGCCATCCAGACCATTATGCCTTCCTGTGTACTTTAACATGATGGACCTTGCATATAATGAAGCATCCAAGTGCGCATAAAAAACTAGTGAACATTTTGCACTTCTCTAACACAACCAATGTTTGAATTTCAGTACTCGCTTATAAATACTTTAAGAGTTATTCATAAAACTCATTTATATAAATTTCTAGCTTCTGAAGCCACTTCTCAGACTCCCCAAGGTTTTCTAATGAGCTTAGATTGACATTCCCTTTTACTTGCTGCATTAACTAATCCTTTGACTCACACTTTCTTCTCTTTATTTTATTTATTACATTTGTATTAGATTTAATAATTTTGGATATGTTCATCTACAGTTGGTTTCTACAGTTTAACTTCAACTTAGTATAGTTAGTATTGAAATGATATCGTTTGATCTTACACATAGGATCTATTCAATGCCTGTAAATTGATTTTACTGCAGACATAGTGTGTCAGCAGGGAAACTCATTCAATATCTTCAACTGATATTGTGAACATTGGACAACATGATGGTATTAACTTATACAAAACTTTGATTGATTTGTTTGGCGATTGAACTTATATGCTTGTATACTTAAATATAGTTTGTGTTTTTAAATCAGCACAATGATGTATTAACTAATTCTTATGTAAGTATTATTTCATGTACACTCCATCTTGAAATAAGCACATTTTTTAAACAATGCTATATTGACTTTTCATTATTACAGCTGATAGAAGAGTTAAAATATTACATTCTTTTAGAAAAACTCTGTTGTATTACTGATATTTTGGTAGAACATTATATCTCAGACTTTTAGCTGAAATTATGTACTTTGATTGTTAAGGTACTTTGAATGTTACTTTGATTGATACTTTGACTGCCATGATGTATGTGCGCTATTATTCTGCTTGAAAACTTCCTATGTGTTATAATGTCTATTGTATTATTGAAATTTAGATTAATTGATCATCTTTTTTTATGAACTATGTCATTAATGAATAGTAGCTTTTAATAGAATTAATGTAACATGATTGTTATGGTGTATATGTGCTATCACTTAGAAAATTTGTACTCTACTTGGAAGCCGCGGTGCGCAATGAATTGGAAGTTGATCTGTCAGCACTATCCTTATTTCAGGGCAAATGTTTTATTTTATTTGGCTTATAATTACTTACTAAATGTAGTATTTCATCTCGATGTACTTCGTCGATATGATTTAAATCAAATTCCTCGTCATTACAATTCGCTTCCGATAGTGAAGAGGTTATTGAAAACGAAAAAATTTCGATTGACAAATTAGTCGGTATTCTCGACACAGCAATTATAGGACTTGAACAGCGGAACTTTGTAACTGAAGAAGAAATTATGTCTGTTTATAGAATTAAAGAGAAAGTATTATCACATAAAACGAAGCAACTTACATTCAAAGAAATGTTTAATAAAGTAAACAAATAAATATTAAGCCTTTTTTTTTTTTTTTTTTTTTTTTTTTTGTAAATTTTGATACCCTTTAGATCATAATTATTCTTTATTTCATAAATTGCGGTTTCATATTTTTAATTTTATAATTTCTGCATGCCATCTTACCAAATTTAAACTGATGATCGATAATCCGGAATCGCCGAGGTCTCGACGAGTCCGGATTAATGACTTTTCACTCTAGTAAGTTTGGGAATAAAATAAAGTTTATGAAATTTATCATTAAATATTTTACACTCATACTAACTGGACATATTTGAAAGAAGATAAGTGACATTTTATTTAGGCTTTACTAACAGTTAGCTTTTATTTTTATTTTTTTTTATTGTCTCATTTTGTCACATACTTGCTCACTCTATGACTTAAGTAAACAGTAAGTAGATTTTAGGTCAAGTGGCATAGGTTAAAGTGAGAAGTAAAATCACAATTAGCATGATTCAAAACAAAAGACTGGTAGTTGTCGCCGTTCCTGCTTGCCTAGGAGAGAGCTGATGATCGCAACAAACCTTAAGCACGGTTCGCAATTTTGAAAGTTAGCTGAGGTCTGTCTGATGCAGTTAATGTCGTAGCTTCTTCTAGAGTTCCAGGGATTGTAACTCAGTTAATATAATAGTTTAGTGGTCCTAGTAATCCACTAAAGCACCAGAGGTGACAATTTGTTTTACATTATTTTAAGTCTCACTAGATGCGAAGAATAGGTTTTACATGAATTTTTACATTTTTGTGTTTTATCTTGTGACCACAATAAGGGTTAATAAAAGGCAATAACTCGTTTTAAAATGCAGAGATAATCTTTAAAGGTAATCAGTTAGTTATAAGTAATTAAATTGGGTATTAGATAACCTTAGTCATTATGGAATTACATGGCCACTATTGAATTTTATTTTTTAACAATATTTGTTAAAAAAGCCCTATTAAAATCTAATAAAATTCCACAATTTAAAATACATGTAATTTATGACATTGATTCTTAAACAATATTAGGATAATTACACATTAAAAGCTGTAAAACATTTGTTTTGTAACAACAACACTCCACAAAATATTTATCCATCATTTTAATTTGAAGCCTTCCCAAACATTTCAGCTATTTTATATTGATTTCCTTTTCTTTAAGCATCTTTTCTAAAAATTAGAGATGTCTCAATATGCAAACCAATGCTCTCGCTAGTTTCTGCGTGCTTTATCTCCTAACTTGTCAACCTCTCCACAATATACCTATGAGGGTTTACTTGATCTAGTAAAAGTTAAATAGGTCAAAACCCTCTGGACAGATGTGAAGCAAATTATCTCTATATCTGAAAGTAACTACAAAGATTTAAATAAGCTTCTTATTTAAAAAGAAGAACATAAAGCATGTTCTTATGCTAAAAAAATCAATTACAGCTCATGGTGATGTAATTAAACAAGAAGCATCAAATGCAAACTAAAAATATGGACTAGTCATCAAAGACTTTCATACAATT